TACTGCATGTAACTTTGTACGTTAGCTATGATGGGACTTATTAGCATTTGGACAAAAAAGATCTGCTCATGTTGCACATCTTAATGTGATGCTGTGTTTCATTTCCAGCTGCAGCACATTGTTCATCTCCTGGGTCAGCCACCAGACCATCTGCTTGATAACGGGACAAAGACAAAGCTGTATTTCCAAAGGACCAAGTCTAATAGCTGGAGGCTTAAGGTACCACAAAGACACTTTTCTGACCAAATCTTCTTCTCTAATTATGATAACATGTTTCCCCACATTTAACAGTTCATCAGTTAGATTTATTGAGAGGGACAATAAATACGAATACATTTAATCTTCTACAGACACCTGACGAGTATTGGGGAATTCTTGGGTATTGCTCCGTTCTCAAAACGCGATCTCTGGATGATCTGAAAAAAGTACGTGTAAAGTAGCTTTCATTGTCACAATCATTGACTGTCCTTTCATGAGTCACGTAGATTACTTGACTGACAGTGAATTTGACCATTGTTTCCTAAACTAGATGCGTCTCGAGTTGGGTAACGAAGCTGAGGATGTCGAGCGAGAGCAATGTGTCGAGCTCCTGAAGGCCATGCTGAAGATGGATGCGGCTGAGAGGATCACACCCAGTGAAGTCCTCGCTCATCCATTTTTTGCCAAGCGGTAAGTGTGTGTGTAGTGAGATGTGAGTCCTTTTGGTACTGATTTCAGCATACGTTTTATTGACGATTTATAATTTCATCAATGTCCTTTCCCGTTTTCCGGACATCAATGTAACAGTAAGGGTTTGTCTTTTGGCAGCAGTGAAGCTTCAGCATCTGGATCTGTTCAGTGGAGAACAAAGAAGGACAGGACCAGATTCAAGGAGACTGAGAAGACGACACAGCAACCATCCAGTTCATTTATGGTTCGTCCTGCAGCACCCCTGCGGAGGCGTACTCATCTGGAGAGTAACATTTGGTGAAATTATTTCCTCTGGTCATAAAACTCATCCCTCAGGTAGAAGGGAGACATTTCTTTCAAGACGTTCAGACAGAAACAGGAATATTACCCTGTGTGTTTAGTTTGCAGAGTAGTGGGAACGAGACATCAGGAGCGGACTGGGTGTGTCCTTCTTCTGCTCCAAAGGACGACAGCACCACCAAGATCCTACCAGACCACTGCAGTCCATCTCTTACAACCCCACCATCACGTGTGATCATGGTTCGGCCCGCCACAGCAGAGAACACACTGAAGTTGGAAGATGAGGACACTCCAGTTAGGTGAGGTGACTTCCTCTGTTCATGGAACTAATTTCTCAGACAGAAGAGAAAATGGTTCAGTTCATCTGGAATTGGGGCCAATTTGAGTTGGTATATATCCATTCTGGTATCAACACTGGGCTTATCGGGACAAGTAATCCTCATGGGAACGGTCCTTCTCCCCAAAACAGAATCCGTCACGGGCCCTTTGCTGCGTGGCATCCCCTCTCTCTACCCACCTTTCTTGTCAATCTTCAGCTGTCTCTATCCAATAAAGGCCCAAAAAAATAACTTTTAAAGAAACCCATTTCTCAGACAGGAGAGAAAATGGTTCAGTTCAGCTGGAATGAGAGCAGATTTAAGAGTGTGTTCACCTTTGAAGTTTACCTGACTCTTTTCAGATGTCATCACAATAAAAGGAATGGTACTAAGTAATGGTAGTAAGAATGGTAATATGTGTGCGTGTGTTTAGTTTGCAGCCTGGGCTGAACAATACATCACAGCCCTCAGTGAAAGTCACTGGAAGTGATATGACGGCACCCTCTGAACAACCACAACCAACAACAACCACCACTACCTGTGGTAAGAAACAGTGTACACTTGTGTCTGAATTGTTGCTCATTTGGAGCACCATTGTGGTATTTAATGTGCTTTTTTTCAGATGACACCAGCACCAAGAAGAAGAAGAAGAACTGCAATATGCGGCTCTTTACTTGGACAAAGAAGACTTTCTGCCCCTGCGTGGCCCCTGCTGACGTGGATGAGGAGAAGTGAAGCTCGGTGTAGGGTTTTTAGTGTGACCTTTGAGGAGTTGTGCTCAGGGCTGGGTTTCGTTTAAAATTTTTTATTTAACACCGATACAATACCTTGACTTGAATACCTGTTCCTGAACGATTTTCCTTGTCGACCAGCAGTTGTTAGATAAAGCCAACAGTCGACTAGTCATAGCATATTCATGTCATTTATGTCATTATTTACATCTATATATTTGAAAATGGTTCTGAATGTGTCAGAAGAACCAGCAAGAAGATTGAACATTTAGTTCATTTATTTCGACACAGTATAACATCACACAAGTCATAACTTCCAACTTCCAAAAATAAATACTCACTGACTTATGAATAAGATGCATGATGTATAACATTATCAGTTACTCACAAATTAATTCGCTACAAACTCACTACTCTTGAACCCTGAACCCGCCGCGTCTGCATCCGCAGAGTCATAGTCCTGGTCAGAGCCGCTGGAAATCAGCCGTTTAACGCTCGCCCCACTCTGGTTTTGTTGCTCATTCTTAGCAGTATTCCCCACTGGGTCCTCCCCTCCGATGCAAGTAGTGTTAAAACTCCCCCTGTCCTTTGAGCGCCCAGTCCGGTTACAGTCAGCTAATAGAACTAGCTAGTGAGACCAGCTAGTACAGTTAGTATATGCAACAGTGCACAGTGACTCCCTGTTAAATACGAAAATGTCCGCAGCAAACAGAGTTTAATGTTTTTTTCTGTCAGCCTGACTAATGAAAAGTGCGTCGACTAAGACTCTTCACATTGACTTCATTAACATTTCAGTCAACTATTAGGAAGCAGCCCTAGATAAAATTGAAGCTGAATATACAGTATTTAACTGTATGAACAATATAAATAAGGAAATAGGAATATTAATAACAAAACAGTATAGTAACACCACCATGCCGTCTGAAACATTCTCCTCCCCTGCTTTGGCACCGCGATTTCCTTCCCATGTGATGAACGGACTCACCGACAAGCAGATACCGGTTAGCTGCACTGTCTAGCTAACAAGTGTTTTTATTTATTTATTCTTTAATACACAGAAAAACAAGAGTATTCACAAAACCAAAGAATTCACAAAAATTACAACAGAAAATCGCAGAAAGTGAGACATAGATAAAATGCACAAAAAAAAGACAGCAGGAAGGAAAGAAGAAGAAAGGGTTGAATGGGTGGGGGTACTAGCAAGTGTGAACCTATTGTGACGTCACCCATTGGTTTGTGAAGTAGCAGCCATATATGATTTTGAGCCTTTTAATTGACTACTAATTACTAAATTGTAATTCATTTGAAAGAGTTTTTATCAAGTTTAGTCCTTAAATCAGATAAAGTAATTATTGTAGGTGATTTTAATATTCATGTGGATGTTGACAATGACAGCCTCAGTAATGCATTTATCTCATTAGTAGACTTAATTAGCTTCAATGAGAGCGTAAATAAACCAACTCATTGTTTTAACCACACTCTTGACCTCGTTCTTTCATATGGCATTGATATTGAACATTTAATAGTCTTCCCACATAATCCTTTCCTATCTGACCATTATTTAATAACTTTTGAATTTATATTACTAGATCACAAGCCATTAGGCAAAACTTCCTACAGCAGATGTCTATCTGACAGTGCTGTAGCTTAATTTAAGAAGGAGATTCCATCAGTGTTTAATTCAATGCCATGTCTTAATATAACGGAGTCCTATAATAACTTTAGTCCCTCCCAAATTGATCATCTTACTAGTGCTGCAGGCTCGCTGCAAACAACATTAGATTCTACTGCCCCTATGAAGAGGAAAATATTGAAACATAGGAAACTAGCACCGTGGTACAACCACTAAACAGGTATCACTGTCTCCCCAAGTTCAAGAACTAACTAATGTAAAATCAGATATATATTTAGACTGTTTTTCTGCTATCGATCTTCATCAGTTAACTTCAGTAATTTCCAAATCGAAGCCATCAACCTGTCTGTTAGACCCGATCCCAACTAGGCTGCTTAAAGAAGTTGTTCCCTTAATTGGCACTTCTTTACTGGATATGATTAATCTTTCTTTATTATCAGGATATGTACCACAGTCCTTTAAAGTAGCTGTAATTAAACCCCTTCTTAAAAAGCCCACTTTTGACCCAGGGGTTTTAGCCAACTATAGACCGATTTCTAACCTCCCCTTCCTCTCTAAGATTCTGTAGAAGGTAGTCGCCAAAGAGTTGTGTGACTTTCTACATAACAATAGTTTATTTGAGGATTTTCAGTCAGGATTTAGAGTTCATCACAGCACAGAGACAGGTCTGGTTAAAGTTAATAATAACCTTTTAATAGATTTGATTGATTGAGTTATCTAAATTACAAACATGTCTTAAGGACATAAAAACCTGGATGAGCTGCAATTTTCTGATGTTAAACTCAGAAAAAACTAAATTCTTAATAAAAGATATAAATATAGTTACTCTAGATGGCATTACATTGGCCTCTAGAACCACTGTCAGGAATTTTGGAGTTATCTTTGATCAGGACATGTCATTTAATTCCCACATAAAGTAAACCTCTAGGACTGCCTTCTTTCATTTACGTAATATTACAAAAATTAGACACATCCTATCACAGACAGATGCAGAAAAACTAATCCATGCATTTGTTACTTCAAGGCTGGATTACTGCAACTCTTTATTATCAGGTTGCCCCAATAAGTCCATTGAGACACTCCAATGAATTCAGAATACTGACAGGAACTAGAAAAAGAGATCACATCTCACATCACTCCTCTCCCCCATCGTTGTCGTCGTCGTAGTCATCATCTTGATGTTCATCATTATCAGTCACTACTATTAGTGTAGTTGTTGCTACTGTTGTTGCTGTGCACCTCTGTCTGTCTGTCTCTCTGTCTGTCTGTCTGTCTCTCTGTCTGTCTGTCTGTCTGTCTGTCTGTCTGTCTGTCTGTCTGTCTGTCTGTCAGAGAGAGAGAGAGAGACGGCCACCCACCTAGAGCCGAAGGGTCTGTCCTAGGTTTCTGCCTATTAAAAGGCAGTTTTTCCTTGCCGCCGTTGCCAAGGTCTTGCTCATGGTGGTACTGTTGGGTCTCTGTAATTAATGTTTTAAAGAGTTCGGTCTAGACCTGCTCTATTTGAAAAGTGTCCTGTGATAACTTCTGTTATGAATTGGTGCTATACAAATAAAACTGAATTGAATTGAATTGAATTGTTTTGAAGCCATCTCAAGCCAGCGGACATCACGTACTCGCAGTACGTAATGTCCTACGCTCATTCATCTTCCATAGGGCAGCACGGAGGCTCAGTGGTTAGCACTGTGGCCTCACAGCAGAACCACCTCTCCTTGGATCTACCTCCGCCTCTTTCTGTCTGTGTGGAGTTTACATGTCCTCCCTGTGTCCGCATGGGTTTCCTCCAGGTTCTCCGGTTTCCTCCCACACTGCAAACATATGCAGCTCAGGTGAATTGGACGTTCAGAATTCCCATACAATTTGACCAAGGAAAAATAGAATTAATAAACTTAATAAAAACTTAGAAAACTGTCTCAGGACTTTCATTAGATAGAGACTGAGGGGCCAAAACTGCTAGATGAGAAATCCTTGCCTGTCAGTCTTAAGCAACGTCAGTTACTTATGACATACTGCACAGCTGTATCACCTGTCAAACCAAGTGGCACGAATGTCCACAGAATCCCTTACTTCAGAAAAATTTTAAAAATTTTCATTTGGATATGTAAATTGTTAAACATTTGCCATTTTAGCAGTATTATTACTGTTGATTTAATCATTTTAAATAGGCAGATCAGTGTTATTTGTTATCATCATTTAGGTTGTGTATTTACTTGTATGCATTAATATCATATAGATATAGATATAGAGTTGCATAAAAATCTTTCGACTGTAGTGTAAGATAAAAAACGTCCACCGCATCCAGTGCTGCCGGAGAGGAGCATTAGCTTGGAGGGACAGTTGCTTGCATGCAGAATTTTATTTGTAACAAATTCAGTACTGTGTGTTTTAATAGTTTCTGCATGTTTGTTACTGACTCTAATCCTACAAACAGCTTGAATTTCAGCACATCTTATCCTTTAAGAGAGGGGGAGGTCATTTTCTTATGGCTAATTCTTCAGACGCAAAATAAAAAGGCGCCTCCACCAACTGGTGGTTGAATCAACTGCTGATATGGAGGCAGGTGTTCTTAGGCGTGGCTTTTGAGGACCCCTTATTGCCTCACCAGGAAAAAAAGATTCTAACTATTCTCTATGACATTTATTTGTTGGTGACTTTGAAACATTGCAGTAGAAACAGTTTGCTGGAACATTAATTTTGGTGTATGCTCCTCACTACATAAATATTATTCGTTGTCATGGTTACATAAAAAAAACTGCTGATTGGTACAATTGTATCAATTCTGCTACTTCCTTCGAAGTGTGAACCTATCGTGACGTCAGCCTTGAGGTTTTGGCGGTGTGGCTGTCGTCATGACAGTAAAACGGAGCCAGCGGAAGCCAGCGGACATGACGTACTGCAAGTTGATCTACGCTTCACAGTTTTGACTTGTCCGTAGCCGGAAACAATGGCGGCTCGCCTGGTCACACACAATCTTGTATTCCAGCTAAACAGTACACTAAAAGATGTTTCTGTGGCGCCTGGTTAGCTCAGTCAGTAGAGCTGGTGACCCATGTACCCCCCCCCTCCCTGTTTATCTTCAGCTGTCACTATCATAAAGGCAATAAAAGCCAATAAAAGGATTTTAAGTGAGCATCCACCTGTAGGCTCCGGTTAGGGGTTAAGGTATTTGCTCATCACTCCCCAATATCTCTATGGAAACATATCTGCGGGGAGCCAAAATCTAAATATGCTATACTGCTATAATGAACATTTCAAACGGGAGTTGGCTGACTGAAATATTGTAATCACACTATAGCTTTACAATATATCTTAGAAATACTGACTATTTTAAATCATTTCATCACACCAAAATTAATTTGTTTACATAGGCAACAACAAGCTAAAACAATATTAAATCACATTCCTCCAGATTAGCAAAAGCTATTCACTTCTGGAATGGCGCCTGTTACAACGGCAGCCTGTCATTGAGGCTCCTATCATTGTTGTAGTTTCAGTGTGTTTTCAGTGTCTTTTTTGCTATTTTTAACTCTTTTCTTACTTTCTTACTACTTTGTTCACGTCGCCTAAATACTTTTTGGGCGTTTTTGAGCACTTTTAATTTTTTGTTTGCACGGGTCTCCATGGCAACGGCGAGTCGCATTGTTTACACCCGCGACCAGATGATCGCCCTGAGGTACCCGAGCATCCTGACCGGAGAGAGACCCTCCATACCGGAGGAGCTGAGGAGACGGTGAGGCTGCAGAGCGGGGGTTAAACGGAGGATGAAGAAGAGGAGCTTTAAACCCTACAAACGTGGCTACACGAGCAGATACCGGACTCCAACGTCACCATTCCCGGCTTCCAGACGGTTCCAGCCGACAGGGACACCACCGCGACCGGCATGAAGAAAGGAGGGGGACTGTCCGTGCTCATAAACAACAGGTGGTGTAACGCCGGGCACGACTGTGTGGAAGAGCGTGTCTGCGGCCCGGACATCGAGCTCGTCGCCGTCGGACTATTCGGTCCATATTATCTGCCACGGGACCTTTCCAGTGTTATCGCCATCACTGTCTATATTCCTCACAGTGGTCTTCATCATCATCATCACTGTTTATATTCCTCCGTCTGGGAAAGCAGAAGCAGTGTATGACCTGGCCTTCATCATCATCATCATCATCACAGGGGACTTCAACCATGTTTCTCTCTCGTCCACACTCCCAACCTTCCACCAGTTTGTCACATGCACCACCAGAGACAATAAGACCTTGGACCTGCTGTACGCAAATGTTAAAGATGCGTACAGCTCCACTTCCCTGCCACCACTGGGCAGGTCAGACCAGACCCTAGTCCGGCTCTCACCATCATAGTTATGCTGCTATAGGCCTAGACTATCGGGGGATTTCCCATGGTGCACTGAGCTACTCTCTTCCTCTCTCTTTCTGCACTCATTCATGTCCCTTTAATGCATGTTACTAACTCCACTTCTTCCCCGGAGTTCTTGTGCTTTCTCGTCTCGCAGGTTCTCATGGATCCTGGTGGAGCCTCCTGCCATGGTCCTGCTTGACTGCCATTGCCAATACTGTTGTTGCTGTGCACCTGTCTGTCTGTCTGTCTGTCGCTCTCTCTCTCTCTCTCTCTCTCTCTCTCTCTCTCTCTCTCTCTCACCCCAACTGGTCGAGACAGACGACCACCCACCTAGAGCCGGAGGATCTGTCCTAGGTTTCTGCCTTTTAACAGGCAGTTTTTCCTTGCCCTTGTCGCCAAGTGCTTGCTCATGGTGGTACTGTTGGGTCTCTGTAATTAATGTTAAAGAGTTCGGTCTAGACCTGCTCTATTTGAAAAGTGTCCTGAGATAACTTCTGTTATGAATTGGCGCTATACAAATAAAATTGAATTGAATTGAATTGAATTGAATCATACAAGCCTGTGGTTCAGAAACAACCAGTCACAGTGAAGACAGTGAGGAAATTGTCTCCTGAGATCATAGAAACACTGCGTGGAGCGCTGGAGACCACCGACTGGGATGCTCTGTATGAGCCACAAAGGGAGGACATTGATGGCCTTACTGACTGTGTCTCTGAGTACATTAGGTTCTGCATTGACAATTCCATCCCCTCCAAGGAGGTCCGATGCTACCCAAACAACAAACCGTGGGTAACCAGCAACCTGAAGGCCCTTCTTAATGAGATCAGGGGACCGAGCAGAACTCAAGTGTGTACAAAGAGAGCTCAAACACAGCATCAGGGGGAGTAAGGATGCATACAGGAGAAAACTGGAGGACAAACTGGAGAACAACAACACCAGGGACGTGTAGATTGGAAAGAGAGAGATCACCGGCTTTCAGGGGAGAGGTGAGGGTGCAGCTGAGGGGAATGAACAACGAGCCAACGACTTGAACCAGTTCTTCAACAAGTTTAACTTCAGCTCCCCCACTCCTGGCAGCCCCTCTACTGCTCCTCTGAGCAACAACCACAGGACACTCCCACAGCCCCCACAGCCCCCTACCACCTCCTGCAACAGACACCTGTATCAACCTCGTCATTCCCACCCCCCAACCTACTGCTTACACCCACTACAGACCCTGCCACATCCCCCACCTCCCAGACTGGACTTCATATCACAGTCAGCCAAGTGAGGAGAGAGCTGGAGAGGCTCAAACAGAGGAAAGCTGCTGCACCGGACCGCATCAGCCCTCGCGTACTGAAGGCATGTTCCAACCAGCTCTGTGGAGCACCTCTTCAACCTGAGTCTACACCTTCAGAGAGTGCCAGTGCTCTGGAAAACATCCTGCCTGGTCCCAGTGCCCAAAAAGGGACGTCCTGTGACACTGGAGGACAATAGGCCAGTAGCTCTGACCTCTCACATCATGAAGGTCATGGAGAGACTGGTCTTGGCACACCTCAGACCATTAGTGTGCCCATCGCAAGACCCCCTGCAGTTCGCATATCAACCTCATGTGGGGTTTGATGATGCAATCATCTACCTGTTGCAGAAGGCCTATTCCTCCCTGGACAGACCCAACACCTCAGTCTGCATCATGTTCTTCGACTTCTCCGGCGCCTTCAACACCATCCAGCCCAGACTGCTGAAGGCCAAACTGGAGAACACGCAGGTGGGTGCTCCCCTCATCACATGGGTCGATGACTATCTGACGGGCAGACCGCAGTTTGTGAGATTAAAGAACTGTGTCTGACCATCTGATTAGTAACATCGGGGCCCCCCAGGGAACTGTACTGTCTCCCTTCCTCTTCACCACCTACAGTGCAAACTTTAAGTACTGCACTGAGTCATGTCATCTTCAAAAATACTTTGATGACACAGCTATTGTGGGGTGTCTGGAGGGCAGGGGGGAGGTTGAGTACAGGGACCTGGTCGATCGTTTTGTGAAGTGGTGTGGGGAGCCACACCTGAGCCGGCTTTACTTCCTGAGGAGGCTCAGGTCCTTCAATGTCTGCAACAGGATGTTGCAGATGTTCTATCAGTCTGTTGTGGCGAGCACCATCTTCTTTGCTGCAGTGTCCTGGGGTGCGGGCATCAAGGCAAAGGACACCAACAGACTGAACAAACTCATTAAGAAGGCTGAATCTGTTGTTGGCTCTAAGCTTGTCACCCTGGAGGAGGTGGTGGAGGAGAGGATGCTAGCAAAACTGCTGGCAATCATGGACAATCCCTCCCACCCCCTCTACACAACACTGGACAAGCTAAAGAGCAGCTTCAGCAACAGACTCATTCATCCCCGCTGCTCTAAGGAACGATACAGAAAATCGTTCCTCCCCACTGCAATAAGACTTTCTAATGATAATTGACTCTTAATCAGCTGCTATAACATTATAATTTCCCTTCGGGGATAACTAAAGTATTTCTTTCTATCTATCTATCTATCTATCTATCTATCTATCTATCTATCTATCTATCTATCAATAGTAATTTCTTTAAAAAATAATGTACCTTACTCCACACTCTTTTCCTGCCGCCTGGAAGTACATTTGACCACAGGGTCTCCTTTCTCTTTCCTGCCCATGTGTCTGTGATCATTGTTAAAAAAGCAAGTTATGGGGCACCCGGATAGCTCAGTGGGTAGAGCTGGCCTGGCGACCCACGTACCGAGGCTGAGTCCTTGCTGCAGCTACCCAAGGTTTGAATCCGACCTGCGGCCCTTTGCTGCGTGTCATCCCCTCTCTCTGACCCCCTTTCCTGTCTGTCTTCAGCTGTCTCTATAATAAAGGCAATAAAAGCCAAGAAAATATACTTTAAAAAGCAAGTTATTTGTAAAATGCATAATTTTGGGTCTACTTTGTGGAAGTTTACATTTTTTTGCATCCTTGGATTGTGAGGCCTTGTCACAATCAGCACTTTTCCCCTCAAGTTTAAAGGATCCAAGTATGTCTAACTCCATTTCGCCCCATTTTCTTTGCTCCTGTCTCACATTTGTTTTGGAGGACACTCATGAAAATGATCCTCCTGGCCCCTCTCTTTCCTTTTGCAGACCTTCTCTTTGCTTTTTTTTACACTGACTTTGATTTCCTCTTATATGGAGCCCTGGTTTTGGAGGCCTTCAGACATCTCCTCTCTAGGCAGCAGGCTACTGATTTTGCCCTCTGTGACCTGCCACTAATCAGTTTGAAAGTAGAGGACATAGCAGGAAATATTTCTATATATTTAAAGATGAGAACATTAAACAATCTTACTTCGTATTCTATAGGCTCCTCTGGGGGATACCTCAGCTCCCTCCCAAACATCAAGGAGTACAGCCTGTACTTTGTAGTCAGCTGCTTTTTTGTCAGAAGGCCAAACATGGTGGACAACAAAAGTAAAGGTAAAGGGAAAAATGCAGAATTCAGATACAGGCATGAGAGGTAGAGGCGAATATTATACCTATATTATATTATATATTACATTAGGTTAGATTAGATTGTTCTTATTATAGTAGATTAAATAACATTACTTTAAATTATATTGGATTATATTAGATTATATTACATGACACTATATATATATATATATATATATATTAGATTAGATTATTTTTTTATCATAGTAGATCATAGTAACATTATTATTATAGTCGTATTAGAATATATTACCTAGCCAAGAAAGACTGAAAGACACTTTGGGTTGGAAGCTTGAAGATAGTTGATTGTTGATTCTCATTCCCAGAGTCTGTATTTGACAACCTAGGAATGAGACTCTACGATTGATTGACTATCTGCTCTGATTGGTTGTTTTCGTCCAGGCTCGGTGGATTCTTGCAGAGACCATTAGGGGCACTAGGAGGAGCCAGAGGAACCTGTTTTTTTTCACAGATTATCTGTCGCACTTACTGCTGTCAGGGTGTAGTGAAAGTTTGCAAATATGACAAAAGTTAATTTTATAAAAGCTACCTACTGCAACTTTACCACTACTGGCCGCCCCCCGCCCCCCGCCCCCCACCGAGCTGGCAGGCAGGAGAATGATGATGCATTCTAAATTAAGCCGGACAAGAGGGAGGAAACAAACCAGTGTTGCTGGAAATTTACATCATTATATTCTGCTGGAGCTTCAGACCAGAGAGCTGCAGCTGGGTTCAGGACCCTGGAGAGCGGAGAGCAGTGATGCTCTGATCAGCTGGAAGAATACTCTGCATTTCTTCCAACTTTGATTTTACTTTATTAAACACTCAAGAGTAAAGCAAACTCAGATTCAAGGTAGTAAATGCTCCTGTATTTATCACTTGATTGTCCTAATAGATACTCTATATTCAGTTTTCCTGTTGATACAGCTTGTTTCTAATCCGTCCTCCTGGCTCATTAGGAGCTCATTAGGTGCCATTATGTCTTTATTTGTAGTAGAATTGCGGCTGGAACGACTCTTCATTATATGTCTTTATCTGCGTGATGTGCCTAAAGGTTTTTCCAGAATGGAGTACAGACACGATGCGGGCCTGGAGGATCTGTGTCCGGTCTGTGGAGATAAAGTCTCTGGGTACCACTACGGTCTGCTCACCTGCGAGAGCTGCAAGGTAGATTTAGATTTTATGTTAATGCAGAAAAGGTTTTTAATTAGCAAAAATATTGCAAACAGCCAGTGGGGACCTACAGAGCTGCCTTCTCTTCTTCAACACCCGCAGGGTTTTTTCAAGAGAACGGTTCAGAACAACAAGAAGTACATCTGTGCAGAAAACCAGGAGTGCAGGATTGATAAAGCCCAAAGGAAACGGTGTCCGTTCTGCAGGTTTCAGAAGTGTCTTCATGTCGGCATGCGACTGGAAGGTAAGGACGGGTTCACTTGCAGGGTTAGTGGAAGAAATGGAGCGCTGCTGCAAGGAGAACGTCTGGCACAGTGAACTATATAACTTCTCTTAATGTTTTTTTTGCATTCTTTTCCGTTTCCTGTAACAGCAATAATAATAATAATAATAATAATAATAATAATAATAATAATCAAGTCAAGGTATCACGTTTAACAAACACAGCTGACAAAAGTGCACATGCATAACATAGCGAAAGGAAAAGGAAAATGAACAGCAATAAATGGCACAATGATAATAATAATAATAATAATAATAATAATAATAATAATAACAGTGCTGCTACTACTAATAATAATGATTATGATAATAATAATAATACGGTTATAGTAATAATAAGTCATCACTCCTAAAATTAGTTCATCTGATGTAGCCATCACATATACAGTGTCAAAGGGATACGGATCAAAGGCAGTGTTTCTGCGCAAAGAGGGCATGTTAATGTTACAAATAAATAATCATAGTATCAACGTCAATTAAGTCAAATTAACAAAGAAATTACCCTGTAAGTAGGCTACTGTTTAAACGTTTTGATATATAGTTACAGCATAAAACCTCGACATGTTTATTTCAATATTTCAGATTGGCTTTCTGAAAAGAGTAGTTAGTGTGCAGGAATTAGCTCTACACTCTGTTTCTTTTGCCTAAAAATGAGAAGACAGACTATCACAACCAAACAAATGTTACCATCTGGCAATCTGCTTTACCCAGAGGCTTTTAATTTAATTCCAAAATTTCCTTTTTTGTTAGAGAATTTGACTCAGGTTTTACATTGCTCTCAATGTACGCACACAGAAATAGGCATATGCACAGCAAAACAAACTAGCACAACAAGGTAAACATAAATGACTATGTAAAAATATAATTTATATATAAACAGCAACAGTAACATTTGTAGACAGGAAGATGATAATAGTAGCTTTTTTTGTGATAGACTGTACTGTGTAAATATGCCCTCAATAAGTAATGGTCAATATTCTGTACAATCAACTTCTGAAAAAAGCCAAAAAAATCTAATAAGAATTTTCTCTGTAAATTGCTCTGTAAATAATTACAGTGAAAAGCGGGGAAACGCTTTATTTAAAAGCCTACACAGCCTGGACCTACACTGTAATATGGAAGATTTCTCCCACATTCTCCACAGTTCTGCTTTACCTCAGCTGGAATTACTCCTGCATGCTAAAAAAAAAAAAAGATGGTAAAAAGTTCCTGAGTATACTTTATGATACGATGATACAACAGAACATAAAATCTATTTCCCTCCCTCTTAAAAAAACACCCTATTCCTTCTGTCTTCTTCCCCTGTACTTACACATTTGCCCTAGGATAGGGGCCCTTTTGTATTGTTGCCCTATGTATTGACTAATGACACTGTATCATCTAAATCCCAACATTTTTCCTTAAGAAAACCTTTTCTATCATTGAGCAAACTGACTAAGTGAGATATTTTATGGATATTTCATATTATATTCAATATATAACAATAACAGTAGAAAACAACTGATGAACTGTACAATGAACCCAAACATTGAACAAAATAACTGCATAATAACTGTTTGTGTAAAACCAGAGATTTGGATGAATTTTGAGCAGATTAGTTCCTGTGAATATTGAGCAGAGATGAGTTTTCCTGATATTTTTCTTATTCAGCGTCTTCTCAATTTACATTTATTAAACATTTGCGGAATCCAAACAGTCATTGCCTCTTGTACTTTGGCTCATTGTGTTCACTGTATTCACAGCATGTTTCTTATATCCACCTATAAAGGGATATAGAGGCTATTAAGGCTATTCAATATTAAAATGCATCAAAATAACTTGTATGCCTTTATTAGACATCTAATCTCTGAAATGTGTCAATACATAATTTACATCAAGTTAAAATATCCACAATCTCTGCTATTACATTCACTAATTTCTGCCTTAATATTAAACTAAAAGCAGCTTATTGAACAGTAAAATCTGGCCATCCTAGTCATCGTAACAACATGACCCTTTAAAACACATAAACTCACCTTTATCTATTTAACATATAAAGTTAGACAGTACATATTTAAGTTAAAAAACTGTAACAAAATCAAGGTAATAATAATGTGACCTTACATTTTGTGTACATCACACAATTGACCCCCCCATGAAGCTTTGGAATGTCAGTCATAATGTTGTCTTGGGCCTCAAAAATGAGGGTTTTCAGCACAGAGCTTGAAAGAAACTGCTCTGAACAAATAACTTTTCTCATCAGCTGTTCGTGCAGATCGGATGCGAGGCGGCAGGAACAAGTTTGGCCCCATGTACAAGCGTGATCGTGCCCTCAAGCAGCAGAGGAAGGCTTTGATTCAAGCAAATGGATTCAGAATAGAGAGTAGCCCACTTCTGGTCTCCTCAACCCATCAGAGAGACTTAACCTTCACTGGTGGCCTCCACCAAGTCCCAATCCTTCACAGCGCCTCCCTACCTGCAGCACAGAATGATCGCATCAGCTACCAGCCTCAGTCACTGCTCCTGCCCTCATACTCACCGGCTGCCACCCAGTACCAGGGCACCTCCTTCTCAAACTGGACAATCAAGTCTGAGCGCACCAACAACTGCGCAAGTTCACCAGGCCCCGCTGCAGGGGTCGGCTCAGACGAGCTGCATTTGAGAGCTTTCTCTCCGCAAGGTCCCAGGATGCCTCAGCTAGTGATGGAGTTCCTGCGATGCGATCCAGATGAGCTCCAGCTGCAGAGCAAGATCACCGCCCGTCTCGTACAGGAGCAGACGGTCTGGGAGAAACACGGAAACCTCAGCACCTTCAGCCTGATGTGCCTCATGGCTGACCAGACGCTCTTCTCCATCGTGGAGTGGGCACGCACATCCATCTTCTTCAAACAGCTGAAGGTAAGGTCCTGTCAGCTGGTTTTGGTTTTTAAACTATTAGAAACACCTTCACTTAGTCCATATCGGCCTTTTTTCATTTTACACTAAAGAGTAGACTCATATGTTCTTTATATGTGTCCATGTCCATGTTGTTTTTCTGTTGTCCCACCATCTTTAACCATGGATGTATTAAGAAGAACTGGGTACAGCGTTGGAGGTGGGCTCTGTTCAATTCTATGGAAGTTGCTTAGTGGCGAATGAAGCCAAAAAAGTTAATCAAATTACCTGGATCTTCATATATGCTTCCGTATCATGTGGCCCATAGAGCAAGCACATTAGAGGAATGGTTTTCAACCAAGCTTTGGGAACCCCTAGTGGTTTTAAGGGGTGTAAGAAAATGTTAAAATGTTAAAATGAATAGGCCTATATCTTATCATCCTGTAGTTAAAAAGTACACAGTTATAACAACCAAAGAGACCAAAGAGACAGAAAAGAAGCCTATTACGTCTGAGTCTAAGTATGATTGTAAAATAAATAAGAACATAATACTTTCTCTCTTTAATGGAGATACAATGATTTAATTATGTGCATCTTCTGGACTTTCCAAATGTTATTGTACTGAATGGATCAGATTCTGATAGTGAAATTAGTTATTTTGCAGGGGTTGTGACACTCAAAAAAATGTATCCACCATTTTAAAGCCGCTTCTCTCCTAATGTAAGCTTATAGGAAAGAGTATTTTTAGGTCAGTGAACATCCTGTGACAGACACCATTGCTGTAATTACACAGTTTGGCCACTATGTCCAATGTGCTTCAAAGCCCAGTGCTCTTTCTGCATGCTTATCTTTGATCATTCATGACTTACGACCTGAACATTGCCTGCTCTCAGGTTTATTCTTTAGTGAAGAGTTAGCTGGGAAGATTGATAGCGCTCTCACATCTGTCAGTAAGGCTCAGGACACTTTTCAAACATAGCCGGTCTAGATTGTACTCCTTAAAAAATATTAATAGACATCCAACAGTTCCCACCATGAGCAAGCACTTGGCGACGGCGGCAAGGAAAAACTTTCTTTAAAGAGGCAGAAACCTTGGACAGACCCTGGCTCTAGGGGGTCAGCCATCTGCCTCGACCAGTTGGGGTTGGAAAGAGGGTAGGCAGGGGTGGGTGGTGAAGCTAGAAAGACAGACACAAAGGTGCACAGCAACAACAATTATATTAGTAGAAATGATTAATGATAATGATGATGATGATGATGATGATGATGATGACGAACTTTCATTAGGTGTTGATTCTAGCGGCACCTGTGGACAAAATTGGTTGTGTTTCTACCACTGTATTTTAATTGATTTAAAGGAAAATCTGACCCAGTGGCAGGCATTAAGAATAACTATATAGAAATATTAAATATTCTCTCTGATGGTCTTGTTTGTTTATGTAGGTCATATAGAGGCATCAGTATTAAACTGAGACTGTTCCATAACCAGTTAAATACTACTTAGTACATTTAATTTATATGAAACCTAGTCTTAAAACCTCATGTCAGAGTGACTGCAGACTGAACTACAGATGCAAACATGGGCAGACATGCACCTGCACACACAAACAAACACACAACGTTAAAATTCACACATTGGAACATCCACTCTCATGTTTGCCCTGTGCTTCCCTGCTGCACTGTGCTGACTGTGATGAGCATATGCTGACAGGACGAGTCACACACACACAGACCAGTCTGACCCAAGTGACTGAAACCCTGTCTCTGCAGTTATTACACTCTGATGACAGAAATCAGATGATTCAGCTGTAGTGAGCAAGTGAATACTGACTGATTTTAGAACAAAGTATAGTAAAGATTTCTGTGAAAGAAATGTCTGTAGCCTGCTCCTCATGTCTGCTTGAAGCCAGATATATATATATACACACACACATATACACATATATCTATATATATATATACACTATATGACAGTATATATAATTCAATTCAATTCAATTTTATTTGTATAGCGCCAATTCATAACAGAAGTTATCTCAGGACACTTTTCAAATAGAGCAGGTCTAGACTGAACTCTTTAAAACATTATTTACAGAGACCCAACAGTACCACCATGAGCAAGACCTTGGCGACAAGGGCAAGGAAAAACTGCCTGTTAAAAGGCAGAAACCTAGGACAGATCCTTCGGCTCTAGGTGGGTGGTCGTCTGTCTCGACCAGTTGGGGTGAGAGAGAGAAAGAGACAGAGAGAGAGAGAGAGAGAGAGAGAGACAGACAGACAGACAGACAGACAGACAGACAGACAGACAGACAGACAGACAGACAGGTGCACAGCAACAACAGTATTTGCAATGGCAATCTAGCAGGACCATGGCAGGAGGCTCCACCAGGATCGACAAGAACCTGCGAGACGAGAAAGCACAAGAACTCTGGGGAAGAAGTGGAGTTAGTAACATACATTAATGGAACATGAATGAGTGCCGAAAGAGAGAGGAAGAGAGGAGCTCAGTGCGCCATGGGAAATCCCCCGATAGTCTAGGCCTATAGCAGCATAACTAAGGGATGGTTCAGGACTCACCTGATCCAGCCCTAACTATAAGCTTTATCAAAGAGGAATGGCTTAAGCCTACTCTTGAATGTGGAGATGGTGTCTGCCTCCCGAACCACAACTGGAAGCTGGAGAGGAGAGGAGCTTGGTAACTGAAGGCTCTGGCTCCTGTTCTACTTTTAGAGACTATAGGAACCACAAGTAGCCCTGCATTCAGAGAACGTAGTGTTCTAGAGGGGTAATAGGGTACTATGAGCTCTTTAAGATATGAAGGGGCCTGACCATGAAGAGCTTTATAGGTGAGGAGGAGGATTTTAAATTCAATTCTACATTTTACAGGGAGCCAGTGCAGAGAAGCTAGTACAGGAGAGATGTGATCTCTTTTTCTAGTTCCTGTCAGTACTCGTGCTGCAGCGTTCTGAATTAATTGAAGCGTTTTAATGGACTTATTGGGGCAACCTGATAATAAAGAGTTGCAGTAATCCAGCCTTGAAGTAACAAATGCATGGATTAGTTTTTCTGCATCTGTCTGTGATAGTATGTGTCTAATTTTTGTAATATTACGTAAATGAAAGAAGGCAGTCCTAGAGGTCTGCTTCATGTGGGAGTTAAAAGACAAATCCTGATCAAAAATAATTCCAAGATTCCTGACAGTGGTGCTAGAGGCCAAGGTAATGCCATCTAGAGTAACTATATCTTTAGACAGTGAGTCACTAAGGTTTTTGGGGCCAAGAACAAGAATTTAATTTTTTTCTGAGTTTAACATCAGAAAATTGCAGCTCATCCAGGATTTTATGTCCTTAAGACATGTTTGTAATTTAGATAATTGATTAATTTCATCGGGCTTGATCGATAGATATAACTGCGTATCATCTGCATAACAGTGAAAGTTAATGGAGTGATTCCTAATAATATTGCCTAAAGGGAGCATATATAAAGTAAATAGTATTGGTCCAAGAACAGAACCTTGTGGAACTCCATGACTAACTGTAGTATTTATTGAAGATTCATCGTTTACATGTACAAACTGCGAACGATCTGATAAATATGACTTAAACCAGCTTAGTGCAGTTCCTTTAATGGCAATTTGATGCTCAAGTCTCTGCAAAAGAACATCATGGTCAATGGTGTCAAATGCAGCACTAAGATCTAATAATACAAGTACAGAGACAAGTCCATTGTCAGAAGCAATCAGAAGGTCATTATTAACTTTAACCAGAGCTGTCTCTGTGCTATGATGAACTCTAAATCCTGACTGAAAATCCTCAAATAAACTATTGTTATGTAGAAAGTCACGCAACTCTTTGGCGACTACTTTCTCCAGAATCTTAGAGAGGAAGGGGAGGTTAGAGATTGGTCTATAGTTGGCTAAAACCCCTGGGTCAAGAGTGGGCTTTTTAAGAAAAGGTTTAATTACAGCTACTTTAAAGGACTGTGGTACATATCCTGATAATAAAGAAAGATTAATCATATCCAGTAAAGAAGTGCCAATTAAGGGAACAACTTCTTTAAGCAGCCTAGTTGGGATCGGGTCTAATAGACAGGTTGATGGCTTCGATGAAGAAATGATTGAAGTTAACTGATGAAGATCGATAGCAGAAAAACAGTCTAAATATATATCTAAGTTTACATTAGCAAAAGTCCCTGAACTTGGAGAGCCACTGATAACTGTTGATGGCAGCTGGTGATTAATTTTCTCTCTAATAGTAATAATTTTATTATAGAAGAAGCTCATGAAGTCATTGCTACTTAAGTTTATGGGGATATGTGGCTCAATAGAGCTGTGACTCTCTTGTCAGCCTGGCTACAGTGCTGAAGAGGAACCTAGGGTTATTCTTATTTTCTTAGTGCTGAGTAATAGGCTCCTCTGGCATTACGGAGGGCCTTTCTATAAGTTTTAAGATTGTCTTGCCACATTGAGTGATATTCTGATAATTTGGAAGAGTGCCATTTCCTTTCAGATTTTCTAGCTATTTGTTTTAACTGGCGGGTTTGGTGGTTATACCAAGGTGCTAGTCTCCTATGTTTTAATAATTTCCTTTTTATAGGAGCGATAGAGTCTAATGTTGATCGTAGTGAGCCTGTAGCACTATCGACAAGATTATCAATTTCAGAGGGACTAAAGTTATTATAGGATTCTGTTAAATTCAGACATGGCATTGAATTAAACACTGAAGGAATCTCCTCCTTAAATTTAGCTACAGCACTGTCAGATAGACATCTGCTGTAGGAAGTTTTGCCTAATGGCTTATAATCTAATAGTATGAATTCAAAAGTTATTAAATAATGGTCAGATAGGAAAGGATTATGTGGGAAGACTATTAAATGTTCAATATCAATGCCATATGATAAAACAAGGTCAAGAGTATAATTTAGTTTAGGTTTAGGGTCCATTAAAACGCTCGAATCATATATGGCTGATACTCCACCTCCTTGGCCGGTGCCTCGAGGAATGTGAGTATTAATATGAGGGGGGGTGGATTCATTTAGGCTAACATACTCCTCGTGAGACAACCAGGTCTCAGTAAGACAAAGTAAATCAATATCATAATCTGATATTAATTCGTTCACTAAAACAGCTTTAGAGGACAGAGACCTGATATTTAACAGTCCACATTTCATTCTCTTATTTTGTGCTACTGAGGAATTAGTTTTAATTTTTATTAGATTTTTATGTTGAACTCCTCTTGTTTTTATTTCTTTAAATAATTTAGGTGGTCGGGGGACAGACACAGTCTCTATGGGGTTTTGGGTGGGTGACTGTTCTAAAGAAAGCGCAGAGAAGTGTGTAAGACAGCAGCTCTGCTTCCTGGTCCTAACTCTGGACTGTCAGGTTTTAGAGATAAACTTTGCCATATTTCTAGATAAGAGAGCCGCTCCATCCAAAGTGGGATGGATGCCGTCTCTCCTAATCAGACCAGGTTTTCCCCAAAAAGGCTTCCAGTTATCAATGAAGCCCACATCGTTTGCTGGACACCACCTCAACAGCCAGCGGTGGAATGACGACATGCGGCTATACATGTCATCACTGGTCACATTGGGCAGGGGTCCAGAGAAAACTACGGAGTCCGACATAGTTTTAGCATAATTACACACCGACTCCACATTAATCTTAGTGACCTCCGATTGGCGTTAACGGGTGTCATTACCGCCGACGTGAATAACAATCTTATTATTTTTACTTTTATCTTTAGCCAGCAGTTTTAAATAGGATTCTTTGTCGCCCGCTCTGGCCCCAGGGATACATTTAACTATGGCCGCTGGCTTCGCTAACTTCACGTTTCTGACTATGGAGCTGCCAATAATCAGAGTTGGTTCCTCAGCGGGTGTGTCGCTGAGTGGGGACAATGTATTAGAAACATGAATGGGTTGGTGGTGAACTGTGGGCTTCGCCGTTTTAGTCTTCCTTCGCTCAGTCACCCAGCCTCCCTGTCTGAGGCAGAGGGGTCCGTGTATGTTTTGGTCATTGGATTTTCCTTTCAGAAACGGGTATTAAAAAACTGAAAACGAGTGGTTATTTGATTTTCGTTTTAAAATACAAAAATTAAAATTGAAATACAAGGCGTTTTTCTTTTTCATGGTCAAAAAGGGATGAGCGAAATTTCTGGCATTTCTCCACACTGGTGCAGTAAAGATACTTGATATAAAGTGTTTTTTATTCATCAGGGGCGCATGAAACACTTTAATGTAACATATTTTAATTATAGCTTACTGTTCTAAATACCTTTATTTTGAAAACCGGAAGTAAATACGCTGTTTCTCCGCATTTACCATAATGCTGAGAATACTTGTACACTCTAAATTTAAGTGCGGCTGATTTGACCACGGAGATCGGACTCACGGCTGGATTGACCGCAGTCTACTAGCCTACTGTTTCTTCTCCACAGCACCGTCCTGTAAATGACAACATCCGGTTTCAGAATATGAAAAAACAGGCCTTTTTTTCCGTTTCTGTTTTCTAGTGATTTTATTTTTTGTTATATGAAATAGAAAATGAAAATCGAATATTTTTTTAATTTCGCTCATCCCTTTTTGACCATGAAAAAGAAAAACGCCTTGTATTTCAATTTGAATTTTTGTATTTTAAAATGAAAATCAAATAACCACTAGTTTTCTATTTTTTAATACCCGTTTCTGAAAGGAAAATCCAATGACCAAAACATACACGGACCCAGAGGAATAACTGAACATCTGACACACTGAGCAGGACAGAGGAGAGGGAGAGGGAGAAGCCATAGCTAACTGCTAATGTTACTGAAGCTAGCGTGTATGAAAAACTTTGAAAATAGCGAAAAGTCGCTAAAAGAAGGAGTAACTCTGAGTGTTTAGGTAGAACTAGTCTACATTTAAATGTTAAGAGGGAAAATAACCGCTGTAACGAGTAAAACTAATTTAGATTTAGCGTTCACTGACAGAGCTACAGCACCAAACAGTGTACACAGAGCAGGAAGTAAACCGGAAATGAGTCAGTACGCTTACCGTAGCACGTCACGTCACACATAATGGACATGGAAGTCTTAAACCTATTTTTTATGTAGTCTTTTTATGTAAAGGCCAGCAGGGGGAGCGCCATTGGCTGCAATTAAAGCTGATACCATGCAGTCTTATGGAGAAATGAACCAACATCTGACTTAATTTATTAGCTCAGTGGGCTAGGCAGTGCTGATCAAATAGATTCTGTTACTGTGTTGACTATTTCTCACCTAAAACCGTTTCAGAAACATATTTTAGTGTACTGCTTAGCTGTAATAGGAGATCTTGTGTGTCCAGGTGAATCACCTTTGTTCCCTGCTCTGGACGAGTTGAAACTGTGCAGCTCAACTGGCAGTATGTCACCTCCACTGTCATAACGCCAAACTCAAGGTTTCAAAACGGTACTCCATAAACCAATAGGTGATGTTCACTCTTGGAGAGAACAGAGGCTCCTGGGATGCCAGCCGTTTTTTAATTGAGAAATGTATTAATTTGATTTGTGCATTTTCATGTCAAAATAAGAACAAATACATTTCTCAGCTGCTGTAGTTAATGATTGGAATGTGTGCACAGTTGTACCATCTTCATTAAGGTCCCCAAATTATCAAGCCTACAGAAATAGTTCAACATACGAAAGAAAGAGTTGTCAGGTGATCCAGGCATTCTGTGTAAGCGTGTTAGCATACTCACAATGACTGTCCTGGTTGGAGCAAGCTCAGATTGATTGAAAGAGTCTGCAGACGATGAGCTGGATAAAACCTGTACTTTAACTTTTTCTTTCAAGGTGAGTGACCAGATGAAGTTGCTGCACAGTTGCTGGAGTGATCTATTGCTCCTGGACATCATCTCCAGACAGGTCCTGTACGGCAAAGAGGGCAGTCTGCTTCTGGTCACCGGACAGGAGGTGAGTCATCTCTGCTTTCTCTGCTATCTCTTTAATTTGTATTTGTAACAATGAAAAGATATTTTAGAAAGCAAATGGCTACATAGCATGTGGAGCAAGTGGGGCATACGTGCCTTAGTCTACGATACGTCTATAATAGCATCCAGTGTTTGGAGAAGGGAAATCACATTTTCTGGGAAGGAAGTCTCTCCTTAATTCCTTAGAGATTTCTGTCACATATAATTCCCTAACATTTCCATTCATTGTTTAAAGGTGCAATGTGTTATCCCTGGCCACATGCGCCAAAGAAATAGGGGGCAGCATTTCCCCTCCTCAAACCCTCAATGATTGAGTACAGTTAGACAAGCACAATAAACTTTGCAATTCCCTCGAAAAGGTATACTATACTGTTTACTTTCCAAACTCTCTTAACAGAAATGCCAATTGGTTACTATATGACCTTACCACAGTTGTATGAACCCACCAGATTTAGCTATGATTTAATTGAAATAAACGGATCAAAAGGATCCCGAAATAACTACATCATAATGCCGACTTGTAAAAAGTCTGAACTCATACTTTGACAGGTCTGTCTTCAAGACGACAAGCAAATAACTTTTCAAATGCTTGTTTTCTGAAAGGAGTTTGGTTCAGTCAGGGCTATATGCTAACTTGGTACAACCAATAGCTGGAATCAGATACATCTTTTCAGAATTTACCATGTAGTACAACTTAGTACAACTAGCTCCTTTTTTGTCTCATCACTGTAAAATATGAAGTAACGTCACTGCGGCTTGCTGCTGCAGACAGGTTGACAGGCAAGAGTGTACATCCACTTTTTAATCCCAAAAGTTTAAAAATTAACTACAAATTAATTATACAGAGCTATCCTCCAATCTGTAGATGGCCCCGGAAGCTCAGCTCTCCTCCAGAGTCCTCAGCAGCCATCTGTTGGCTAGCAGCAGCTCTGCCTGGCTCTATTTATTCTTCCTCTCACATTGACTGAGGGCAGACTGGACTCTATAGAAACTCACTATTGCCTGTATTTTTTTAACACATGGTTAACATTGTGAAACGGTCCCAGTTAGGTTTAGGCACCAAAACTACTTGGTTGGGTTTAGGAAAACACTGTGGTTCGGGTTAAAAAATTTTAGTTGCACCCTATACATAACGTAACATTATGTAACTTAAAACTTTAAATAAGTCAACGTTAAATTTTGGTTTCACATGGGACACAAACCCCAGTCTCCTGGGTGACAGTCCTGAATGTGTTTGAGCCATCCATCCACCCCACCACCTGCAGGTACAGGTCCCGACCAGAAGATTTGTTAATGTTAATGCACACATTCTTCTAACACTGCTGTTGTGTCCATTTGATTTTATTATCCCTTGTCCTGTGTATTATCAGAAAAAAGTGACATGATTGGGATGTCCATGACAGTTCCTGATGTCAATACTTGGGTTCTTTGGTTCAGATGGAGCTGTCAGACATAACTTCTCATGCTGGTCCTACCTTGGTCAGCCTAGTCCAGAGAGGACAGGAGCTGGTTGAGAAGCTCCACATTCTAAAAGTGGACCGCCAAGAGTTTGCATGCATCAAGTTCCTCGTCCTCTTTAACTCAGGTTAGTGATATCTGATGCTTCTTATCCATAAAGCTTCATATTGAAACAAAAAGACTTCGAGTTTGATGGGTTCTTGGTTAATTATTTCATATGCGTGCTTTTAGCCAAAATACCTGTAAATGAATCTGACTCTCCAGATGGTTTGTTTCACATAACCAAGATAGTTTGTTTCACATAACCATCTGGGAAATCTTCCTTGGAAACTGTTTAGGCAAGCACCAAATCATTATCACGGGCTAACTTTCACCAATCAGATCAAATAACCAAATAACGTATTAATCCTCTTAACTGAAGCCAGTCGGGAGAAAAGAGAAAAAATCTTTTCTAAAGCCTTCAGTGCCATTTTTTGCTTCTTTCAGTGAAGAAATACTCTCCAGTTCTGATATAACGATGCTAACAATGCAAACATCTGTAAAATTATAGCCTGTTGCCAGTGCAAGAACTTTTCCAGGGGCACAGGATTCAGGAACTTTACCTGCTGAGGAGCCAGGTTTTACACCTAGTTTCTAAGCCATAGCTCCAGCTCTGGGGGTAGTACTTTCTGATTGTCCCTTGCAACTTGATTGGATGCTGTCGTATTGGTTCAAACAAAGTGGATCAGTGTGGACTTACTGGACTTTCTATTGTTATTGTATTATAAGTACTTTTTCTATTCTTTACCATGTGTGAGTAGAACAACTGTCACAAACAAATTTCCCCCCGGGGATGATTCTGAAATGAATTTTATATATATATATTAGTGCTGTCAAACGATTAAAATATTTAATCGCGATTAATCGCATTAATGTCATAGTTAACTCGCATTTAATCGCAATTATTTGCACATTTTTATCTATTCTAAATGTCCCTTGATTTCTTTTTGTCCCATTATTTTTTCTCATTTTAATGCTCTTATCAACAACCTTCAGATTAGGGATCGACCCGCTCTGCCTCCGAGCCACAGCCGCCCACCATCTATCCGTGTGCTTCTCTCTGAAGTCATCCATTGTCACCTGGCTTTGTCGAGGGGGCGGAGAATTCGCATCAGCTGTGTGCTTGGCCATCAAGTGGTATTTCAGACTGGACGTGCTGCGATGATAGCTCAGTTCACAACGACAAAACACACAGATCACTTTGGTCTTGTCAATGGAACCTTTGGCAACTTTTTAAAAGTAAACTTTCCATTCAGAATATTATTCGCAACCATTACGGCGTCTCGCGCTCGCCATCCACTCAAAACGTAACGTCTACTACTCTTAAACACCTAAACGTGCCTGTTGTTTTGTTTCCGGTCTAGCTAGATCCAGTGTGGTGTTGTAGTTTTTCTAACGTTACTAGTTGTTGCAACAGCATGTGAAAAAAACTACAAAGTGTGCTAGGCCAAAAAGAACGTTAATCTCGCGATAAAAAAATTGACGCAGTTAAAATGGGTTTGCGTTAACGCCGTTAATAACGCGTTTAACTGACAGCACTAATATATATATATATATAAATATTGGAAATGAATTGGTTTGTGGCACATTTTTTAGACTCAGGGTCACACCTTTGGTTCAAGTGGTTTTATTATCAGATGAAAAGGAAGAATAACTATTAACCAACATTGGTACGCCAGTTCTCTACTCCATGATATGAAAAGGTTTGACAAGCTTTGATCTGTGTACATTCACTGGTTGTTACTTCCCCTCTCCCCCACTGACCAGATGTGAACCAGCTTGAAGACCATCATTTCATAGAGAGTGTTCAGGAGCAGGTTGAGGGAGCCCTGCTGGAGTACACACTGTGCAACTCTTCTCACCTCCTTGGGCGCTTTGCTCATCTGCTGCTGTGTTTGTCAGAGTTACGTTCTCTCAGCAGCCTCGCCGAAGACTACCTGTACTGCAAACACCTGAGTGGTGAGGTTCCCTGCCACAACCTGCTCATTGAAATGCTCCATGGCAAGCGCAGCTGGGCATGAGGACGTAGAAGCATTGAGCTGTGATGAATGTCTAATACAATGAGTACAATTGTGCTTTAAGAATATATACAAAAAATATATTATAAATCGGATAATGTGACTTGTAGCTACTGAAACTAGTAACATTTTACTTATATGCAAATATGTTTATTTGCATTTAAAGTCATTAGCTGATGAGATTGATATCAGTTTAATCTCTGTATCATTTTGTACAGAGATAGGTGTGGAGAAAGAAAATGGAAAAAACTGCTAGCCTTCAACTTAAGAGAAAAACAAAACCAAAGCTGTTTTATAACAGTGTAAAATGGTTCCAAAATATTAGCCAAGAAAGATAGAAAGACCCTTTGGGTTGGTGGCTTGTAGATATTTAATTGATGAGTCTCATTTCCAGCATCAGTATTTGACGACCTGGGAATAAGACTAAACAATCAACAATCTTTCTTGGCTCTGATTGGATGTTTTCGTTCAGACCCGGTGGATTCTTGCAAATGCCATTAGGAGCACTAGGAGGAGCCAAAGGGACCTGATTTTTTCAGATTGTCTGTCAGGAACTACTGTCAGCATATAGTAAAAGTTTCAGCAAATATGACAGAAAGTTATTTTTATATAAGAGACCTACTGCAGCTTTATGACATGTCTGAAGGGGAGTTTTAAAATCAATTATTAGTTTTTTGTATATATTGAAATACATTGAGCTCCAGTAGGTTTTATTTGTGTACAACCATGAGCAGAGCTGTGCAGACTTTGAACAGATGATGTGATGTCATATGAAAAATGGTTAAAAGGTAACATTTAGGTAATGTTTTTGTGTGTGAGTGAGAGCCCTTATGAGGTCAGATTGTTATTGTAAGTGACACAACCATACAGAGAAATGAAACCTGTAACTTTCATTACTCTTTAAAAATTCTCATTGTGATTTTCAAATTAGTTGGGCCATTCTCAGTGAAAATTTGTCTTTGTGTTGCTTCATCCTATATATCTCTGTACCTGTAGTAGATGGCATCAGTGCAAATAGTATTCAGATCCCACGCTGAGGGACTTTAAAACACAACACAAACTAAAAAAAAAGAATGGTTGTTCTTTGCAGTTATACACACATTCCCATTCTGTGTATTATACTGTTGTTGTTCAATAAAGCTATTTTGAAATCTGTCTTGATTCATGTGTTGTTTGTGTATTGTTTACAATGTAATTAAGTATGTGTAGTTGAATGGAAAGTAAGTTTACTTCTATCAAAGCACTTTAATGAGTTGACGACAACTCAAGTACAAAGTAGAAAAAGTAGAGAAGAGATATTTCCACTTGCTTCAGTTGCAATTGTTACAACCGCAATGTCCTTGTTCATCTAAAATAGTGAGTTATATAACAATAATACATTTCAGCAAAGTTATTTTTATTAAAATTGCTTTAAAACTGAAGAAACAAGTAGAAAGTAAAAATGTCAGGGGGTAAAAGTAATAGTACAGTACATAGTACAGATACATGAAAAAAAAAAAAACCAGACCAGTGTGTAGGATTGAAGTTGCAGATTGTAACTAACTGAACACCACTCGCACCTGTATTTAATGACCTGGGTATGAGAACAGGTGAAGTGTGTAGGAGAAACTACAGTGGCCATGAAAAGTCCCTATCTACAGTCAGGGTTTGGTTTGTCCCTCCTGGGCTACTGTAGAAACATGGTGGTTCAACATGGCTTTAGACTGTAAAAAAAAACACAACTCATTCTAAGGTAACAAAAAACAACAATTCCTCTATTCAGGTGATTATACACTAATGAAAACATACCTATGAATATTATATTCTATTTCTGACAATAGATCCTCCTCAATGTTACACAGTGGACCTTTAAGTGTAGTACTTTTCACAGACATCATCAGTGGTTTTTAGGCAATGCCAAGCCACAAACATTATTTTGTCTAATGGAGCCACCCGTCAGTCCAGCAGGGATCATGCTGAGGTGCCACATGAACACAGACTTCATCTTTTGGAAACAAGCTCTTTGAAAATCCTAACACATCCCTCAGAAATAACCATGTAATACATGATGCTTGTAATGTATTGGAACATGAAGGCAGTGGACAATGAGAAGACACACTCTTCCTGCAGGTTAAAGTCAGGGCACATTAAACCTTTGTTATCGGTCACTGAGATCCCACCGATTACACCTTCAACCACCTGTTTTGCCCACTCTGCTCTAATAAAAGGCTTAATCAACATAATGCACTCATATTGTTGTGTGGAGGCGCCCTATCTGATCTTGTCCACCTCACTGGAGCCCATTTCCTTCTCGACCTTGACATCCAGCTGGCATCAAGTTGGCATCCGTCCTGTTGGAGGACAAAACGCAGCAGTATGATTAAATACACAATGCCCAGGATGGGACGGGTCTTCATCTGGGACTAAACAGGATCTAATTTATCACTCTATACTTTATTGAAGTGAATGGATTATAGGAACCTGCTATATTATATAACTATATAACAATAATATAGTTGTATTTGTGTGTTTCAGTGATTCAGGGTTGGGTGACAAATTGTATGTAATCAAGATTATATAATAAGATTATTATCATATTACATTTGAAACAATGTGTAATTAGCAGTGTTGTGTTACTCAAAAAATTTGATTCATTACTCATTACTCATTGCTCTTTTTTAAAAATTCCAGTTTTGTTTGTTAAACTCAAAGTAGATTTCTGCTGCTGAATGTAAGCATTTCCATCTTCCAAACTTTTTTTTATTAATCCAAGGATGTGATTGGATTGTTAGATTTCAAATCAGTAGGAGGTGCCAACAAAAGTAAGGTTGTAACTAATTATTTTGGGGGGTAAATATTATTACTGAAATTAAGTAGTAATTAGTTACACTACTAGTTACTGGGGAAAGTAATATTATTACTAGTAATGAGTTACTGCCCAACACTGGAAATTAGATTATAGTCACATCGTCAAGGACTACTTGATTACATTTGTGATAATGTCTTTACAAAAAATACAAAATTCATTATTAATTTGTTTTACTTTGTTTTTTAACAATTCATGGATAATGGGGTTTTTATTCCTTTTTATTTACAGTGAAAATGGAAGATGAGTGCTCCTCTTGTGTTACAAGAGTAAAGTCCTCCATGTGGCCTTTGATAAAAAACGCATCAAATCTACTCGCATTACAAACGTATGTTTAAGTAAGTGTTGTTTCTAGTATAAGGTGCAATATTTTCAGTGTTAGAGTCTGAAGTAATCCAAAAGTTTTCAGATTAGATTACATTTTTTTGTAATGAAATCGATTTATTTTATTTTTTTTTATTAATTACAATAATTTATGGATTCAAGGAAGTTTATTTGACTGTTATTTACAACTCAGGGTTGTATAATTAATTTTAGAATCTAGCTCCCTTTATCCTACTCATAAAACAAAATAAAAATGTATTAAATAATACAAAATAAATAAACAATCAAAATGAGCTAACAAAAACTAAAAGGTTTTAAAGGAGGTTAGATTAAATTAAGGGGGTCTAATACATTTATACTGGTAACTCAAGTACCTATTTTCCAGTTTTCTGATTTCTGAAGATTCAAAGACGATTTTCAAGTAATTTATAAATGCCACAAAGCTTGAAGCACCTTTTTAAAAAATATACATTTGTGAATGTTACATTTCCAATATATTAATATATACTCGAATATATATATTTAAAGAAAATATACAAAAAACAAACATCAATCTTTTGTTTAATGGGTCTCTCAAGTCATTTCTTTAGCTATGAAAACCACAACGTACGACTTTACAAGGGGTCCACAAATGCAGCACCCCTTCCAGCCGCTTCCATTACTTCCTTTACTTCCCGGAAACACAAACCTTCATTCAACAAGATGGCGACATTGACAGTGAGCCGGCCGCTGTTCGGGGGTTTCAGTTTCGAAAACTGCAAGAGGTAAGCGCTCCTCAGAGGCTGAAAAACAAATTGAAAGAACCACACTGCTGAGTTTAATCCGTTTTCACATTTGGTAAGAAGACGGTGTGTCGAACAGCCGTGTTTCCAGACGTTCTCCTCATGATGCTAGCTCATGTTCACTCGGCTTCTATGCAATGACTCAGGCATTTCCCCACGCCGCTATCAACGTTACGGTTGACTTATCTTCAGGCTACCTTTAAACATAATACCGTTTTGATTGATTTAAAACAGTTATGACCTTTTTGTATCGACAAAGCACATTAGTATATTAAGTTACTTAAATCTATATTTTTACGCGTTAAACAACAACCGGGCGGAACGTTTCTTCCGCCCGCTGTCTGTACAGCCTGCAGCCCAACGTTCAGGTGTAACTCGGTTGGTTTATAAAAAAAAAGGATGTACTTTAAAATTGTAATCTGCTAAATAATCCCTATTTTTACTGTATGTAACTATAATCTGACTACGTCTTTTTTCCCTGTAACTGTAATGGATTAGTTACTAATTAGTTAGTAATGTTGTACACGTAGTAAGTAGGGCTGTAACTAAAGATTATGTTTATTATTGATTACTCTGTTGATCATTTTCTTCATGAATCGACTAGTTTGGTCCATAAAATGTCAGAAAAATGTTGATCAGTGTTTCCCAAAGTCCAAGATGACATCCTCAAATGTCTTGTTTTGTCCACAACCCAAAGACATTGTTACTGTCATAGAGGACAAAAGAAAGACATAACAACAAAACATATTCACATTGGAGAAGCTGAAAGCAGAGACATTTATTTCTTAATGAACGACTTAAAAAAAAAAGTTGGTTTGTTTATAAATAGTGCTGAGTAACAGGATTTCATCAACAGATTTATCAGTGTGGAAACATTTCAAGATTTCAACTTTTATCTGGGCCTTTAATTAATCTGCAACTATTTTGATAATCATTTAATCTTTGAGTCATTTTCCTCGTATTATTTGAGAAGCTAAAATCAAAATTTTGATTTTATAAAAATGACTTAAAACAATGAATTGATTTCATGTGTAAAAAGGAACCGTAATCAGATATTTACACATGCTGAAATTCCTCTAAACTACATTAACTTAAGATAATTCTTAGTGAACCCAGATGGTTTAACTAAAAGTATGCTCACTGCTTAAAATAGACTTAATGTTTAAGTATTTCCCCACTGATATATCCTTTCATGGGACTCAGCACTATTTATTGCAGCAACAATTAGTCAATTAGTGGATTAGTCCTCTATGACAGTAAACTGAATGTCTTTGGGTTGTGGACAAAACAAGAAATTTGAGGACGTCAGCTTGAGCTTTGGGAAACACTGATCAACATTTTTCAGAATTTTCTGGCATTTTATGAACCAAATAACTAATCGATTAATCCAGAAAATGATCAACAAATTAATCAATATGGAAAATAATCATTAGCAGCCCTAGGGCTATTCAGTGGGATTTGGTCTCAGTTATGTAAGTGCCTTTTTAAATCATTATTTTTTTTAACTATTACTTTTATTTTCAGAAATGCACTTTTGGAAGGTGAAGCTAACAAAGTGGGATGCAGTCTGCCTGCCGCCCGGAAAACAGGAACTACCATCTGTGGTGTTGTCTTCAAGGTGGGTGACAGAAACTAAACTACTTAGAGCAGGTACGCTGGGCATTGCCGTCATTGCAGTCAGCTTCTCCCTGTTAGGATTCCTTCAGTGTTCATGGTTCAGGAGGTTTCTACTGGGAGCCCAGTTATCCACAGAGGTCTCCTCCTCTCCAAAACAAACAGACCCGCTGATTAAAACCACTAAACACACTGAATAAAGCAGTTCCACCTTAAACACACTGAATAAAGCAGTTCCACCTTAAATACACTGCTTCTCCCACACTGAGCTGCTGCTAATGTTAGCTCAGCTTGTTTCTCTGATAACTTAAGATCCAGACGTCCGATGACTAAAATCCTTCATCCGGTTCAAATCTAGAGTTATAAAGCACTAAGATGGATGTATAGACCTGTCTGGATGTATACTTGTATACAGATGTATACATCTGTCTGGAAATGAGATTTAGGATATCAAATGTCTGTAAACTCTAGAGCTATGTTCTATATGTAGTTGAGTAGTGTACTTCCTTTATCCCAAATGTTTCCAACAATGTTCAAACTCAGAGAAATCTGTCATTTTATTCAGGTAACGCTGCGTTTCACCGGTCGCCTGTCGATGGCGTCATATCCCCTTTGTGCCTGCGTCAGTGTTGTGGTTGTCTGCCAGAAGCTGTCATACATTGACTGTTGATCCAGTCTGAAGCCACATTGTTACCATCCACTGTTTAGATCTTGGTGCTTTTTAACTCTAGATTTGAACCGGATGAAGGATTTTAGTCATCGGACGTCTGGATCTTAAGTTATCAGAGAAACAAGCTGAGCTAACGTTAGCAGTCTTTGCTCTGTTTAATAGCACTTGGGAAATACTTTTTAAAAAATGAAATTTTCATAGGAGGCCTAATCCTTTCGTCCTCATGTGTAGGTCCATTCAGGGATGGAAACACAGATTAGGGCTGCTCGATTATGGAAAAAATCATAATCACGATTATTTGGGTCAAAATTGAAATCACGATTGTTCAAATGATTATTTTTTTAAACTTCAGAAACATGCTGCATTTATTGGACATTTGTCAAAAACATTTGTAAGTCTCCTCGTTACCTGTTCAAACGAAAACAACGTGACAGGAGAAGACTGCAACTAGTGTTGCAACCACCAGCGCAAATATAAATAGTTACGGCGCTCCTGTGACTTCACATGGTCGTGCGACAGGTCGGGAACGGCGAGTATACCGAGCACATGACTCATTCGCAGTGCGTGCTGTGGGGGAGGGACGGAAATACGCATGCGCGAAATACGCAGACTTTGGCTGTGTCCCAATTCAGGGGCTGCATCCCTGAATTCGCATGAAACTTGTCACGTCGCATCTGGAGACCGTCCTGGCAAAAAGACTAATTTAAAGTATTTTGATATTTCAAAAATTAGCATGTTATAAAATTAGCACTTTCTGTAGATTATGGTGAAAATAGGAAGTGGACCATTTCTCCACATTGGTATGTCCAATTGACACCAAGCTTGGGTCCATAGTTCCACATGTCTTCCTTAGGCATTGTGTACAATTTCAGGTCATCACCACAAGGTGGCGCTCTTTATAATGAAGAAGTTTATATCTCCACATGGGCATGTATGATTAAAATGAAACTTGGTACGATGCTTGCCCATGGCTCCCTGAGGCTCGCTAAAAAATGTGTCAACAATCCGCCACTAGGTGGCGCTCTGGTGGCAGGGTAAATCACTCTGTGGAGAATGTAATAATTATGAATATGAAATTCACAGGGCATGTGTAGACTGGTGCCTGTAGCTCACATACCAAAAATCGTGTTTGGGTGTTTGTAGTGCCCCCTACAGGATTTTAAAAAACTAGCCCCGGCGCCACGTTTCACCGATATGTATGAAACTCGGTAGGCACGTGTAACGTGCCGAGACGTACAAAAAAGCCTCTTGGACCCATACCCCAAACCCCACGGGAAGACGGCCATTTTCATTTTCATTTTCACTGTCGGCGAACTTTTTGCCTTGTATTGGAACGAACTCCTCCTAGGGAATTTATCGGATCTGCTTCAAAATTGGTCAGTACAGTCAAAGTATGCTGATTAAAAGTTGTGCTATTTGTGACTGTACATTGAACGGAGTGTCTGTGGCGTGCTGTCAAATGTGTCGGTACAGTAGTATATCAGTTCTTCACAGCATGGGGATCCTCATGTTTCCTGGAGACAAGATTTAAAAAAGCTCCACAGTTCATCCGGCCTATTGTCCTCTACTAGAGTGGAGGCGGCCTGTTCTATCGATTTAAAAACTCCATGAAGTCCTTGTGCCAGTTCTCCATACTAAAACAATTTGGCTTACGTTGTTTCCAGTTTATTAAAATGATCCGTTTAGCTGATAGAAAAGCCAGGACAATAATTCTTTGTACAGTTTTGGGTTTTGCAGTGTCCATATTCGCACCTAATATACAGGTTATCGGGCAGGGATTTATGTTAAGGACACATGACAAGCTTTCAATAACATTCAACCAAAACCTCTTAAAAGGAGGGCAGTACCACAGTAAGTGCATTAGTGTACCCTCCACCTCACAGCCATGCCAGCAAGATTTGGATAATGTGTTATCAAATTTATTCAGATTGCAAGGTGTAATGTAAGCTCTGTGATCATTTTGTATCTGACATACTTTGACACTTTTGTACAACTTGTAAGTGCTCTATCCCATTGTGGGAGGGAAATGGGTACACCCATATCACGTTCCCATTGTAATTTAGTTTGGGAGTTTCTGTCAGGAGCAGCAGAACATAATAATTTATACATTGCTGAGACTGTACCTTTCCTGACAGCAATTCCCCTTAATTTGTTTTCTAAATCTTTTTTATTCCCTATCTCTTTGGCAGTGTTTCCTCTAGGATTTTTTTTAGCGGTGGGGGCAGGCCTGTCCGAACAACCCCCTGATTTATATTATGCTGTTGCCATACTTTATTCTTAAGAGGTTTACCTCCTGCGGTAAACAAGGGATTATTCTACAGTGGACATGATGGTAAAGATGTTCCTCTAAAGTTCAAATGCTTCTGGAGAATTTTGACTACATCACAAGAGAGCTGTAAAGCTGGATTATTAATTCTAGAAATAGCTTTGGGATTATACCATAAAACTGTTGAGGTTATGCCTTTGTTATAAGCTTTGAAAATATTTTCCTCAAGCCACTCCCAACTGCCAATCTCTCTAACACCGGCATAGGCCCACTGCAAGGGATATCTAGAGTTAAATGCTATATAATATTGGTATTTATCTGGAAGTCCTAATCCTCCTTTAATTCTTGGGTTGTTTAATTTTTTTTATTACTAATCCTAAATTTTTTGTCATTCCAAAGAAAACCAGAGAATAACTTATTTATTTCCTTAAACCAGCTAGGGGGGAATTTGAGCGGTATAGAAGACATGAGAAAAGCCAACCTTGGTAATATGTTCATTTTTATGACTTCTGATCTTCCCCAGAGGGATAGAGGTAAAACTGTCCACCTTTTAATGACCTTTTAATTTTAATTTGAGTGCATTTTCAAAACTAATCTACTATTCACCTGTATGTGAGTAAAAGACACTTGGAGAATGGATCCCACCCTAACTCTGGTTCTCCTCAGTCTGAGTGATGTTTTGTGTCTCCCTGTGAAGGATGGCATCGTCCTCGGAGCTGACACCAGAGCCACCGAGGGCATGATAGTGGCAGACAAGAACTGCTCCAAGATCCACTACATCTCCCCCAACATTTAGTAAGTGACAGGAGCTCTTCAGTACACTGCAGAGGACTCCCATTGTTTGATGTGCAACCTTTGTGTAAAGGAGTTTTCTAATGCCACGCACAAGGGACAGTCAAAAAGATGTTTACCATAAAACTGAACCAGTGACCCTGATTTATTTAACCCGCAATTTAGCCACATTTGCTCCTCCGGCTTCTTCTCAGCCGTCCTGTGATACTAGCTGTGTGACTGTTTTTGTGCAGCTGCTGTGGAGCAGGAACAGCTGCAGACACAGAGATGACCACTCAGATCATCTCGTCCAACCTGGAGCTGCACGCCCTCTCCACGGGCAGGCTGCCACGCGTGGCCACCGCCAACCGCATGCTCAAACAGATGCTCTTCAGGTACCTTCCTCAGACTACATCAGTGTTCATCATGATATAGAACCTTTCTACCTGACAAATCCAGACACTCACTCACACTGATGCAAAAATAACTATTGCCATTCAATATCCAAAAATCAGAATAAAGTGTGTGTGTGTGTGTGTGTGTGTGTGTTCAGGTATCAGGGCTACATCGGGGCTGCTCTGGTCCTGGGTGGAGTGGACTGTAACGGTCCTCACCTTTACAGCATCTACCCTCACGGCTCCACCGACAAGCTGCCCTACGTCACCATGGGTCAGTGTCGCACACAGCTCAGTGACGTTTCTACACATTCCTCGCATTTCACCACCAGCTCCACGTCTCGATGGACATCCCACTCTCAAACATATTCAGACACTTTCTGTCTGATTCTTATTCTTTTTATTTTTAGTTGCTTTCATTAGGACACATTATTGTTTAAATTTTTGGATATATGAGGGGGTTTTTGAGATGTCTGCCTGGAAAACTAGTTTTCCAGTCATAGAAACACCTGGAAATGGATTAAAATGACAAAATATCTTGGAAATAATCTAAACTAAATGTGGAAAATTCTTATTGTATTTTAGCCCCTCACTCAGATCACCAGTGTAAACCTGTGTTAGAAGAAGGCTGCAGTAAACTGTAGTCTGTGTCCGCAGTGTTTTCTTGTCACCTTTTTATATCGGATCAGCTAACTCGGAGCTTCAACCGAGTACCATCCGGTGATAATGCAGCTTTAAAAAACAGCCGTGGTAATTGCATTCTGGGTACTGTCAGCTCAGTGACCACTTAAACAGCATTAATTCTCCCTCTAAAGGCTCTGGGTCCCTGGCTGCCATGGCTGTGTTTGAGGACCGCTACAAGCCCGACATGGAGGTGAGTACGCCACTCACATGTAACTCATAGCAACACAGTCCCAACAAGTGAGTGTGACTTCCTGTGCTAGCATACTGCTTTTCATCTGAACATCAATGCTGTTTGTTCCTCCAAAGGAGGAGGATGCCAAGCGGCTGGTGCGAGACGCCATCGCCGCGGGCATCTTTAATGACCTGGGCTCCGGCAGCAACATCGACCTGTGTGTCATCACCAAGGGCAAGGTGGACTACATCCGGCCCCATGATGAGGCCAACAAGAAGGGTGTCAGGTGAGAACTGCCCCACTAAAATATGTAGATTAATTTCATCCACATGATCTTCCTTTGTAGTTAACATGTTAAAACAACCTCGTCTCTCCTGTTGGGATAATGTGTACTTGCCTTAATGACTCATCTGGAGTTCTTCAAATCACTGATTTCAACACACCTGGTGTCTGTTCCAGAAAGCTGGTTTACTAAAAGCTATGGAGTTCTTCTCATTAATAACAAGTAAATCATGTTTAATAAGTCAAGTAGTTTAAAAATGCACACAAAGGGCAACCATTTACAGCATCCTCGAGTTAGAAACTGAGTACAGTTGGCTAATTACAACTAATAAACAAAAAATATTATCAGTTTGAATTCAACTAAAAGCTCCCTGCACCAAACTCCCTTTAAGAAATATCACATTTTAACAATTCCTAACGTGTCCGTTAGGGATGCACCGAATATTCGGTCACCGAAACAACACGGCCGAAACAGAAAGTTGTGATGACGCAAACAAAAACCGCGGCCAGCGCACGCTTGTCTGGATAAGCGCCAACATGTCTGCGGTGTGGACGGATTTCAATATATCTGAAAAAGACCCACGGATAGCGATTTGCAAAACGTGCAATGCTGAAATTTCAAGAGGGGGTGCATCTGCAAAGAGTTTCTCCACGTCGGGTTTAATTTATCACCTGAAATCCAAACATCCTGATTGCCATTCTGAATATGAGAAGAATGTGGCACAGAAAAGGGATATCAATCCGAGCACGCCCACTCCGTCTGTGGTGGACGTTTTTGAAAAGGCAAGAAAGTTTTCCAGTGATGGTGCCAAGGCAAAGGGCATTACACAAAGAATGATGGAGTTCATTGCCTTAGATGATCAGCCATTCTCTTTTGTAGAGGATGTGGGATTTCGTAGGCTGATTATTATTCTCATTATTCATTCATTCATTCATTCATTCATTCATTCATCATTATTATTAGGGATGTGGCCGATATTCACAAAAAAATGTAATATGGGGAATTATCGGTATCAGGTTTTTATAACCGATGTTTGTTCTGTAGGCTTCAGCATATCCGAGCCTGCATGAACGCAGCATGGGATGTTTACTGGCGCGCGCTAGATGATGTATAACAACAACAACTACACACTAGACTGGTTGGTTGCTAACCGTGGCTAACAAGCAAACAATTTAAAGCTGAATGATTTTAATATTAACACAAAATAAGCACAATGCACCTTCAATATTTTACCCTGCTATGAGCTGTTCCTTACCAAACTAACAATTGGCTTAGAATAAACATTAGCACTCCAGCTAGCGCTTAGCTAGCGATTAGTGCGTAGCTAGCGATTAGCGTTAGCGCTCTTTTCAGTATTAATACAATGAAAGTTGAAGTTGTTCTCTTATTTTGCACAGACAGTGTTTACATTTGGAAAAGCCATGTTGCATTTATGTATGCATCCAGTGGGGCATCACAATAAAATTAGGCATAATGTGTTCATTCCACAATAGGAGATATTTTATGTTGTTACCTAACAGTTTTGGTGTAAAAAGCCTGCATATATCGGTATCGGGTGATATCGGTATCGGAAACTGAGAGTTGGACAATATCGGAATATCGGATATCGGCAGAAAAGCCAATATCGAGCATCCCCAATTATTATTTATTTAATGTACACATGAGTGGGGTCAAGTTAAACATTTTATTTTGAATTTTATTTTATTTTATATTGTGCATTGTTGTATTGTCAGTGCTAAATAAATATTTTCATACTTTTGTAATTGATTTAGTCTTTGAATTACAGTGCCTTGATTTTAGTGAGGTTAGTACACAGTCATAGCCATAAATGCAATGGTACTAATAATTGGCATCATTTCTTTAGGTTTTCGGCCTTGGTTTCCTCATTTTCGGTTTCGGCCAAGAATTTTCATTTCGGTGCATCCCTAGTGTCCGTAACCACACGTAACTCTAGAATCATGAGCTAAAGGCTGTCATACGTCCACAGTGTGACTGTCAGTTCATCAGCAGTCTGATCACGTCTTATATTCAGATAGTGAACTCACATCCTCACAGGAGCAAGCGCTGTTGGCGAGTGGAAAATCCTGCCCTCTGTTTGTCTCACTCTTCTCCGCTTCCATCACACTTGACTCTAAAGTTTACAGCCTACCATGCTGTTGTCATGGAAACGCATGTAAATTGTTTAAAATGACCAAATATCCTGAAATGAATCTCTTGTCCTGGAAATGTTTGTATTTTAGTCCCTCACTCAGATAGGCTTCGTAAATAGGTGTTTATTCTGTTTGAAACTCAACTGATGGTACGAGAAACTTTCCAAGCAGGTCTCAAAGTGTACTGACTTGCAATAATCTTTTTGGCGAGTCCGTTCTTTCCAGAGCTCCCAGTTAAATTCTCACATCTCCATGCACACAGCCTAATAATCATCGATCAATAAGCTTGTTGCTTTGGTTGATAAATACATGCACGGTTAACTGTACATGCAACGCTTTAACTTTCTAGAATTCTCCTTGACTTGAGCTGTTTCTTATGTTCTGTGACCAAATAAATGTAGTCAGTGTGCCTCAAACTGCAGCTTAAATGACCGTTTCAAAACAAGTGCTCTTGTCTATCATCCAGAAAAACATCCTGGAAAAGGATTTGATTAAAACGAGTGGGAACCTTGCTTAGAGTCAGTTTGGTAATAGTGCTTTGTGGAACAGCTCACATATTGAGTTAGTAATGTATGTAGGTCAGAAATCAACCAGCAACTCTTCAGCAAACAATCAAACTTGTTAAAATGCTTGTCCTTCCTAGCAAATATTCCCAAGCTGCCCATTGGGGGAAGTTTCTGTTACATTAGGAAAGATGGAAGAGTGCCTCATTCCAGAGCATGATCTATAATGATTGACTTTCCTGATGAACTGGTAGATGACTGGTTGTCTTGTTGCTTGTTCTGCTTGAAGAGTAAATGAGGGTGAAGCCTTGCAGCTGTGAGTACAGATTGACGTTGTGTGCACACCTAACACCCACCGACTCACGTTCTTCTCAGTTTGCTACTAACCAACTTTAAAAAGAAATCTGCATGGGCTGCTCAGTGTGACTTCACACAACTAACATGCATGGCAGTGTGTAGGACAGCTGTCTACAGTGGCGTGCTGCAGTGCTGAACACGTGTGGAAGTGCATTAAACAAGCCCCAGCACAGACTTGTTTAATGAGCCTATTCAGCCCTCGCTTCAATCGAAACTCATTATCCCATGTGTCCCGTTCTCTCCCGATGTAGAACCGGCGACTACAAGTACAAAAGAGGAACCACCGGCGTGTTGACGAAGGCGGTGACCCCGCTGGCCCTGGAGGTTGTGGAGGAAACTGTACAGACCATGGATACCTCCTAAAACACTTGTACCGTGTGTTTCTCGATGTAACTCACTACCCCTCAGAATTCCTAACACAAATGGCATGTTTTTTTCCATGATTTACAATAAAAGTGTTTGAGTTGATTCGTGTTTGATTCTTGACTTCATTCAAGTTACGAAAAAGACAGTAAGCCTTTTTCACACTGGCCAGGGACTACAAATGATCTGGCATTGTTTTTACCGTGTGTATTTATTCATCTGCACTGTCCATACTCTGAAGTAAATGTGATTTGATAAAGTTGGGAGTTTCGAGGCCTCATATTGCAGTTTTGTTCATTTGCACAAACACCATTTCCATTCTGAAGTTAGTTTTCACTCAGGCTCAAACAGAGTCGCTGGATAAAATGCCACATTTTGTTTGCAAATTGCTTTCATAGAATTAAAAAAAACCTGCAACAAAAGCAAATATTTCAAACACAGCTTGTTCAAAAAAAAATCTTTCTGCCATTGCACAACAAAATCCAGCTATCAACCATGAGTTTGCAAAGCCTTTAACACTAAAAGAAATGACTTCACTTTTATAGAATTCAGCCAAATTTAGCAATGATGTGACCTATGACGGATGTGTGCACATGTATCACTTCAACTACTTTCATTCCCAGAGACCGGGAGATTTTATTGGAGTTGCAAATAAATGTGCAGAATTTTTAAAGAACGTTTTCTCATTTCTTAAGTATTTAAAATATTATAAACTGTTTTAATAGGTAAAAAATGAGAGCCTTAACTTTTCTGAACGCCTATATGTTGTGTCATACAGTTAGCGCACATTCTAGAAGACTACTGTCTACTCTTTTCTTCAGGTTTTTAAAATGTTATTACAGGAACACCTGTATACAGAGCCATCAATACAATGTCTCACTTGTCCTCTAGGGGGTGCAGCATGTCCACAGGACAGATGCTGAAACTATATTCCACCTTAAATTTTAAGAGGCCTTTTACTGAGCGAGGAAATGGGGTCAACTTCAAAATAAAAGCCCTGTGGATAGCTGGTGTGGAGTCTCAGCTTCTCGTCACTGCGTCTCTTTTCCTTTTGTGCTGTTTGGGCCACATCAGAACAGCACTGTGTATGTAGGAAATGTGTGTTGCTTTATCATTTGAATCTGTTATTGTAATAAGAGCTTATGCACATCCAACATTTTCACCTTCAATTTTTAAATCAATGAGGAAGCGATTGACACGGAGAGCTGGATTTAATGTACTGAAGCACAGGAAAGTACAGTTAAACATAATGGCACAATTCAGTAAGTACAGTAGTAGATGGAAGATAAGTAATCTAAACACGATAAAAGCTCTAAACTTTCCCCTTCCTGTGTGTGTGATACATTTATTTCATTAGCACAGAATACAGGTAACAAATGAGAATAATGAGTTTCCTGCATGGTAAGGCACTGTGCATTCTCCTCACAGAAGGACACTTTAAACATATTTGTGTTTATCTAAATGACTTTCACAGCATCTCATTTCTCCGGTACTCACAGTTTCACAGTAACAGTGGTCTATATTCACACAGACATATCAACACTTTGACCCAGATCATGAACTGCGTTCTGCTATTTATACATCACATAAAACATCTTTGAACACCCACCACCATTATTCTAGTACAACTCTGTGTTTGTCTTAGATTAGTAATAACAGACTGAGTGAGGGACATTGCAGTACTCAATAGTTTCTTCGGGTCCGCGGGGACAATGAGAAAGTTCTAAATCAATTTAATTACAAGGTTGTCCTGTACTCAAACTCTTTCCTTCTTAATTCCACTATCAACACTGAAATGATATGCATCAACATAAGTATTTAGGCAACATGACATTCAAAATATACTGAGTTAACTAAAGAGCTAAAAGAATGAAGTCAGAGGTCGGCACAGTTTGCCAGTATTACGTCCACACACTGAGACTAGGCAATAAGAAATATAAAAGTCCATATGTCTGGAAGCCAACAGGGTCTGTGGTGGGCCCAGTATCTAAACCACTGGTGCTCAAACTGTGATAGGTGTACTCCAGGGACGTTTCCAGACTTTTTTGACTGGGGAGGCACAAGTGGGGCTATGCCAGTTTTTCCATCGCCAAAATTTAGCCTAACTTTGGAGCGTTATCTAGCCTCCTTCCCGACATGCATGGTTGGTACTGGCGTATGCATAAGGCCTCTAGTTTCATATGAGCCAGTATCGTCACTCTAGCTTTAAAACGAAGCCTGCTACAGACAGACAATGCAGAGTGGAAAAAGTAAGGATAATGGGGTGGCAGTTGGGGTGGTCAATCAGATTTGGGTCCTGGGGGAACAAAATACTACAAACTACTACAATAAGTAGTGGCTCAGAGGCAGAGCAGGTCGTCCACTAATCGCTCCTCCGGCTACTTGTCGAAGTATCCTTGAGCAAGATACTGAACCCCAAATTGCTCCTGATGCTGTGCATCAGTGTGTGAATGTGTATGAATGTTAGTTTCTGTTTGATGGACTTTGCCATCACTGTGTGAATGTGTGTGAAAGGGTGAATGTGGCACGTAGTGTAAAAGCGCTTTGAGTGGTCAGAAGACTAGAAAGGCGCTATACAAGTACAGGTCCATTTACCATTTACAACAATAAATAATGTTCTCATTAGAAATATACCTGTCTCCTGCATGAACTGTCTAGCTGAACAGGGTTGGCCTACACTGCTGTCGCAGTGGTACTTGGAGATATTTATTGGTTGATATTTACTGAGGTGGTACCTGCTGTAAAACGTTTGACCAATACTGATCTAATCTTCATTGTTCTGTAATGTTGTTCAGTATGGGCCAAGCTCTAGAAGCACTGCATCCTACATTTCCCATTATGCAACTCAATAGAATCTTTGATCTTTGAACCATGATCAGTAGTAAAATCAGTGTAAATATAGTTATTTTATCATAAACTCAGAAATGCTAGGGATGGGCTGAAAAAAAAACGCAAATAGGTTTGAATTTGCGTTATCAGGATAATGGGTGTACCTGCAATGCAGCAGAATTTATTTTCTTTTTTTTACAAAATGTAAGCTAAAGTTTTTCAAGTGTTTAGTGAATGGTAAACGGACTGTACTTATTATATATAGTGCCATTCTAGTCTTCCGACTCTAGTCTTCAAAGCACTTTTTACACATTTTAGGAGTTTTAATGATTATCTTGAGATACTGGAACTGGAAAAGTTCAATATCACCACAGTCACTGGCACTCTTCCACACAGAAGAAGTAAATACATATCAGTTGTCTAGCTGATCTGCATCATAACCGACCCTTCCTAAGTCCCGCCCCCTTTTGCTCTGTGCTCCAATAACAGTTGAGCAAGCCTCGGTCAGAACCTCGGTCAACTTCCTCCTTTCCTGTACTTTGATATGCTATGTGCTAGGCTAATCTATGTTGAAAAGACAACCACATTTTGAAGATGGCTAAAAGATAATAGTCACAACTAGCTAACTAGCTAGCTTACTTACATGAATCATTAGCTACCTAACTACATCTGGAGCTAGTGTTTGCAAAACACAGTTATCGAGTTAGCTGATGATTAATGTAGATTATCTAGCTAGTTAGCTAGCATTTACATCAACATTAGTTAACTTAAGTATAACTTATGTGACAATTGTTGTGTCTCAATTTGAATACTTCCATACTGAGAGACACAGGTGATAAAAAGTAGAAGCAGGGTCATTTTTAATTCATATCATGAAGAAATGAACCAGTATTAGCACTTATACTCCGTCTGGTTGTAAATCGGCGTAACACGGTAAAAGTTAATGGACCTGTACTTGTACAGCGCCTTTCTAGTCTTCCAACTACTCAAAGCACTTTTACACTAAATGCCACATTCACCCTTTCACACACATTCACACACTGATGCACGGCATCGGGAGCAATTCGGGGTTCAGTATCTTGCTCAAGGATACTTCGACATGTGGCACCAAGAGCCGGGGATCAAACCCACGACCTTCCGATTAAGGAACGAGCCACAGCCGCCACGGTAAATGTTGCAATCGTCATTTCCAGTAAGTGCGCAATGCTGGTGCTCGATTTGAGACAACACCAAGCTCACATTACCGCTCTACGCAAGTAACTACATAGTCTGCACAGTGCACTACATAGAAGTTTACTAACGGAAGTATTCCATTTGAGACACACCATATATGTACGTCACTTTTATCTTTTAACCATCTTCAAAATGTGGTTATCTTTTCAACACAGATTAGCACATAGCATATTTAAGTACAGGAAAGGAGGAAGTTGACCGAGGTTCCAAAAGGGGCGGGACTAAAAGGGTTCATTCGTCTCACTGCAAGCTAGCAGTTCTTTCAAAAACCATTCTTGGGGTCCTGGAAATCTGACTTAGTAACTGTATTTAAGTATTTACTAATTGTCCATTTAAAGTAAACTGTATATAAGGCAACACATCTCAATCGCCCACTATACTACAGTAAAGGTCATAAACCCCGCCCCCTTCCATGTTAGCTGTTTTTAGACTTCTACACAGCCCAAATGACATCACTAGTGCAAGATGGCAGCGGCCATATCTGGGATATTTTGGCTTAATTTTTGTACAGTGAAAGTGGAAACATGACGTCCATTTTTATATGTCGATGACCCCTAAATGAAGTACTTAAAATTGATTTTGAAAAAATGTATATCATTACAATAACAGATGATAGATTCAGATTGCCCAGCTCTTCTGCACACAATTTACCTGACACAAAGGGTATGAACATGGAATGCAACCCCTGTGGAGTTAAAGAAAGCTTTGAGAAATCTGCCATCATGGTGAGACACAGCTCTCCATCTGTAGCTAAAGAAAAGACCATAAATGCAGTCGCCCCTTCATTAACTCCACTTTCTACGAGTACTGCACCACTGATGCACCTCTTCACACCCTCTGCAACAGAACACAGGTGGGATGTCGAAACATCACAGTCACCCTGTGCAAGTCTTCCTCCTGACGCGACGAGGGCGAGGCAAACACTTTTCTGCAAGACCAGGCAGAGCTTACTTCTAGTGGTTTGAGATCCTCAGACTAAGCAGAGAAAGCGGGCAGGAGAGGGGGGTGGGGCCTGGAGCAGAAATGGTTGCTCAGGTGCTAGAAGTCCACATGTGCATCTGTTTGGCGATCTGCAGCACGAAGACAATGTCTGGCCGCTGGTCTGGGTCCGGGCTGATACACATGCTAACCAGGTCCCGAAGCTGTGGAAAGTGAGCTTAGTTAGAACCATAACTACATCCAGTTATTTAACACATTTTTAAGAAGATATGGTTCTAATGCAAAGTAAGTTAGGGGGCTTATGAGGCAGAGGGAGACTGGCTAGAGGAGAGAAAACTAAATTCTGCATATCAGTTAAATTTGAATGGTGTGGTCACTGATAATGCTAATTTAATTTCTGCTGTAATGTACACTGATCAGCCACCTGGTGGTCAGAATGTTCTGCAGCCCCATACCAACAAACTGTGATCCATTGTGTGTTCTGACACCTTTCTATCAGAACCAGCATTAACTGTTTCAGCAGTTTGAGCTACAGTAGCTCGTCTGTTGGATCGGACCAAATGGGCCAGCCTTCACTCCCCACGTACATCAATGAGCCTGTCTCTGGTTCTTTTCCTTCCTTGGACCTCTTTTGATAGGTACCACTGCAGACCAGGAACACCCCACAAGAGCTACAGTTTTAGGGATGCTCTGACCCAGTTGTCTAGCTATCACAATGTGGCCCTTGTCAAAGTCGCTCAAATCCTCACACTGCCCATTTCTCCTGCTTCTAACATCAACTTTGAGGACAAAATGTTTACTTGTTGTCTGATATATCCCACCCACTGACAGGAGCCATGGTAACCAGATAATCAGTGTTATTCACTTCACCTGTCAGTGCTCACAATGTTATGGCTGATCGGTGTATATCACTAGCTATTATATTAATTCTGTTTAATTGTAGTCTCAACATTATTCCCCCAGATGCAAATTCAAAAGATACACTGCAGAATTATGTATTGGATGTAAACTGCATGTATACATGTATATAAATACCTGCATATATTGGTTTATTTGCTGTTTAATTATATGAATTGATATTATACAACCTTGTGTTGTATACTGATAAATAAATTCCCTTTATCCCTGGATTATACAACCCTGCATTGAAAATGACTAAAATAATTAATAATTAATTAATTAATAATAATTTTAAATAATTAAAATAAATTTCAGTTCAATTCAATCTTATTTGTATAGCGCCAATTCATACCAGCAGTTATCTCAGGACACTTTTCAAATAGAGCAGGTCTAGACCGAACTCTTTATAACATTATTTACAGAGACCCAACAGTACCACCATGAGCAAGACCTTGGTGACAAGGGCAAGGAAAAACTGCCTGTTAAAAGGCAGAAACCTAGGACAGATCCTTCGGCTCTAGGTGGGTGGTCGTCTGTCTCGACCAGTTGGGGAGAGAGAGAGAGAGAGAGAGAGAGAGAGAGAGACAGACAGAGACACAGACAGACAGACAGACAGACTGACTGACTGGCTGACTGACTGGCTGACTGACTGGCTGACTGACTGACTGACTGACTGACTGACTGACTGACTGGAAATCAATCTAGGGGTAGCCAAAGCTTCACAGGGGGTCGCGAGACCTTCTTTATTTTAAGGGGTGTAAGAAAACTTAAAAATATACACAGCATTATCTCAGCATTTTGTTCATTTCTTGAAGAACACTAAATTAAATTGTTTGCTTAGATAGTATGTATGAAACTGTCAGGTAATTGCACCTCTGATCAATATTTACAGGAAATCATTTAATCGCTCATTTTGTATAAACTTCCTCGCACAAACTGAGTTACTGCATTAACTATCTGGGTTCATTGTACAGTTGAGTATAATATAAAATAATATGAATCATCCATAAAATATGTCACTTAGTCAGGGGTCGTCCGTTTACTCAATGATAGAAAAGGGGTCCCTTGAGAAAAAAGGTTGGGAACCACTGGTCTATTCCATATGTGACAGCGTACTGGAATCTGTGTCTAAATGATATATATTGGAAGAAAGTCTGAATGCTTCCTCATAAACCCCTAATTGTGAATTAAGGAAGTATCCTTCAATATTATTCAGAAACATTACCTTACCAATCACTACATGCAGTAATTTAAAAGAGACATCAACACAAACTGCTCTGTCTGTGACTGTTTCTGATTATTCAGAAACAGTTTTACAGCTGGCGAGAAAGTCTGCAGATCATATCTTTATTTTATACTTAATTTTTTTATGGGAAAATGTGGCATTTGGGTGCTTCAAAAACCCAAGAAAAGAAGACAAATACTTTTTTATAATATATTGATAATGGTAAAACTTACTTTTTCTTTAAATGTAAATTTAATAAAAACCCTTATTTTGTTGTTTTCCTGAAAGATGTTGAACAATATGCCGTATGTGAAACTACTTTGTAATTCGACTAACTAGCCTATCAAGATACTTAATGTCTGTGTTTTATAATATTTTTGTCTACTGTGATATACTCATGGCACTGGTTATTGTTATATTGGAAATTTTAAATGAACTGATCCCATATTAGGGTTCAATGTGACTGAGGCCAAAGAGTTTTGTGTTGCTCTACCTTCTCAGAGTAATGGTCAGGTGGGAGGGGAGGGTAATCACACTGCTCAATCTTCTGGCAGAGGGACAGGAGGTTCATCTTGTCCCCGTAAAAAGGACTCTGCAGCGCTGCCATCTGGAGAAGGAGGAAGAAAGGGAGATGAGAGAAACTGTGGATTTGTGTGGATATTCACAGTCCCTAAAGGATATGATGTAACTCTTTTGATGACTTCGGGAGCCGTTGTCTAGTGCCACCTTCAGGTCAAAGTTTCCCCTTGATCAACACTTTGGTACATGTCTGGGCTCTTTTACCTGCCGACATCAGCAGCAGATGTTGGTGAACTTGTCTGTTTTAACTGATTCGACCAGTGAACTAGTCACTGCAGTATCCCCAGACTCCGTAAAGAAATGGCATTTTGAGAGTTAATGGGTGAGGGGAAACTTTATAAGCTTTGTTAATGTCCTTCTTCATCATCTGTGATGTGAAAACATCAGATTTCCACACAATGGAAAAAGCAAAACTGTGTCCTGCTTATAAAGTTCAGTTTTTTTTTCAGTGTCTTTGCTCCAGGGCTGCTGACAGCGTAGGGAAAGCGGCGGGCTAGGGTGTCGCTGAAAACAAAGGACAGTAATAATGGACATTGACTGACAACATTTTGAGTAGGGTATTGCCCAATAAAAGGGTTTGTTTGCATCTACACTGTGTTCCAAATTATTATGCATATACTGTTTTTGTTCTTTTTCTTACTAAATAGTCGATATAATTGGCAGTCAATAGGATTTTGTATTCCTCAACAATTATATCGTAATCTGGATTTTATTAAACACAATTACCAATGATAACAATGGCATTTTTTGCAAAATAACTCAAAATGCAGTGTTCCAAATTATTATGCAAAACACAGTTTTACGACACTCAATAGTTTCTAAAGGGTTGAAAACTGAAATCTGTTGTATTTTTTGCATTAGAGGGGATAATTTTTCTTTAATCAAAGCTATTTAAATCAAAAACATCTTAAAGACCAAGTTACATATTAACATAGGAGCCCTTCTTGGATATCACATTAACAACTCTCTCATCCATTGAACTTGTAAGTCCATGTACAGTTTCTGCCTGTATTTCCTTTGAGGATGCCAGAGTTGCCTCCCAGAGCTGCTGTTTTGAGGTAAACTGCCACCCACCCTCATAGAGCTTCCTTTTAAGGATGCTCCACAGGTTCTCAGTAGGACTGAGGTCAGGAGATGATGGTTGCCACACCGTGATTCTTTCTCCCTTAACGCCCATAGCAGCCTAGGCCTCAATGGTATTCGTTGCAGCATGGGATGGTGCGACAATCATGTCTGCTTGTGGGCATTGTTTAAGGGTGGCCCAAATACAGCTTTATGCACATCAGCAAGCCTCTGGAGGATCCTGCGTCAAGAGGATCTTGGGACTCCAGAGGCACCAGCAGCTTCAAATACCTTTTTTACTACTCATCAATCATCATCTACTCAAAAATCTTTTCATAGGATGATGATCTCTCTTAATATTTCGTAAAATATCCAGTGGTTTCATTCCTATTGAAAGATACTGCATTATTTCACGCTTTTCATCTGCAGAAAGATCTTTTTTTCCCCCATATTGCATGAAACCAGTGACTTTCTTAATAATGTGAAACAACATCCTTAAGTAGTTTCCCATTAATAAGGCTCACCTGGTAAACTAATAAAGACAAACCTGTCTGAGATTGATGTCAGTGATCTTAACAGACATGGGAAGCAGCACAATTGAAAACTTTCATTGAAAAACAAAAAATCTAATGTTTTTTTTGAAAATCATAATAATTTGGAACACAGTGTAGAGCTGGGAAGTGAGATCTGATCACATGCATATGAATTTCAGCTTCTTCCTTCTGGATGGAGGTTTATAGTCGATTGTTTTTATCTGCAGTTTATCTTATTTATTCTAGTCCTGATTTTTAGAGCCTGGAGCACTTTTATTTGTATCTTTATCCTTTATCATGTTTGTATTCTGTCTATTGTCTGAGTTGTTTGTTGTTGTTTACTTCCTGTTGGTGCAAATAAAGGAACCTTAAACCTTGTGGAGATGCATTCTAATGCCAGGTGTACCCTGACGTATTTAGAACTGTTCACTTGTGATGAGAGCATGTCAATACCAGGTGTAAACAGGCTTTATGATGAAGTGCCCTCCAGGGTGCCCTTCCAGTGGACAAAACATGGTAAAGTGCCCTCTAGGATGCATAGGGTAATCATAATGCTGACTGAACTGTTTCAGCATAAATGCTTCACAACTTTCAGTTGAGTGTCAGCCACTGACAGTAGTGTTCAATTTTGCCCCAATGAGGTAATCGTTCCTATAATGGCAACACTGAAAAGACATTAAGTAACATCATGACACGTATTATGATCAAATGTACTTGTGTGGGGACAGTAAGCTGTGCAATTTTGCAAGTCAAAAAGTCAAAAAGAGTAAAGGGAAACAAAAAATGTGGAAGACATCAGGAGAGAAGAAAGAATGAAGAGTGAGAAAGTGTCTGGTATCACGTGGTGGATGTTGTGACGGAGCCAGATAATAAATGAGACTGACACATAATGCTACTCATTCAGTCTCTGTCAAAACCTCTCCCACGCACAGAGAATCTCCAGAACACAGAGGACTGTGAAACTATTGTCTCTGGAGATGACTCACAATGGCTCAGCATTCCAAAGAAAGGAAATATGAGAATAGGGCTTATTAGGTTTACAGTGGTGGCTAACTGAAATGACATATTTTTTGGTCTGCTGGAGCATACATATCTGCTCTGTAAGTCACCTGTCCTGCATTCTCCTTTAAGAAAAAATTTAATAAAAAAAGAAACCAAAGACTTGGACTTTAACACCAGTGACTAGTAACTTCACTTGGACTTGAGCCTTTTGACTTGAAAACACTTTCAAGATACCTTCCCCCAGATGCAAAGAATAAACATTTTTATTTCAAAAGTGTGGCATGAATCAATTAATTTCCTAAATCAACTAAAGTTATCACTATTATACCAGATCTGCTTTGTTTGAACCAATCCCACAGCATCCAGTAAAGTTGCTGGAGGCAACCTCAAACCCCAAAGATCATTTTATTTTGTTAGTTCTGTTATTAAAACGGCGAAGAAGACTTGTTTAGGGCCCAAAACTCTTGGGACTTGCCTGTCTTGACTTACTTGTGACTAGCAAAACAATGACTTGGTCCCACCTTAGACAACAACTCACATAAGCTTTCCTGCTAAAGTCACCTTTTTATCTAACTTGCGCACTTGAACATTTCCTGCACTTTAGTTTGCTGAATGACCAAACACACATTTATCGAGGGAAAGTGCACCGCTAACGTCAGTATATAGCCGACCGATATATGCCTTCTCTCCAATATAATGGAACTGGATCAGCTTGATGTGCTCCTAGCGCCAAAAAAACCCTCTCTCTACGTATCACAGCGCATAAGAGCCTCCTCATAGAGCCTGTTTACACCTGGTATTAACATGCGTCTCAGGTGATCTCCTCACAAGTGAACAGTTCTAAGCATGCGTCCACTCATGGAAACGTTATGCTGTTGTCCTTGGCTAATATGTAACGTTAGCTAGCTCACTGAGATAGCTAACTGAGATAGCTAAAATTCAGCTACAGTTGGTGGGTGTAGTTCGGTAGAGAAAAAAATAGTTCCTACGTCAAATTGCTCACAACAGGGTCTGCGGATTATTGAGAGTAATCTGATAATGACATGATTTCTAGAAAGAGACATTGCTGTTGAGTTTTTCAAATGGATTTATTTGGCACTCAAGCACCACAAGCCGAGTGCCATCTTAGAGTTCTATCGTATTGGAGAAAAGGCAGATACCTCCAAATCTCAGCAAGTCACACCAAAACAATCTAGATAAATAGCACTACAGGAAAGAGGAAAAATATGTATTTTTGACATAAACTTGTTAGTGCTCCTACTAGTGACACTGTCTCTTAACTAACTGAAACATGGTTTGGCATTTTTGTGCATTGCTTGTTACTTTTTGGCCGACAAATAGATAGATACGGATATGTCTGCAATCAGCTAATATGGGCTGATTTATCGGTCTAGCTCCAGTTTTTAGGCTACCTGTAAATGCTCCTTCGGTCACTTAAGATGCTGGTGTGGTCCTTACGCTTCAATACCACTCAGCACACTGTCTGCGGATTGTAAGCTACAGGGAAAGTTTGTCTATTTGGTCTCTTATTGCCTTGCTGGAGCTCAGTCAGACACAGACCCACCCCTCCAGCTGCTGTCCATTAAACACAGACCCTGTGATATTACATGTGATTTCAGCATTGTAATCAGATGGTATTCAACTCTAGCAGTGACATTGCTATTGCATGGTATTGCATTGGTTTGTTTTCTCTAAAAATATTTTTTCCATTGAAAGCCCTCTGCTTCCTGCTACAGAGGATGTTGCCCGAAGCATATCTGGATGGCCAACAGAAAAACACTGCTAAAATGCTTTCTGTGTAGACACGCTGTTGTCAGTTTGTTTTGCCTGTGCAGGCTTCTTTTGCTTACAGGATGAGGAAGTTATTATTTATCTGAATCATTCACTGTAATAAAGGTGTATGTGAGCTTACCTCATACAGAAGACATCCCAGGGACCAGATATCTGACTTGAAATTGTATCCGTTCTCATGGATCCTCTCAGGCGACATGTAGTACGGTGTCCCCACTGGGACACAGAGTCACAAGTAAATCAAATTATATTTTTGTTCAAAAGTAAAACAAAGACGTACATATAGACTGTCACTAAATCAACCCTTATTATTATTGTTACTGATCATTGCCTTAACACCTGACATATTATTGATCTAAATTATTGATCAGTTTTTGTATATGCCTTAAATAGTTCTTTCATTTCTTGAATCAGCAGAACAATTTGGATACGAGTCATCATTTTGAGTAATTTTGGAAGAAAAACAGTCCAGATTCTCTGCTTTCAGCTTCTCCAATGTGAATATGTTCTGCTTTCTTTTGTCCTCTATGACATTAAACTGAATATCTTTGGGTGGTGGACAAAACAAGACATTTAAGAACCTCAGCTTGTCCAGTAATGAACAATTTTCACCATTTTATGGCAGTAGATTATTTGATATATTTGGTGAAACTTTCACTATATCCTGAAAGTAGTACAGGAGACAGATAATCTGTGAAAAAAAATCAGGTTCCTCTGGCTTCCTAACGGCATTAATAAAAATGCACTGGCCCTGAATGAAAACAACCAATCAGAGCAGAGAAAGATAGTTGATTGTTAAGTCAAATACAGTTGCTTTAGGACCATGGGAATGAGACTCAACAATCAACTATCTTCAAGCTTCCAACCCCAAGCATCTTTCTATCTCTCTCGGCTCTGATTGGTTGTTTTTGTCAAGGCCTGTAGGATTCTTGCAAATACCATTTGTCCGAGGAACCAGATTTTTTCGTAGATTGTCTGTCTCATACATTACAATGTACCATTGTAAGAACACAGTGAAAATGTCAGCAATGATGCCAGAATGTTAAGTTTCCTACTGCAGTTTTCATAGAGAAAATGATCGACAGATGAATCGATAATGAAAATAGTCGCAGCCCAATACACAGCTGAGTAGTTTTGCATAAACTGCGCACCTCCATTAAGAGCTAACATAAAAGAAAAACATGCACTGTGCATTCATGTACAATATGTGTATGTACGTATGTATGTATGTTCTGCATATATGTGTGTGTGTGTGTGTGTATGTACTTTACCTAAGGAGTGTGCTGCCGTGGTTTTAGAGCTGAAGAAGCGGCCTAATCCAAGATCACCGAGCTTTACCTCCCCTGTGGCTGTTATGAACACATTGGCTGGCTTGATATCTGGTTCACACACACACATACACACACTTAAACTGGGAATACTCACATCCTCTTTCATTGTCATCACGCTGTGCTTCTGTACTAAACCTGTTATGTTTCTGCGGAACTTATCAATTAATTGCAGGCTGTATAGAAAGCTGAAGATGGTCACAGTATGTACATTATGTTATGTACTCTACAGCTATACATAATGCCTTCCCGTCTTTTGAATGTTGACTGTAGAATAAGTGGTTGAGAGAGGAGACGAAAACATGAATGCAAAACAGATGAGGTGAGAGGGTAGTATGGGTAGAGCAGAAGGATGGATGATAGGATTAAATAGATAAAGTGTGCATGGTGTAGACGAGTATTGAGAAGAGGGTGAGTGTATCTGTGAGTGGTCATTTACCACGGTGCATTACTCTGCGTGAATGCATGTGCTCCAGGGCGCTGCAGAGCTGCACAAAATATTTCCATATAGTCCTCTCTGGAATGAGTCGCCTCTTCTTCTTGAAGTACTAAACAGATGGAAGGAAGGATTGTTAGCACAGAAAAGCTACAATGCTTCTCTGAAAGGTGCTACATGTATCATGTTTATGTGAAAGTCAGTGGAGAACTGGTTCTAGCAGTGGGTCAAGGCCAAGGATTGCTCTTATCTCACATTAACAGGATAGGTATCTAAAGTATGGATCTTGGTAAAAAGGGAGTACATTTCGGAGAGAATTCCCGGGTAATACTGGAATAAAATATTCTGGCATTCGACCGGAATGTGCACACACCAGTAATCAACTTATCTAACACATTTTCTACTTCTGGATTACTCATCTGTTGAGTTTTGGCCACTCTTCTGCATACAGTATCTGTATTTACCTGGAGGTAAGCCTATGAGTATCAGAGGACAATTCCTGACCTTTATCATCTGGGACAGATCTCCAGCGTCTGCCAGCTCCAGAACAATGTTGAGCTCGTTGTCTTCAATAAAGGAGTCTAGGTATTTGATCACATTGGGGTGATTCAGCTGCTGCAGCGGACAAATGGAAGAAAAATGGCTGATTCCAGACCTCATTTTTTTGTAACACAGCACACAACAGCTCAAGAACTGACACTGAGCCCAAAGTGATAGTGTGGGCAAATGCATCAAATCATCTGTACCAGTGGCTACAATTATCAAATTAGTCCGAAAGGTTGTTTGAGCTTCTGTCCTTGTAAAACAATGTGGTAAACCTCTTCAATAATTTCTAACTGACTCCTAACATACACTGGCTGTAGTTGATTAACTAACTTTACCTTCAGTAGATCTATCTCTTTGATGCAGTCCTGACGAGCCTTGGCATCCATCATATCAAAGATCTGCAGTGACAAAGACAGTTAATCTGAATTTAAATATGAATGTTTTATTCAACCCAAAATTAAGAGACACTTGTTTTAAAGTCCCAAAGGCCTCCTTTTTCTTTTATCTACATTTACGGTCCAGTGTGTAACATTTAGGAGGATCTATTCATAGGTATGTTTTCATTAATGGTTGACCAAAATCATCTTGCTGCAAACCGTAGGCACAATTCTCTAATAACCACATTTACGGGATCTTTATCATTTTTTATGTTATCTGTTTTTACAAAAGAACGAATATAGCACATATATATATATATATATATATATATATGTATTTATATCAGATTAGCAGAGTTTATCAGATTAAAAAAGTTTTAAATATTGGTATTGACCTCAAAACTCAAGCTCTAATCTGAATTACATCAAGAGCTTTACTAGAGATACTGATGTTGTATTTTTGAGCCCAATATTAATATCATTATTTGAGACTTGAAGCTGCAGTAGATAACCCTTATAAAAATAACTTTTTGTCATATATTGTCAGCTTTAACATAATCTGAAAATACTGTATCTGTCCATTGTTTTTAACATTTTTAATGAGGAATCCATTAAATCTGGTCATTACAAAACACATCAAGATGTGTGTTGAGTGGGACATTTTACTTTGCTGTCTGGTGGTCACACAGTGTAATTCCTCTTCTCTTCTGGGTGCAGAGCAAACCAAAGTAAACCAAGCAATGGACATAGTTTGGTTCACTATATCTGAGATGAGCAAAGTTCGCTCCATACTGTAGTTCGACAGGCTCTAGATTTCATTACTACATCAAATATTTACAATAATATACTATATATTATAGAATAAGGTCAGAATATTCAAAGGAGTAGTCCCAAGCAGTATCAGACACACTCCTGACTACTGTACCTGGACTTTCTTGAGTGCAACCAGCTGTCCCTCCAGCAGGTATGTGGCTTTGTAGACCTCACTGAACTGGCCCCGACCAATTTTCTTTTCAATCCGGAAGTTTGCCAAAGTGCAGCAGTACTTACAGCTTGGTACGTTTCTCTGCACAAAAAAATGCCACATCAAAAGCTTTAACAATGAAATGCCTTATAAAGCACGTTTCAGCTACATAGTTAGATTGTAGAGGTTAGATTAGAAGAGAGGGGGTGCTGTTGTGTAAATTTTAAAATATGATCGACATCATGTTTTAGAGCGGTAACATTTCGCTTTATATCTATTAGTAGTACTTTGAACAATGACATAATGCTTCCTACCTGATCCTCTTGGCCAGGTATCTTGTAAAGATTGTTGTGGTTGTCTAAGGTAGGCTGGTTGTTGTTCTGTGCCTCCATGGTGGCATCACACCCACCCGCTACTGTATCAAAAAACATCAGCACAGTTTTAAGGAGACAAAATCTACAAGTCGAAGAGGCAGGTGAGAGATGAAGTGTGAAACAAAGGTGACCTACTGTAAAAAGAACAGGCTGAATGTGGAATTGTCGCTGCTGAATGACCGCAGAAATTTACCAGTGATACCTCATTTGTTCTCAGTCTCATCATTAATGTCCCTTGCTTTCATTCTTCTTAAACTTTCATTATGACTATGCACATGGAAACTGTGTGTCATGACATTTGCAACATTACAATTCAATAATGAGATCACAGACAGTAGTCAGAATTGAATGTTCTCACTAACAGTGACATGACTACAGGAAAATCCTCCTAAATGTTATAGTTATGAAACTGGTAACACTCGATGCTTAATGGCTGTGCCACTATGATATAAGCCAGAGCAGCACATATATTTCCAGCATGTGAGCGGATATCATAATCAGAAATCACACATCCTCCCAGGCTGCACAACTGTCTACATGTGTCAAAGCAGCGCTGGGTGGTGTGACCAAAAACTTTGATTATGGTGTTTTTTAAGATTCTTGCAGTTTCACTGTTTTAATTTATTTTTTTTTCTATGTTTTTTGCATGACTGGTCTTTATGTAGGTCTATAGCGACTAATTATACTGTACATAGAATATAAAAAACAGTTATAGGGTTTTCTTTGAGTTTCTATAGGGTTTTTTTGGCCCCACGAAATGATCAAATATGTGAAGGAATCAGAATGTTAACAGTTGTTATTGTGCAAAGGGTGATACACAACAAGAGTACCCTTGTTAGGCACACAGGGAACACCAGGTGACTGTGGCTCAGAGGTAGAGCGGGTCGTCCACTAATCGGAAGGTTGGTGGATCGGTCCGCGGTTCCTCTCGCTGCCGGGGTGTCCAAGATACTGAACCAAATTGTGTGCATCGGTGTATGAGAGTGTATGAATGATTAGTTTCCCTTCTGGTGAGCAGTTGGCACCTTGCATGGCAGCCAGTGCCATCAGTGTATGAATGAGGTGAGTGTGGCATGTATTGTACAGCAGCGCTCCTCATCCTCAGTTAAATATTGATGCATTTGCACATATGCGGTGAAATGGAGTTTTGAATGTGATTTGGCTTCATAGTGTTTTTGTGATCAGTTTCATTCATTCATTCATTTATGAGCTATTTTTTCTCTATGTATCATCAAGGAAGCACACACCTACTCATGGACAAGAGGCTTGCGCCAGCGCAGGATGTAAACATTAATGACTTTCTCCTTCTGTTGACCTGCAACGTTAGCTAGCCCACCTAACGCCACTGAGACAGCTAACGTTCAGCTCAAGTGTGAACCTATCGCGATGTCACCCATTGGTTTGTGGAGTACCATTTTGAAGCCTCAAGGTTGGCATTATGAACTGGACAGACTCACTGAGAATTACCTGTCAATCACAAGTAGCCACGCCCTAAAGCATACCCTGCTTTATCGTCCATTTTATTTTTATGGGACCATCATTTACTAAATGAATGTGATAATGTATGGAAGAAGACTGAAACTAGAGACTGAAAGCATAAACTAATTAGGAAACTGTTTACTGAGCTCATAAATTACGTAAAAAGTGGGGTCATTTCTCTATTAGAGTGCATGGTATCATTTAATATTGCAGCCAATGGAGATCCCCCTGCTGGCCATTACATAGAATGCAGGTTTTGGTAAATGGTCAATGGATCTGTACTTGTATAGCGCCTTTTTAGCCTACCGACCACTCAAAGCGCTTTTATATATAGGAAAATTATGTATTTTTGATTTTGGGTTAAACTGTCCCACAAAAGACCCACTTTCATTCTCTGGATTTGATTCATGTTGAACCTGTTTTTATTTTAATCTGATTCTTTGGGTTTTAAGTTGTGTTTAACTTGCTTCTATTAAAATCTAGCTAAATTTCCACAACATCTGCTATGCACACATGCCTTTATGCTTTTATGTATACACGTGTCTGTCTTTTTAAGCACTTTGGTGCAAAACCTGCAAAAAGTGCCCTATAAATGAAACAAACTGAAATAATATATGAATACATGACTGCTAGCAGGGATTGCAGAACAAAGACAAAAGGAAACAGCTACAGTTACAGCTAAATATACTGTGAACTATCACACGAGTACTGAACGCTCTTTTCTGACAGTGGAGTTCGAGCCTGCTGGGCGCCCGTGGTGATGACTCATGATAGAGACCTTGCTCTGGTTTCAACTGGAAATGAAAAAAAAAAGCCATTTCCAAACAAGTGGATCACTGAAAGTAAGTCACAGAGTGAGCTAGCCGCTGCATCATTGTGTCCTCTTGGCTTTTCTTGTGACTAGCTGAGTCATCTGAGCGTGATCTTGTGCCTCTACTCTCTAACACCCCGAGAAACAACCTCATCAGCAGCTGTGATTCCCTGGAGTTACGCTACCAAGTACTGAAGTATTGATGACTTGTTTTGACCAAAAACAGCTGCCAAAATGTCTAAGCTGGGCCATGTCGAAACTTGCTCCCTATCCTAAAACATTATAAGGATTATTCTTCAACCCCCTCGCAATACTCTGATGAGTCAGCTTTAAGTATTTAGCTGAGTGCACATGTAGTAACTTGCGCTCACCTTAACATACTCAGCTCTACTAACCATTAAAATGTAAGTAATGCCAAGTGGGCCCCATGCCATGACTTAGGTTACACCAAAGGAACAGATCTGTGCTACATACCAGTATGTCAGACTGCCCTTAATTGTCGAATCGAGGACTGTGCTGTTGTTGGCATCGAAGGCTAGGAAATCTCTCAACATAGACCGGCCTGATTGTATAACAGGTCCACAGTATGTTGCCTGGTCTAATGGGCCCTAGCTGTGTGGTGTTCCACTAAAACACACTGAAATACACAGGTTGGGTGGAGGACTCCTGCTGAGAAAATAACTCACCAAGAAGAATCAACTGTCCTGGGAACAAATACCTCAGATTTATGAATTTTTCTAATCCAGAGATTCAGTGGCCCACGAGAAAACCCTCCCGGTTTCAGCCAGAAAATGGTCAAATATATTTTAGAATTCAGTCACTCCCTGTGAAGATCAGCAGCCTGAGCAAGAGCAGGGAGTGAACAAGTCAAGATCTTAAAGAAACTGAGTCTATTCGCGGATACAGCAGTAGGAGGATGGCGTCATTAAAGCTGTAGTAGGTTACTTTTATAAACATATATTTTAGTCATATTTGCTGAAACTTTCACTATATCCTGACAGTAGTACTTGAGACAGATAATCTGTGAAAAATAATCAGGTTTCTCTGACTGTTTTACTGTCAGGATATAGTAAAAGTTTCAGCAAATATGACAAAGAGTTATTTTCATAAAAGTTACCTACTGTAGCTTTACTTAAACAAGTGTATTTCCCAACATGCCCTAGGATTGTTTGGCAGGTACTATCAGAGCCTATGACAAAATTAAAACCGCTTATTTAAAACAGGCTTAATGAGAAGATGGACTGGGTTTCTTTGGTGTTACAGTAACTTGTGACTCTTAAGTCTCATATTGAACAATTTGTGAAAAATGAAACTGAAACTTGGGTTTTTATTTTAGAAACAAGCCATGCTTTCCGTTACAACCAGTCTTGTTTTCACTACCACTCCTGGCAGAGCTCACATGCATCTTCTCAGTGTCTGTAGATCTTGGAGGTATATCACTCATCATTGTACTTTCATACTGCATTACAGAAAATGAAAATATACACAGTATATTTATGTGTTGCCTTCTCCTGGCATGCAGAATAGACAGCTAATGGTGGCTATTTTTTAAACCCCATTCGGAATTTTGGGGCCTTTATATGGAGTTAGATTTGTGTCTTTATTACATGCGAGAAAATAAATAATCTGAGAGAAAGAAAAATATTTGAGAGACAAAGTTATCACACTGTTAGCAAAAAAGCATTTTATGAGAGAAAAAGAAATATTTGAGAGAAAAAGTTTTCATACCAATAGCAAAAAATAATAATATTTGAGACTAAAAAAAGTTTTGAGAGAAAGTATTTTCTCATAGAACATAAAAAAATATAAATTAGGAATTTTTAAAATTATTTCTGAGAAAAAAAAATCTCTCAAAATACTTTTTTTAACTCTCAAATATATATCTTTTTGCTATCAGTGTGAAAACATTTTCTTTAAAAAAAAATGTGTTTCTCTCAAAACGTTTTTCTTCTCTCTCTCAAAACGTTTTTCTTCTCTCTCTCAAAACCTAAGTCTTTGCTCTCAATGCGATTTTGCTCTAGCTGTGAAAATAATATCATGGGCGGGGCCACGTTCCTATTGGCCAGTCGGGTGGGTCTTGGGAGTCGAACTGAATCATTACACCATTGTCCATTCACCGGCATTGATGCGCTGCCTTAGTTGAGCGCGGAGACTCCAATGTTTGGGTAAGATGATTTCACACACAACTCGATGGGTAGCTAGCTGAGCAAGTTGGTAATCAAAATCATTCCCATCATAGGAATGACTGTGTAGCCCTAACAGGTTAGAGAGTAACAGATCAGAGGTATTAAAGGGTGTTTAACTGGTTAGAGAGTAACAGATCAGAGGTATTAAAGGATGTTTAACAGGTTAGAGAGTAACAGATCAGAGGTATTAAAGGGTGTTTAACTGGTTAGAGAGTAACAGATCAGAGGTATTAAAGGATGTTTAACTGGTTAGAGAGTAACAGATCAGAGGTATTAAAGGATGTTTAACTGGTTAGAGAGTAACAGATCAGAGGTATTAAAGGATGTTTAACTGGTTAGTAATGTGGAGTTCAGCTCAGCTAACATCACTGAAGATTAAACATTAAATAGGCTATCCTAAATGTAAGCTAGTTTGCCATTACTGATGTGTTTGTCAGATTGTCATGGACAAAGAATAGCACTCTTCATGAATGTGTATTATAGTATTAGCATGCTAACTGCTAGTAAAGCTAATCGCTAATTAGCCATCATGCTAGGTAAACCTGTAAACTCTGGTTTATACTATTTTCAAATCACTTATGACAGTGGCAGTGTGCACATACAGTAATGGTTAGGATTCAGCTCACAGCCGCTGCCCAGTCAGGAAACATATTTTTGCACTTTGAGATCAATATCAGAGGTAAAGTGCTATGCAAATATAATGTATGATTATTCTTTGTATCATTACAACATGTGGATCTGATTGTATGTGAAAACAAAATCCTGTAGTTTAGAGGAAAGTAACTATGTTAGAATTATACATTGAAACAATGCAATTTTGCAAAACAGACCAGCATAGTTTATTATATTTCACTTGTTCATGAGTTGTGTTTTTTTTAGGCCTCATAGCATTCATCCTGCAGTGAGAGAGGGGATAAGAGAGCATATCTTGAGCTTCCCACGCCAACCGAACCACTACTCACGGATGAAGGGAGATGTGGAGAGGGAGTACCTGAGCCCTGATTTGAACCTGCTCCGCATGTACCGCCTGTACAAGGAAAACAATCCAACATCCACTGCAAAGTTCTGGCTCTATAGGGACATCTTCAAGCAGCAGAACCTCAGTTTTGGGCAGCCAAGAAGTGACACTTGTGCAAAATATGACGCCCTGTTCTCAAAATTAGCAGCTGCTACAACAGATGGAGAAAGGTCGAAGATTGCAGCCGAGAGTGAGCTTCACCACCAGAAAGCTGAAAAAGCGTACACCCAGTTGCAGGCTGACTCAGAGTGGGCCAAAGCCAATGATGACTGCCATGTCATTTGTATCGACATGCAAGGGGTAGTGTACACGCCAAACCTGACACACTCCAACGTGTACTATCAACGACAGCTGACCAACTACAACTTCTGTATCCAGGAGATGGGCACTGACGATCCTCCTACAATGTGCCTCTGGCATGAGGGCATCGCTCACAGAGGTTCCATCGAGGTGGCAAGCTGTCTTATGAAGTGGGCAGAAACATCTTTCGCTCACCTAGTCCAGGCAAAGGAACAGAAGCTCATCATCTATAGGGACCGATGCTGAACAACAACTGGCGAGTCCTAAACCTCATGGCCCTGCTCGTATCTAGACGGTACACTCAGATAGAGCAGAAGTTCATGGTGTCTGGTCACTCCTTCCTTCCCTGTGACCGTTCCTTTGCCACGCTGGAGAAAAGGCGTATTCTCTACACCCCCATCAATGTCGCCGAGATGATCCGTGGAGCCAGGCAGCAGCATCCATTCAAAGTCATTGAGATGAAATCACTTCAGGCAGCTTCCTGATGGAACACTAAAGCGTCCATCTGGCTTCCTAATCACATCCATGATGTGGTTGAAAGTGACAGGTAAAAAACTAAAGAGTTGGGTTTCTGAGATTAACAGTGTTGGGGATATGTGCGTGAAGGAAGAATCTTTATTGAATTTCTTGTTGAATCATGATTTCAGCTGCTGATCCATGGTGTGTCCACACAAAAAGGATCCCCAGCCTCTACGAGGGATGGAAGACCTGGGTGATCACCAAACAGAGGAAGAATCAACCACCTCCAGCTCCCTTGTTCTCCACCACGTACGCTTGACCTTATGAGGACCCTCTGCCCGTCAAGCAGGAGAAGCACCGTGACCTTATGACAATGCTAGCCTACATGCCAGCGGAGGCCCAAGCATTTTATGACACATTAGAATGTGAAGAGTAGCATGGTATGTGTAGGCCATGTTCAGGGTAAGGTGGGGTATATTGTGTATATTGTGTAAAATTAATCAAAATAGTAGTTGTAGGTTATCTTGTATGCCTGTATTGTATATTTTGTTTATATGTTATATACATATATATGTTTATTGTTTGTACTGTATTGTCTGTATTGTAAATATATATTGTTTACTGTTCTTACTGTTGTTTATTGTTTGTATGTATTGTTTATTGTAAGTATGTACAGTTTATTGTTTGTACTGACGTTTATTGTCTGTACTGTATACTGTACTAAGTATTGTTCATTGTTCGTACTGTATTGTCTGTATTTGTTAATAAATTGAAAGAAAGAAATGCTTAATATTTTCTTTAAGGTTCTGTTACTACATTAAAAATAAGATAAAGGAATCAGATCTCCAGTGGTCTAAAGTGATATGATGAATTGGACTTATACTGTTATTCCACATTAACTGGACATATACCGTTCTTCCACATTCCAGAAATGTAAATTACTCTAACTTTTTATTTTTAAGATTGACACTGAAAAATCTTATCTCATTAGAATTGGGAAGCTTTTGTTGTCTATCTTCAAGTAAAATAAAAATATATAATATAATGTTCACAGTCCAAATAAAAAAAAATTGATTATTCAAAATTTGAAAATATGGACTTATATGGTTCTTCGTCTCAAGGATCCATTTGTAACCGCCATACAATCAGAACATTTTATTCATCTTTTTTTTTACTTCCTTGTTCCTGGAGGTTTCCACTGGTTTAGTTCCAGAGTTGCTCAAAAGTCTCTGTGAAAAGTCAGTCTGTTTGGGTCTGAGTTACAGCGGCACAAGAAAAAACACAAGCTTGCGCTATCTTTGGAGGTTTGATTTCAGTCTGTTCTTGCAACTCTGTGACCCAAATAACTGATCTGCGGCGTAATACAGCAGGTGGTCTTATGCACAGGAATACGGACGTTCTGTCTGACGGCCAAAAGCGCAAGCAAACAGCTCTTTGATTTCTGTTTCGTGTGCACTTAAAGAACCAGTATGTAGGACTTAGTGGCATCTAGTGGTGCTGTTGCAGAGTGCAACCTTCGTTGTTCCCCTTTAACTTCCAAGCGTGACAGAGAAACCACAGTGGCCACGAAAGGTAGGGAAAACCACGGACGCCCCTTTCTAGGGTCAATGTTTGGTTTCTCCGTTCTGGGCTAGAAGAAACACAACAATTCTTACATTCTTAATGAAAACATACAGTTGTGCTTAGGGATGTCCGATAACATCGGCCCTCTGATATTATCGGCCGAGATTCACTAAAAAATGTAATATCGGAAATTATCGGTATCAGGTTTTTATAACCGATGTTTGTTCTGTAGGCTTCAGCATTTCCGAGCCTGCATGAACGCAGCATGGGATGTTTACCGGCGCGCGCTAGATGACGTACAACAACAACAACTACACGCTAGACTGGTTGGTTGCTAACCGTGGCTAACAAGCAATAAATTTAAAGCTGAATGATTTTAATATTAACACAAAATAAGTGCAATGCACCTTAAATATTTTACCCTGCTATGAGCTGTTCCTTAACCAAACTAACAATTGGCTTAGAATTTACATTAGCACTCCTTCAGGTGCATAATACAATTAAACACATTAACCAAAGCTAGCGCCTAGCTAGCAATTAGCGCTTAGCTAGCGATTAGCGCGTAGCTAGCGATTAGTGCGTAGCTAGCGATTACCGTTAGCGCTCTTTTCAGTATTAATACAATGAAAGTTGAAGCTGTTCTCTTATTTTGCACAGACAGTGTTTACATTTGGAAAAGCCATGTTGCATTTATGTATGCATCCAGTGGGGCATCACAATAAAATTAGGCATAATGTGTTCATTCCACAATAGGAGATATTTTATGTTGTTACCTAACAGTTTTGGTGTAAAAAGCCTGCATATATCGGTATCGGGTGATATCAGTATCGGAAACTGAGAGTTGGACAATATCGGAATATCGGATATCGGCAGAAAAGCCAATATCGAGCATCCCTAGTTGTGCTCATAAATTTACATACCCCTGGCAGAATTTATGAAATATTAGCAATTTTATGGAAAACATGACTGATCATGATAAAAACCTTTCTTTTATTTAGGGATATTGGTCAGACCAAGCCATTTATTGTCACATAATTTTGTGTGCTCTTTTTAAATCACAATGATAACTTAAATCACCTAATCAAAACTTTACATACCCTGATCAAAAGTTTACATACCCTCAAATGTCTGTCCTAATAATATACAAACACGTTGACACACACAGGTTTAAATGGCTATTGTGGATAGGTTTCCACATCTGTGACTTGTTCATCGTTATTAGTGTCTGTGTATCAATAGCCAGTGAGTCTCTTAGCTCTTGAGAGATCCCTGCACATTTCATGTAAGGCTGCACTGAATTTGCTGGACACTGAGCCATGGGATAAGCAAAAGAACTGTCAAAGGACCTCAGAGAAATGGTAGTTGAACTTTATAAATCTGGAAAAGGATATAAAAAGATCTGCAAAGATTTGAAAATGCCAGTAGTCAGTGGTGTTCAAACTCTTATAAAGAAGTGGAAAATTAGGGGTTCTGTTCACACCAACACACGGCCAGGTAGACCAACCAAGATTTCAGCCACAACTGCAAGGAAAATTTGTCGGGCTGCAAAGAAAAACCCACAAGGAACTTCTGCTGAAATACAGGCTTCTCTGGAAAAAAGTGGTGTGGCTCAAGATGTACAATAAGGAGGTACAACAAAAATGGGCTGCGTGGTAGAGTCGCTAGAAAAAAGCCTTTACTGCCTTTAACGCCACAAAACAGCCCGCTTGCAATATGCCAAACAGCACCTAGACAAGCCTCAAAAACTCTGGAAGAAAGTTATTTGGAGTGATGAGACCAAAATTCAACTTTATGACTCAATTCAATTTCAATTCAATTCAGTTGTATAGCGCCAATTCATAACAGAAGTTATCTCAGGACACTTTTCAAATAGAGCAGGTCTAGACCGAACTCCTTATAACATTATTTACAGAGACCCAACAGTACCACCATGAGCACTTGGCGACGGGGGCAAGGAAAAACTGCCTGTTAAAAGGCAGAAACCTAGGACAGATCCTTCGGCTCTAGGTGGGTGGTCGTCTGTCTCGACCAGTTGGGGTGAGAGAGAGAGAGAGAGAGAGAGAGAGAGAGAGAGAGAGAGAGAGACACACAGACAGACAGACAGTTGCACAGGAACAACAGTAGCAAGAACTGCACTAATAGTAGTGACTGATGATGATGAACATGAAGAAGATGATGACAACGACAATAGCAACAATGGGGGACAATGAGCAGTGACAACAGTAATAATAGTAACTGTAGTAATAATAATATTAATAATAATAATAATAATAATAATAACAATTAAAGCTGCAAGCAGCGTTGGGCGGGACCTCGCACTCCACGCAACTCGGGGCCTGCTGCGGCCGTGCCGCGTGCTGTCGTAACATGTGCGGACCACAACATGAAAATCTCACGTAAATCAGCTCAAAATCGCCACGCAGCGCATACTTCTAGTTGCCAGTAGGTGGCGCTATCAATATGTCTGAATATTGTCATGTAGACGTGCTCAGGGCGGCACTCTTATCAAACACTAGAAGTTTCATTGAGATTGGACCATGTACGCTGAAGTTATGAGGACGTGTTCAGGGCGAGACTGTTACAGAATATATGAAGTTTATTGGAGATTGGACATTGCACACTGAAGTTATGAGTACTGTTTTATGGCGAATCGGCTGAATTGGACAAGTCGTCACTGGCACACGGTTTGACGTACAGTCATAAATAGCTCAACTTTTCATGGTTTGCATGACATCAGAATTCAAAATGGCCAACTTTGAAGGCACGCCACAGACACGCCCTTCAACATACAGTCTCAAATAGCACAACTTTTGATAACCAATGTGTTTAGATTGCAGTGATCGAATTTGAAGTCAATCTGATAAAATCTGTAGGAGGAGTTAGTTAAAACAGAAGCCCTTAAATGCCGGAAATGGCGTCACAGTTTGACATTCGACTCAACCTGGCCAACTTTGAGGGCACGCCACGGACACGCCCTTCAACGTAGGCACAAATAGCACAACTTTTAATCAGCACCATTTTTTGACTGTACTCACAAATTTTGAAGCAGATCCGATAAATTCCCTAGGAGGAGTTCGTTCAAATACAACGCAAAAAGTTCGCCGAAAGTGAAAATCAAAATCAAAATGGCCGACTTCCTGTGGGGTTTCGGGTATGGGTCCAAGAGGCCTACAGAGTTTCGTACATATCGGTGAAACGTGGCGCCGGGGCTGCTGTTTTTTTATCCTGTAGGGGGCGCTACAAACACCCAAACACGATTTTCGGTATGTGAGCTACAGGCACCAGTCTACACGTGCCCTGTGAATTTCATATTCATAACTATTACGGTCTCCACACAGTGATTTGCCATGCCACCAGACCGCCACCTAGTGGCGGATTGTTGACACATTTTTTAGTGAGCCTCAGGGAGCCATGGGGAAGCCTCGTACCAAGTTTAATCTTAATCACATATACCGTTGTAGCGATATAAACTTCTTCATTTTAAAGAGCGCCACCTTGTGGCTATGGCCTGAAACTGTGCAAGATGCCTAAGGAAGACATGTGGAACTATGGACCCAAGTTTGGTGTCAATCGGACATACCAATGTGGAGAAATGGTCCACTTCCTTTTTTGACGAAAAACTCACAGGAAGTGCTAATTTTATAACGTGCTGTTTTTTTTAAATATCAAAATCACTTTTTTATTATGAGGGTCCTCAGATGCTACGTGAAAATTTTTGTCCGAATCGGAGGAACACAAAATAGTAGTTCATGGACATTTCAAGCTCTGCCGGAAAAGAATTACAGGCGGAAGTGGGCGTGGCCTATATGGGGAGATTCAGCTCTATTCACCGAACGCGTGGATATAAGTTTTTTGAATGTGTGACAAACGATGCGGGAGTTATTAGCCTAAACGCACTTTTCATGATAGTAGCGCCACCTAGTGGCGGACCCTAAAGCGACGCATAGAATATCAAATTTTTAACCAGGCCAGACCACTCTGCCAAATAAAATTGACGATTTCAAGATGGGCTGTTTTTCTTCTGCCCCCATCCACAGTAGTACATTGCTCTGCTTCTGTGCTCGGACGCTGACCGCCATCTACAGTAGGTAATAAGCTGACTCTGGATAAGTACCTCATGCAACCCAACTTTAAAATACCCAAACAGTCTTCAACTGTCAGGATTGCAAAAATCTTAATTCCTGAAGGGTCTCAACAGTGATTAAACCAGTTCTAGCCACACTTTGCTCACATCTTACCTCATTTCTGCTCTCACCAGCTATTTTAACAGGCTGATGGTCATTCTTGGCCTCAGTCTTTAAATGCTTGACATTTCTTCAGGTCATCTCATGATGTCAGGTGATCATGTGGCATCACCGACTGGCTGAACAAACAGCGGTGAGCTGGTTTACAAGTCTCATGATCCAGCCAAAACTCTTCAATCTGCTCTTTGTCCCATATCTTTTCCTCTTCTCACTTTCTTTCCCTCTATGCTGCTCCCGCAAGCCATCAGAAACATTATTAGTGTGTGTACTTACTACTTACTGATGTATTTGTTTAATTTCTAATCAAATATAACTATCAATATCATTGCTGTTATCGTTATCATAATAATTGTTTCTTAATATTAACTATCAAGATAGTTAATATTAAATTTGAGTGTAATTATCACAGTATTCTTTATATTCATGTAATTTTATTTCTGTAATATAACATTACCCACACCTTAATTAATCAAATCTAATTTACTCCCAGACTCTAATCATATCATACATCATTGTAATGGTTTTATGTTACTGTCTGTATGTCTGTCCTGTATGTCTGTCCTGTATGTCTATCTTGTTTTTCTCCTAGATTTTGTCATGCTATTCAGCTCCGTCCAGGAAGTTCCAATCACAATAATGAATGCAAATTCAACCATTCCCTGTGAATTCTGCACAACCTTAAAATTTTGTCCAATCCCGTCAACTTGGCAAATTTCCAATCAACCAATGATTGCAGTTTCCTGTGAGATTCACCGATCATAGCAGTCTTCCTGCGCAAAACATTGAGCTGTACGTCAGCAAACTAAAGTTGCCTGCAATTTTTAATGAATTATAGAAAAAATGTCACGACTTTTGTAATTTAAACTTTCTCTTGCATTTTAATTATTATACTAAAATTATTGCCACACGCATCTCAACTTTTTGTAGAATATCTGTTGTGAAATCAGGCATTTCAAATAGAGCTGTACCATTAATAGAAATATTATCGAAATCGCAAAATGCAAATTGAAGAAGCTGTAATAATCCCAAAAAATATTTCACTAATTTTAAAAAAAATATTCTCTTTTAGGTCTGTTCTGTGTCACACTCACTCTCCTCCATGTATGTTTATGGTACCTTTATGCAATTTTCAATGCAAAGTTTGTTGCGTTGAGCTGGACGGACCTACTGAGAATGACCTGTCAATCACAAGGTAGCCACGCCCTAAAGCTGACCCTGCTTTATGGTCTATTTTACTGTATGGGACCATCATTATGAACATCATGCTGTATGAAACTAGAGACTGAGACCAGAAACTCATTAGGAAACTGTTTAATCAAGTGAGAAGTCGGCTCACTTCTCCATTAGCATGGTATTGTTTTTTATTGGTAAATGGTAAATGGACCTGTACTTGTATAGCGCCTTTCTAGTCTTCCGACCACTCAAAGCGCTTTTACACTACGTGAGACATTCACCCTTTCACATACAATCACTCAGTGATGGCAAAAGTCCATCGAACAGAAACTAACATTCATTCACACACTGATGCACGGCATCGGGAGCAATTTGGGGTTCAGTATCTTGCTCAAGGACACTTCGACATGTGGCACCAGGATATATATAACATATGTGTCAGAATAATAATCTGTACGTCAAATAAAACTACTTTCAGCTTTTTCAAACCTTCATGAAGCTTCTTCCAACCCCCAAATAGTCAAAATATCAGTAACTTAGAGCAGCATTCAAAGATATTCAGTGAGGACGTGTGAAGACATGGCTTCCTGCTGGGTGGACACTAACCAGCCCTCCCAGTTACACAGGACACTGGCTCCCTGTCACAGCTGACACGTGACTAATTTTAGCCAGTTATTTGACCTTGGGTGCCCAGGCATCCTCATAACCAGCAGCAACTCCCCCCCAGTCAGTGCTCACCCCTGATGCTGCTACTATTTCATGTGATACATGCAATCTTCATTTATACCCACAAAATACCCACAAACCACACACACGCTTCTGCCTCCCTTTCAAACTCCATGTGTCATGTGTCATGTTAATCTCAGGAGGTGTGTGTGTGTGTGTGCGTTCATGTGTGTCAGCGTGATAAGCCTGCTGCATTGTAAAATAAAAAGGGAAAAAATCTGTTATAGTCACGGTTAATAGTATTAATACATTTTTTTAAATTACGTAAATTTAGTGAAAATTAACACTAAAATAAGTGTTTGTTATTTTACAGTATTTGATTTGGTCTCTAAATGTTGTTTTAATTGTATATTATCACATTTTACACCAGAGGCCACATTCACTACCTTAAAGTGGGAAAGGGAAAAGGTGAATAAGTTCCATTGCACTGTATTTAAATGTTACAAATTAGTTTTATTCTGAAATATTCCAGCAGCATCACATTTTGAGAAAAATGAGCCAGAAACAGCCGAAGTTAGCAATGGCTCGCAGTGGTTTCCTGTTATGAAAGAATAGCCTGCAAAGAGGAAATAAATATCTCAACAGCTCCATTATGTTGTGATAAACACCCGCATAACTTCATCTGACAGGCAGCCGGGCATTAAATTCACTCGGCAATGGCCACATGGGAATGAAAATGTGACAACTGGAATTGAATTCCTCACTCTCAATGTTGTTTCTATTTTGTTTAGTTATTAGTTTTGAGTCCTGGCCTGATGTGGCTGCTACATGCGGCGCTTTGTAAAATAAAAAAAGAGAAAAAAAGGAGCGTGTTTAAAGCAGCTACAGGAATCAATGCAGCCTCGTTTCCGTCCGAGCGGCGGGTAAATATCATTTCCATATGGTCGCGCGGAGCGGTAGCTAGGCTAGCGTTGCTGCTAGCTAGGTATGCGCTAAGTGGGGTTCCAACATAAGTAAACAGACTGCGGCCAGTGTGAGAGCCGCTCCTGCGATACACACAGTCAACAAAGTCGGCAGCTCATGCGTTAACGTTAGCTCTGTATGCTGTTCAAACGACGGCTCGGAGACAGTTGGTTAGAATGAGCGCTTCTGTCTTACCTGAAGAGGAGTTGAGGAGCTTTAAACGGTTTCTACGAGTTACATTGGTCCGTGTTGTTGTGCAATTCGTCCTCACACCGACAGACAGACAGACCCCCTCCCCTCTCTCTCTCTCTCTCTCTCTCTCTCTCTCTCCTCTCTCTGTGTGTGGCTGTGGTTTGTGCCGCCGCTGCCACGCAGGCTGATAGACAGAGTACGCTGGCACCGTACTGAATGAGAGGGAGGGAGACTTCAAAGTCTCGTAAAGTGGCGGTGAAGCTGATGACAAGTGTTTGTTGAAAAGTAGGTCAAACGTCACAGCTCTCTCTCTCCTCTCTCAGCCCCCCTGCACGTGGGATGGGCCCATTGTTAGGTGATATATGATATGAGAGTATTTACACACGTGACAGAAAGTATAAAAAGGCATCTGGTGTAAGTCGCAGGAGATTCTTCAGCTTTTGTGTGCATCATCAGATGTAGAAAGTACTACAAGTCAGGGCCGTAGCCAAGATTTTTGAGATACTGAGGTTATAAGCCCAAGTACTGAAGACCCCCAGATGTGCAAATTTTGTACTTTTTCAGAGAATGTAGTCTTTGTATTCTATATCAAAATCCAATAATCTTTTTCTTCCTGTAAAGCAAAATGTGACACATGCTTAAGTGAGTGTGAACCATCAACGTATATAAAGATGGACGTCACATCTCCACTTCCTCCCACTACAAAAATGAAGCCAGACTATCCTGGATATGGCCGCTGCCATCTTTTGCATTTGGAGCCAGAGTCTTGTGCAGTAGTGATTGGCACCAGTGTCAAAGTCCCGCCTGACACTGACTGACTCAGTCAGGAGCAGGGCTCAGCTGTCAATCATGATATAAAAAAAGTGATGTAAAGCAGTGACTTACACCTCAAGATCGCTGTAGCACAGTGAGAAATTAAACAGGTCTGAAAAAAAATATTCATAATATCCTGTCAGAATACACTTTAAAGTACAAATCGTGCTTTATCGGGCTAATAGCCTATCAAATGATTTGAATGCTGCAGGGCCGAGGACACTGAGTTTATGTCTTCTGTATTCTGGGGATAAGTGGAACTTTCAACTTCTGTGAAAATCAGGTGTGGAAATCGTCTTCCAGTGTCATACTCAGAGATTCCACTAACTTACTTTGTGAAATGTAACGTTAGGCCTTCGCTTCAGTATGTCACATTCTGTGGTGGATAACAAACAGAATCGGAACAAGACAATAGTAGGCATTTTAATGAGTGAGAGGTTGAAAGAAATATGTCACAGATTGTCAAAATTAAATCAAAATAAAAATGTAATCAAAAATAGCAAATTGTTTCAAAGGTGCTGTAAGCTGAATCTGCATTTTGGCTAACGTCCTGTCTGTTCTTGCAGTCCCTGCCCTCTCTGTCATCACCACAGTTAGGATCAGGAAGACCAGATTTTCACAGTACTCTCAGAAATATCAGTTTATGGGTTTACATCATTAGTAACAATGACCTTTAAAGGAATAAAAACAGAAGGGTTTCTTTTGATTGAGCTGACTTTATTATAATTTCACAAAATACTACGTCATATTTTAATTAGAGAAGGTAGAGTTCAATATAATTTTAATATCACTAATAGGGTAGAATTCAATACCGTGGGTAAGCAAACGTAGGAAGTATGATAACTGTCTTTTAACTTTTTTACCATGGTATACCATGGAATTGGTATAGCCCAATTATAAGCTAACGTTATATTTTTTTGGTTTTATTATTTAGTTAATAAATATTGGCACAAAATATAATTTATATTACGCTGCGTAAGTATTGTTTTGGTCAATTGTCTATAAACGCTTGACTACAATCTACATATTACGTTACAGTATTGCGTACACATAACGGTCCAACTGCCCATTTTATCACGAGACCCAATCGTCGTCTATGGTTGTAAGTTGTAGTTTCTAACGCTAGGTTGCTACGTATGACAGACTTACATGTCTTCGCCAATAGAACTACAAACCCCAGAGCTCAGCGTGAGGACGAGCGTGATCTACGCGTGTAGTAGACCGACGTCGTAGAGCTCTGTCTGACAGGTTAGCATCATGGCTAGCATCTGAAAAACACCTCCGGACAGACGCGTCTGCGCACTGCTACCCGCTGCCGACGGCGACGGCGGACTGAGGAATAAGGATGGGGTCCCGAATCAAGTAAGAATGTGTCTCTGCTGCTTTGACTGAGGCTGTTAGCGTCCCGGTGCTGTGTTAGCTTTCTTACAGCGAGTCATTGGGGAAGATACAGCACAGTGCGAGGCCCTGACTTGTTGCGACACAGGCTAAAAACACTGGTGGTGGTACTCCACTGACTGGAGCCGAAAAACAAAGCGTATTGAAGGTGTCCAGTGGTTTGAGGTCGGCTGAGCTGGTCATTCACAGCCTCGTAACCCGCGTTAGGACGAAGCTTACGGGTACAAAGTGAAACAGATGAGTAGCTGGCAGTTAGCAACATGTTTGTGTGTGTGCAGCCAGTGTAAACATGGTAGCTGTGTCCGATTTTCTCCATAAACCGGATGCTAGTCTTCAGGACAAAAGTGCAGACAAGCTTTCTGCTTTTCCCTGACCTATTGTCACTTCTCTGGTCTAACGGTAGTGTGGACATTGTGGGGCTGTGGCTGTGTCATTAGGACTTGGTGAACTAAGAGACAGTCCGTTATTTTTCATGGTGCATTGATGAGGAAGGAGCTAATGAGATATTGTCACATCTGTACCACCACAGAGATTCCTCCTGAAATCTGCTTCCATATTCAGTAACACTCGACAAGCAATTTGACTGAATTGACTGTATGAAGAATTCCCATTAATTATTATTATTAATAATTAGTATCATGTCCTATTACTGCAGACAGTAATTCACACTGCAAGCCTTAGGGCTCAGTTCTGGTTTATGGTTTGGATCGGATTTGTTTGGCTGTTCACAATGTTTTTTAAATGTGACCCATATCAGATTCCTGTGTGAACAGGACACAGATGTCGATATAGAGTGACATAATAGTCACATGAATTCTGATATGAGTGTTCACACTGAGGTCACACTGCAAAGAATCAGACCTGTATCGTATTTGGATCACATATGAAAATGTCCCAAGTCAGAACTGAAAAGATCCGATTCAATGTGATTTGTGCTGTTCTCACTGTCATGAAAACATCCAAGCTGAGTCACACATGTGCAATACAATCAGATTTGGGTCACTTTGGTCTGCAGCTTGAACACAGCCAGTGACATGTTGTCAGCTTCAGCATGTCAGCGGGCTTATCATGGAGCACGGCTGTGTGACAGGACTGTGTGACAGGACTGTGTGGGACGGTCATTAACGTGTGTTTCATCATACCTAATTTGCTGTTGATCAAACGAACTGATGTCTCATTCTTGAACGACAACATGCAAGTCATTGGATTAATCTGAGACGTCCTCGACACCGGAATGTCACCTTGTGTGCAGCCAGCATATGTTGACCAAGAAATTCTTAAGTCAACTGCAACCCAAAACAGGGCGGTAGACCACTAGGGAGTAGTGCTACTTTATAATCTGACACAATTACTGTTAAAAAATGTAGTGAGTAGAAAACCTAGTTATGACCATTATATTCCATTTCTGCCTATAGATCCTCCTAAATGTTACACACTGGACCTTTTTAAGCAAATTCAGGCAGTAGCTTGATGGCAGAACTTGCACTGTACTGGGATATTGTTCCTCTTTTCTGCTTAAAAGACAAATAAATGGTGACATTTCCACACAGTGAAAGCATGTCTTCCTTTGAGGCTGTGACAGTGAGTTGTCATGTAAGATTAGCTATGTCTTCACTGAGACCAGAGTTCGGTTGCAATGTGCATGATAGTATATCAGTCTTCATTTGAAAGTGTATTTGTTATAAGTTGCATGCATACATGTATGGGTTGAATTATTTGAGAATGGTTTGTTTTATTACATTTTGTATTGCACTGTATTAACGCTGTGGATAGGTAGAGCCGCAGGGAGGGCGCATGCTGTTAGACTGCACCTTTAATACAGGTGTGTGTCTCCCATTGTGTTTGGTAAGCGGGGAGCAAAGTGTTTATTGACCGCAGTAAAATGTTAGTTTGAAAGGCTAAACACCAATGTTCTGCAGGTTTTGTTTTGATTTTCTTTCAATAAATTTGAACTTTTGGACTTTGAAATGCTCTGGAGTTTCTGGAATTGTTGAATCACGTGAGTCGGATATAATCCTACACTGCCACCACTGGAATCTGAACTGTTTAAAATTGAAATCATGCTAACAATAATCTCCATTTTCCCTAAATGTAACTGTAATCTGATTATGTCCTTTTTTTCTGTAACTGTAATGGACAGTTACCTTTTTTTTGATATCCTGATTACTCCATTACATGTAATCCATTACTCCCCAAGCCAGTTGGGGACACAGAGGTCTGTAAGACCTGTGTTTACCTATATATTATAATTTAGCTTTTTTGAAAAAGGTCCATTATTTCTGGGAACAAATAAATACATAAATAAATAGTCTGTTTTGAAGGCAAATTCTGATATTTTTTACCTTACCATAAATATTCAAAGTTATAGAAGTAGGCCCTTCACAATAATCATGTTATTGACTTATTGTACGGTATATAGACTAAATATGGGCATGTCACCAATAATACCTAAGCTGAGACACGTTTTGCTGCCATTTTTTGGTTGCTTTGGTCTTCTTTAGGAATTACCAAAGAAATGTGAATATCATTCCAGCCTCGTACAACAAAGTGAAAGACGATATTCCTAAAGGGAGACGTCTCCTTTTACTCTTTCACTGCAGGTATGAGGTCAAGCTCAAATATAACCCTGTACATTGCATTGTTATGCTATTATATTGTCATTGCATTAGTGGCATAAAATGGTCCTACAATAATATCATTTAGCACAGTTATTCCTGTATATAGCAAAAGCAGTTATTGTGATAGATGAGACTGAAATGTGCCATTCAGCCTCCTTTCCTTACTGTTGGTCACAGTTAGTTAGGACCCACTACTATTTTATTTAATAGGACAGCTTGGCCCATAGCAGCCTTCCTCTGAACGCATCAGCCATCAGCTTCACTCCACCTTATATCTGACAGTCAGTGGAGAGGGTTTGTCCTTCAGCTGTCTGAGCGGATCTGTTGCGCTGAAAGGACAGCGGCTAACTACTCATATACAAATACACAAACAAATACCTGGAATAGCTGCAATAACTGTTATTTTGTAAAATGAATACAGAAATAATACATCAGAAATAAACCCTTCTGTAGATAATGTTAACTGTGTGTCTACATCATGGAAAAAAGTGACTCAACTACAGAAACATGAGGGTGACAAAAACTGGATTAAATGTGCGAATGCATAGTTTCTGTTCGATGGACTTTGCCATCACTCGGTGAATGTGTGTGAAAGGGTGAATGTGGCACGTAGTGTAAAAGCGCTTTGAGTGGTCAGAAGACTAGACAGTCGCTATACAAGTACAGGTCCATTTACCATTTACCGTCTACCTATCGAAAAAAGTATTGTCTTGCAATATTTAGTTTTGTGATATTTTCTGTGATATTGTATCGATTCTCAAAAACACTGTATTGATTGTTGTGTTTAAACCTCCAACAGTGATGTAAACATACTGAGGGCTTTGATGTTTCACTCAGATTTTATGAATATGGTGGTGTGTTCTATGACAGTTTTTCTAAAATTAGATTTAAAAAAGAGTAATCACACTGTATTTGCTTGCCTACAGTATCGCAGTATACTGAGTCGTAACACCTGTTTCATGATATGTATCGTGTTGCCAGTTCCAAGGTGAGACTGCCGTGAATATACTGGCTAAATTCACAAGGAAGTAATAATTATATTAAATATCTAATTTCATCTAAAAATGGAATTCAGTGGAACCCCATTATAAAACTAAGATGCTTTGCTGTCAAAGAGATGTGGTAAAACAAGCATTATTTCGCACAGTGCCACTGTACATTAATTATTGACAAATTAAACACTATTCTGTCATAGTACATATTTAAAGAGAAAGGCAATTGCATTGTTTGTTTAGAAACTCAAAAGTGGAAGGCATCATTACATAATAAGTATGTGTACTTTGCCTGAGTTTTGAATACCATGCAACAATTCTAATGATCAATGTTTACCCTCTGTTCCAGGGAGAGCCCTGAGTCCACTTTTGAGGTCTATCTGGAGGTAGCCCACCCAGGCACACACAGCTCTGGTAAGTCTTAAATCAACAACTTCTGGTTAGTCCTGCTCACAGCTGGTTTAAGCCACTCATCCCTGATATACTGTATTAACATTAACTCATTCATCATCATCATCATCATCATCATCATCATCACCACCACCACCACCACCACCACCACCACCATGGTGAATAAGGGTGCTCTGATCAGGGTTTTTGGGTCTGATCCCTGATTGCTGGGTCTGTTTGAGGGTAGTCTTATTCATTAAATTAATAAACAACATATATTGATATATATTGTACATTAAGTATTACAATTAATGAATTGTTACATTTTGAATTGATCTGTTTATGTATTGGCAGGCAACATAGTCCACTCTCTCTCTTAAAGACACAACTTAAACTATAGCAGCCTAGGCAGGGAGGGGAGGGGGACTACTTTTCCACTTCTAGCAGCTCGTGTCATATGTCACAAATTTAATTCAAAGTGTTTAGAGCGAATTTAGGGCCGATCAATGGGAGCACTCTCTCTTTTCAGTTTACTGAGAGGTGTTTTTCAGCACTTTATACGGTACAGTAGTCAACGTGGCAATTTTCTAGTATAGTCTTACCTATTCACTATCACTCACCTGACAGCATCAGATGGTTTGTTACACATCACACTTAAAGCTCTGCAGAGGGAAATTCTTTTACTCTTTCGTAACACTTTTGTGAATGAAACCTGCGAACAAGCAGAGCGGAACCTGCCAACCTCAGATGGCCATTTTTAGGGCCGTCTGTGAGGGAGGAAATCTCACATCCTCATGACCATTCATCTGGCTGAAACAGGCAGTTTACCACAAGATTTTGCAGTTACACAGTGTGGGGACACGTGTCAAGCAAACTACATAGAAAAAAATGATAGTATTTTAGGTTAAGAGCACAGAAATGTTCTTGCATGAGGCCTGTGTTTTGGACTTTATTTTAACTTTTGTGGTTTTATGTGAACTATTGCATAGTTTCACTTCTTTGTACCTCAGAGAAGTATTCAAATGAAAACATGTGAGGCAGTTTAGAGGAGAAAATCACTCTTTGGTGCAGTTGCTCACAACTAGATAAGTGCAAACTTCACAAGTAGACAAGTAGAGTTGTTCATCTTGAGGGACCATAAGTCAAAAAGTTCGAGAGCAGCTGGTTTACTGCTAAATGATGAATGTTGGTCGATGTGTCTCATCTTTTTGTGGCTTTTTTTTATCCGCAGAAGTTGTGTGACTAATTTCCTGGGTACCGAGGAGAGGTTTTCAGCTTTATTTCTAAGAATTTCTTCCTGTTGGAGCCTGTCATCATTTCCTGTTCAGTCTTTAAGATGCCATATCCATGTCTGTATCTGACTCCTGCTGGTTGCATTGTATTTGCATTTTATATTGGTCTGCTTCACAGAACAGCATCACATATGCACCTCAGACTGTCATATATGTACACAGAACTGAAGAAACAACTGGGATGTGTATCAGTATTTAATTTAATAAATGAAATTTCTGCACCAGAGTTTGATATGTGTTTCAAAGATTTTATTTATTCTTTCCAAAAGTGATATTTCTCTTCACTATGAGGATTACAATCTAGTTTTAATGTGCAGAGGTGATATCTAACATTCCTTGTATTTCTAGAAATATTGTGCAACCCTTTCCATATTTTCATGTACTGGTTCTCAGCGACAGTGTGACTCTCAGCATGTTGCTGTGAGTCCACCTGCTGGAGAGAACATGCAACCACAATCAGAGCAGACCCTTTTCCTATTTTCATTATAATGGATAAACTCCTCTGGTGGAAAACAGAAAAGGTATTTTAGCAACGAAATAAAAATAATCAGCATCACTGCAGTATTTGCGGAGATGACGGATTATCAGTATTTTGCTGACCAGAAATGAGAGCCAAATTGGAACTAGCTGTTGGGACCCATCAGCAATGCTATATACAATGTTATAAGGAATTTGGTCTAGACCTGCTCTATTTGAAAAGTGTCCTGAGATAACTTCTGTTATGAATTGGTGCTATACAAATAAAATTGAATTGAATTGTTCCTTAATTGGAACAAAGGGGGCCAAACAGATCTAGACCAAAAGCCTGGTGGTCTACATGCTTTTCAAATCAGTAAATACAAACTTCCTCCTGGTATGAACTGAACACCACAGACTGATTTACTGCCTGATAGCTATGAGTTTTGACTCATCATGTTTAAGGTCCAGTGTGTAACATTTAGGAGGATCTATTGGCAGGAATATAATATTCCTAGGTATGTTTTCGTTTATCTAATCTTATATCTTCCTCTTCTACAGAGTCCGCCATGTTTCTACAGTAGCCTAGGACGGACAAATTCAATTCAATTTTATTTGTATAGCGCCAATTCATAACAGAAGTTATCTCAGGACACTTTTCAAATAGAGCAGGTCTAGACCGAACTCTTTAAAACATTATTTACAGAGACCCAACAGTACCACCATGAGCAAGCACTTGGAGACAAGGACAAGGAAAGCTGCCTGTTAAAAGGCAGAAACCTAGGAAAGAACCTTGGCTCTAGGTGGGTGGTCGTCTGTCTCGACCAGTTGGGGTGAGACAGACAGACAGACAGACAGACAGCAACTACACTAATAGTAGTGACCATGGCAGGAGGCTCCACCAGGATCCATGAGAACCTGCGAGACGAGAAAGCACAAGAACTCCGGGGAAGAAGTGAAACAAATAAAACACTGGCTCTAGATAGGGCCTTTTGCGTGTTTCTGCAGCCATTGTAGTTCACACTTCACAGCCTGTTCTCATACCCAGGTCATCAAATACAGACGCGAGCAGTGTTCAGTTGGTTGCAATAGATGCCACTAAATCCTACACACTGGTCCTTTAAGTCAAAATGAATGTTCTGTATTGGTCCTGTTCACCTCTCCACAGTCATTTCATGTCTGTCTATTTCTAACAGGGCCGGAGGTGCAAAGGCAGTACCCTGAGGACTACACAGACCAGGTTTGAAATACGTCATATATTGTACTTCCTTTAGCTTTCCTCTGTGAATCACCCTCCTCATGTCCTCATTGGTTTCTTTTCCATACATTTGTTACTCATCCACCCGTACTTCTTTTTTGTTCCTCTCCCCAAACAGTAATTGGATCTTAACATGGAACTCAGGATGAAACTAATGTTTGTCATTTTGTCATTTTGTCATTTTTGTCTTTCTCTCACTGACACAAACGGCGTGTGGCCTGTGAACCTCAATGATACAGCTAGTACCATTAATACTTTGTACTGGTAATATTAGTGTCAATATATGCAGCAAGCACCAGACACACTCAAAAGTTCTTGAGAAATTGTACACAGCTATTAGATCAATTCATTTGATTAACATCAGTTGTTAGTTAGCTATCCTTTTGCTAATATTAACTAACTTAAGATGTGAATATATATATATATCACTTTTGGCTTTTAACCATCTTTGAAATGTGGCTGTTTTTTAAACATAGATTAGCCTATCACATAGCATATCATAAGTACAGGAAAGGAGGAAGTTGACTGAGGTTCTGAGGCTTGCTCAACTGGTATTGAAGTACAGAGCAAGAAGGGGTGGGACTTCGGTCTATACATGTAACTACTGTATACTACTGTGTTCTATAATCCTCAACCTGTGTCCTACAGGAAACTCTTCAGACTGTGCCCAAGTTCTGCTTCCCTTTCAGCATGGACAGGTATACACACACACACACACACACACACACACACACACACACACACACACACACACACACACACACACACACACACCTCCTCCCACTTTGACACACACAAGTTGCCACACCAGTGAAAACCAGTACAGTATTTTTGTTTTTTATGACACTTCATGCACAATACTGTGAATTAGTGAGTTCATTACAGATAGCACTGAAATGGCTGGATGCCTTCACACACACAGGACAGAGCATGGTAGCCTGCATGGCTATGATTATTCATTTGTGATCTTTATCCCTCCATCTCTCTCTCTCTTTCTCTCTGTCTCTCTGTCTGTCTGTCTGTCTGTCTGTCTGTCTGCCTCCTGAACTTCTTTCAACATGCAGCCTGACAGTCAACCAGGTCGGACAGAACTTCACATTTGTGTTGACTGACATTGAAAGCAAACAGAGATTTGGCTTCTGTCGCCTTTCCTCAGGTGCACACACCTGCTACTGCATTCTCAGGTGAGTATTCTGTAGGCAGTCTAGTTGTATCCATAGATTGAGGTTAGAGATGCACAATCCAGTGTTCTCAGTTCTGGTTCTGATACATGACGTTTGATATCTGCTAATACTGGTAGCACTGAATTTAAGTAATAGTATTTTATAATGCAGCTCAGCTTCCACCCCCTAAATGTCGGCTTTACACACATTACAAGTTGCTTTTCTGTGTTTTGGGACTAAAAATACAAACATAAAAAATATACACTGTTGGCCTATATAACATTATACTTTTATAAAAGATATTTTTAAAGGTTAGATTATTATTTAAGAACTAATCTTTGTAGAGCTGAACACAAGCTATTGTCACAGAGCCTTCACTCTCTGATAAACAGCCTCGTCCTGCATTAGAACCAGAGAGCTGATAGAACAATGAGAAGAAAACACTGAATTTATCAGAAAAGACACCTATTAAGCATGTATGATTGGTCTTTCGACCGCTCAATGCGCTGTACACTACATGCCACACTCACTCCATTCAGTGGTTGCAAACTGCTCACCAGAATGGAAACTAATAATTCATACACACTCATACACCGAAGCAATTTGGGGTTCAGTATGTTGCTCAGAGACACTTCGACATGCAGCGAGAGGAGCCGGGGATCGAACCGCCAACCTTCCGATTAGTGTTGGAAGGTCCCTAAAATGATCAATAAAGCTAAAATCACTCCTTTTACATACACTTTATTTGCATCAGTTTATCAGTGGTTCTCTACTGTTATTGTTATGTTAGGGGCGGCAGTAGCTCAGTGTGTAGGGACTTGGCTTGGCAAATCCCACAGACCACAATATGGAGTGTGGACTGGTAGCTGGAGAGGTGCCAGTTTCACCTCCTTTGCACTGCCGAGGTGCCTGTTTGCATGTGCCTGTGTGTGTGTGTGTGTGTGTGTGTGTGTGTGTGTGTGTGTGTGTGTGTGTGTGTGTGTGTGTGTGTGTGTGTGTGTGTGAGTGTGTGTGTGTGTGTGTGTGTGTAAGAATAAAAAATAGTGAAAAAAAGAATTTCCACAATAAGGGATTAATAAAGTATATATCTTCTATCTTATGTATGAAATATAATGTGAAATATCTCAGTTTATTTAGTTATAGATTAAGGAAGATTTTTAAAGAAAAAGGTTGGAACCACTGCTCTAACTCATAGAATTCTGGGAGACCAAAATTATGTGGACTGCTTGATATCTATGTAGAACTGATTTATTACTAATTAGTCCATATTGGCACCTGATACCAGTATTGGGTTGGATCGGTCCGTTTGAGTTACAAAATAAGAAATGTTATGGCAAGAGCAGGCACCTATGCTACAAAGCCTAACTTTTTGTGAAATCCAACCATCAGCTCAGTGAATTTATTGGTGTATATTTTCTGTATTAAAAACCGCCAAATCGGTGTGCTCACATGGAAGAGCGCACACCCCATGAAGACTCAGTTCTTACCGCATGTTGTTCCCCCTCTACTTCTTTCCTGTCAACCTTCACCTCCTATCAAATAAAGGCATATAAAGACCCAAATAATAAAAATCTAATCTAAAAAAAATCTAAAAAACAAAAAACAAACAAAGAAGCAAATCAAACTAGTTGACAAACAACGGTTGAAATATTAGGACAATGATTGAATGGTAAAAAACAACATTTACAGTACCAACATTATGTACTTCCAGTGTTTGTGACTTGGTGGAGCATTTACAGCATAAGGATATTTAATACGAACTCCTATGAGCTTTTTAAAGGTAGCCCTGTAAAACTAATCAGATACATTTCGCACATTGCCTCTCCATGTTTAGAGTGAAAACTGACTGTGGTCACATAATTAGCCAGTAATCCCATTCCCACAAATGCCAAACTCAGAGTAAAGCTCAGCTTTGTAAAAATACAAAACACTGTTTTTGTTCCCTCAGCTACCTGCCCTGGTTTGAAGTCTTCTACAAGCTGCTTAATATCCTCGCAGATTATACTATCAAAGGCCAGGTAAGGTACTCAGCTGACTCCTCTTGTTAGGAGAGGTTTCTTGACTTCAGTCAGGAACTTGTGGGCCAGTTTCTTTACTGAGCTAGTGTCAGCTCTCATTAGTATTTTGCTTTTGAGCTAAATTAAAAATGTCTTCTTGTTTAAGCTTCTTCACAACAAGCTGCACAGTTAAGAGATAATAAACCGATGCAGCAGTGTGATCAGACACTGTTGTCTGACGATAATACGAGTTTTAATAGAAATATGAAATGTCCTTTTTACGCTTCTTATGTGAGATGAAGTATTTTTTTGTAATGGCCATTTCATATATTTTGGATCTTCTGAATATTTTAGGAAAGCCAATGGCAGGAGCTCCTGGTGTCACTACATACGCTCCCTATCCCTGAGCCCGGAGTCCCCGTTCATCTTGGTGTGGTGAGTCTGACTTCAACCATCACATCAGTATTTGTTTTCCTCCCAGAGAACAATAATGTCACTGAGAGTCAGAAAATACTGCCACTACAGGATTACTACACTCATCAGTGTTATTCCACATCACCCTGCATCTCTATATGATAGGACTAGAGAAAAAAGGAGTTCTCTTTGCATTGCTTTTTATTTATCTCTACCACACTGTGATGGATTCGAACTATAACTGATCCTCTTGTTTTCTCCAGCATTCTTTCTTCACTGTGCCTGACACAGGGGAACTCCCCAGCATACCTGAGAATGTGAGTGTTAAAATTTCCCTCCTGACATCCCAGTCAAACCTTTGTCTAAGCAGAAACTTGCTGTTAATACAGTTGATTTATATCTGTGGGCGGGTCGGGTAAATTAGAAACTGCACACAGGATAGAAAACAAACAGCTAATGAGGAGTTGTTTTTGTTCTGTGCATAAATCAGACATGATGGGTGGAAAATGTTACAGTTAGCTCAGAGTACAGAATTAGCTTTTAGTTCCAGCAGTCTGGTCTGATCTGGCTATGTGTTCAATGCTAGTCAGTTAGATGTGTGCTTAAAGTTTCAGTGTGTGACTGTCAGCTGATAGAGCTGCAGACTGATGGCGGTGGGTGGAAAATGTATCACATTATGCTTGAAAAATGCTTAAAGATCCCCTCTAGACACGTATATAAACAGTCTGCTTGGAAGAATAACGTGTGTCTGATATTTTTTTCCCACAACAAAAAGTTCAACTTCCACATTGAAATCCTTAAAAAGTAATCCCCTCCTTCTACCTCATTAAAACTTCCAGAATCTCTGAATATGCAAATGTTCATTTCTAAAGTTTTCCTGCTGGACACAAGATGTCTCCTACTTCACTGTAAAGTCCATTCTCAGTGGATGTGCACTGGTGGCTTCAAGTTTTAATCACACTGTACAAGTTGCACAAAAATATGTGGAAGCCCATTCCCTCCATGAAAGTAAAGTAATAAAATATATGAATGCAGTATTGAGTTTTATGAATTACAGTTTATATCGTTTTCATACTGAATCACGGTCCATACCTTCACAACTAACTCTCTTGTTTTTCTCTTATTGTGTTTGACCTTTGCAGAGAAACCTAACAGAGTACTTTGTAGCAGTAGATGTCAATAACATGCTTCACCTGTACGCTAGTATGCTTTATGAACGTCGAATCCTCATCTGCTGTAGCAAACTAAGCACTGTAAGTAGAGTCCACTTCCTGTTTCTTCTCTCTCCTGCAGCTCTGCCTGCCGGTTTCTTTTAAATCTTTCAGTAAAAAGCAGGGCTGTTAGAATCTATAAACCACAGCATGAAAAGAGTTAAGATAAATGTTTTCTTTAAAATGTAATTTTGAAACTTTAGTTGAATATTGCACCTTTAAGGTGTCAGGATGTTTTTCCCTGAACTTAAAGGTCCAGTGTGGAACATTTATGAGGATCTATTGTCAGAAATGAAATATAATATTCATAGGTATGTTTTCATTCGTGTATAATCACCTGAAAATAAGAATCGTTGTGTTTTTGTTAGCATCGATTGAGCCGTTTTTATTTACCGAGGTGGAGTCCGCCATGTTGAACCGCCATCTTTTGACAGTAACCCAGAACGGACAAACCAAAACTGGCTGTCGATAGATGTGTTTTATGCAGCCACCATAGTTTCTCCTTCGTGCTTGAAAGGGGAGAGTGAATCAAGGGAGTTGTGATTTTCAGCTACACCAATAGATGCCACTTAATTGTTCACACTGGTCCTTTAAATGTACAATATGAATTACTTTAAGAAAAACCCTGAGTTGTATTGTGTATACACAAATCTGGTGATTGCTTTGTGTGTTAATCAATCTGGCAGTGCCCCCAATACTGCAGTGCAAGTCATAGTGACTGTGTAACTGCTGAAAGTGACAGCAGCATGGGTAGTTGCACTGACGACATTAGGCAGTGGCCCCCAGTTACTGACTTACCTTATTTGGATGGTGCTTATATGGAACACTATTAATATGAAGGTTGAAGGAATTAATTCTGTATTTGTAGGACCCTCGAGCTGCTAGCTTGCTGTTAACACTCACTGCCAGTGTAGCATAGCATCAGATATTTAGGTTACAGGTGATTAAGTGTCAGGGCCAAAAAAAAAACACTGAATTTGTCCAAAAGACTTATTAAGGCTTATTAAGGCTGTATGATTGTTAAAGATAATAAAAAAACATAATACAGACAGACAATAGGAAGTAAAATAAAAAAAATAAAAAAAGGAAATGATCTTCAAAATTCACAAACTTCTTGCAGTTACTGAGTTCACTGTATGGGTTCATTGTACAGTTTGAATATAATATGTCACTGAGTCAGGGGTTGTCAGTTTACTAAATGATACAAAAGGTGTCCCTTTGTAGGTAAAGGCTGGGCACCACTGGTCTGTATCAGTGTACAACATAAGATATATATATTATGTGTATATATTCAATTTAGTTTTATTCATGTATTTATTCATGTTTTTATTCCTGAATTGCATGTTCAACTGTTTACATGAGTGCATATGTTGTCTTGTTATATTGAGCATGTATTTGATGTTTGTCTTTGTTCCCAGTTAACAGCTTGTGTCCACGGGTCTGCAGCCATGTTGTATCCAATGCACTGGCAACATGTTTACATTCCTGTCCTGCCTCAACATCTATTAGACTACTGCTGGTGAGTGTGCTAGCCGTTGTGTTAAACAAAGGGAACTTTCTACGCAGCTAAACATACACAGGCACCAAGACTGTACATACATACAGCATCTATAGATCCTTGCAAATACCAGTGAACCCTTTTTCTTTCACAAATAGTGTGTATTGTCTGCATGCTATGATGGGGACGATGGTTTTATATCCAGGAAAACACTGTATGACATCCAGGATTTAATATCTACCAGGCTTGACACGCTCAGTCAACAGATGCTGTGTTTAAGTTCCATAACGCAGCTTTTAATTTGGGCATAAATGTTGTAACTATGAAACTCTCTCTTTCAGTGCTCCAATGCCCTACCTCATCGGAGTACATTCCAGCCTGATGGAGGTAAGTGTCTGTCAGATTTAAGACGAAGAATTGCAGTGTTTACCCTGCTTGATCTGGTGCTGACAGGTTTTAAATGGTATCTTTGTGTCTGTAGTTGACTCTGTCAGTATGCTCTTCCTATTACTTGTAGAAAGTTCGAGGGTTGGCTCTGGATGATGTGGTGGTCCTCAATGTGGACACAAACACCCTGGAAACCCCCTACGATGACCTCCAAAGCTTGCCCAATGATGTGGTGAGGAACTGCTATACACTGCACAGTGTATTTTTAAAAAACAGTCCAGTTTTAAATATGGATGTAACCGATAAAACATTGTTTTAATGACTGTAACTTCATGTCCCGCAGGTTTCGTCTTTAAAAAGTCGTTTGAAGAAGGTTTCAACAACAACTGGAGATGGTGTGGCTCGTGCCTTCATCAAGAGTCAGGCGGCTCTGTTTGGCAGCTACAGAAACGCTCTGCAGATTGAGCCGGTCAGTACACAATGTAGACCACAGACAGGAAGGATGCAGGGAACAAAGAAAAATAGAGTTGGCATTGATCCTTTCATGGCACATCCAAAGTCACATGGGTGTGCCCACATCCTTAAAGATCCTCTCCACTCAAACGTGTGTTTTTCTTATGTGTATGTCCTCTAAAATGTCTTAAAACTTTGTCACTAGTGAGATGTTTTCACATTCCTCTTCCGAAGTACACTTGTGTTGTCTTATTTGCTGAAACGTTCATTATATCCTGACAGTAGTACATGAGACAGATAGTCTGTGAAACAATCTGGTTCCTCTGGCTCCTTCTAGTGCTCCTAATGGTATTTGCAAGAATCTGAACAAAAACAACCAATCAGAGCCAAGTCAGATGGAGAGATGCTTTGGGCTGATGACTTAAAGATTCTTAAATCCAGAATTTCTCAGTGAGGGAGAAAGTGTAGATGTGGGAAAGCATGGTAAACTAAATATGAATCATAGCATAGTACTGTAAAATACTTCTGTAAGTGGAACTTTAAATGTCGACAATAGCAACATTTTAACAAGGTCAAAGGTCAGGACCTCTGGCCACTGAATATAAACTGTTGAATGTGTTGTTTCCTGCATTTTTAGGGTGAGCCGATAACGTTTAATGAAGAAACCTTCATCAATCACCGTTCCAGTGCCATGAGACAGTTCCTCCAGAATGCCATCCAGCTGCAGCTCTTCAAACAGGTACACACACACACACACACACATACACACAAACACGTCTTTATCTCACCCTTCCTCTTACACTCTTATACATTCTATGCTTCCACCTGCAGTTCATTGATGGCCGTTTGGACCTGTTGAACTCAGGAGAAGGGTTCAGTGACATCTTTGAGGAAGAGATCAACATGGGCGAATATGCAGGTGAGTCAGCAGTGATACTGGTCATCAGTCAGATCCATTGACATGGAAGCACCAGAGCACACCGCCCCACTCCGACACAGGCGCCGGAGCTGATCACAGCAGTTCTCGACAACGCTATGATTCCACCAGAAGTGGCCCAGCTTGCTTCTGACTCTGTCTTCAGCAACTCTGATCTGTGAAGAATACGTGAAGCAGCACAGAGCAGATTGTGTGGGCAGGAATGGCATAGAGAATCAAAACTTGTGCCCTCAATTGTAAAAAATAAAAAATAAAAAAAGCAACCAACAAAATCCAGACCAGTCACCATAACTTCTATAACAGTAAGATGTACAGCTGATCCCAGAGCTGTCCAGGAGAACTGCTTTATGTCTGTGAGACTGCTGTAAGCAATTCTCATTTTCTTTTCACTCTGTCAGTGCTTTAATTTGTAAAATGGGTCAGATATTTGATAAGATCCACGTGCTAGGTGATCACAAGCTGCTGCTTGTGTCCACCTACACAACATGACACATTCCCACTGCAGAAGGGAAGTTAAAAGACAAAGCAATAAAGCCGGAGCACATCCTTGTTGCTGAAGCACATAAGTTCAGTAGACGGGTCACCAGGGTCTTAGTGGCACTCTGCTTGTGCACTACAGTGGTTTTAATTTAGATTCCGGGCTAGACTTTCTCAGCTAGTACCCAGCATCCACTACTTAATGTCGTTGACCCTTTGTTGTTCTGACTCCCCCTCTACAGGCAGTGACAAGACCTACCACCAGTGGCTGTTCACTGTGAAGGTGAGCTAGTCTCAATGCTATTAGCCACACACACAGCACATTACCATAAAGAATATTTTGCATGCATGTTTGTGTGCTTTGTTTTTGTCCTGCTCACAGTAGGAGATTGGAAAATGTCCCAACAACTCCTGGCCAGATTGCCACAAAACTGACCCACTGCTCCCTTTTAAGAAAAGCCTTCCTTCCTGCACTCAGTACCTTTAGGAGCCTCTAAGAAGTGTTGTTTTGCATCTGTAGTGCACACTGCTGCCACTAGGTGCTGTTAGTGCGGCTTCAGAACTTTAGTCATGCTCTTACTATGTCAATTTACTATTTGAGAGTAAACCTTTATAATATGCAACCTGAATATGGTACGTACTGGTACTAACAGACTTGTGTAAATGTTTTTCGACAGAAAGGGGGCGGGGCTATCTTCAACACGGTGAAGACCAAGGCCAACCCAGCCATGAGGACCGTTTACAAGTTTGTAAGCACGTGTCTGGCTTCTGTTAGAAACTATAAAATGAATCGTTACTAGAAATAAGAAATGATCTGGCTTTGCTTGTCTGACAGGCTAAGGACCATGCTAAAATGCGTATCAAGGAAGTCAAGAGCCGGCTTAAGCAGAAGGTATGTAGCTCAATACTGCTGACAAACCGTTTTGGATCATGTTTTTTTGGTACTCTGTTAGGCTGATGTATACATTTGAATCTTAAAGCTGCAGTAGGTAACTTTTATAAAAACAACTTTTTGTCACATTTGCTGAAACTTTCACAAGAATCCACCGGGCCTAAATCAAAACAACCAATCAGAGCTGCGAAAGGGTTTGGTGACTTGAAGATAGTTGATGAGTTTCATTCCCAGCACGGATTATCTGTTTCAAGTACTACTGTCAGGATATACTGAAAGTTTCAGCAAATATGAAACTTTCACTAAAGTTATTTTTATAAAAGTGACACCAAAGGTGCTTACGGTACTTGGTCTCTCCTTTATTAAAAATACCTTAAACACTACCCTGACTAGCCTTAACCGAACCCCACCACCCCAGCCCTACGTGCAGCCTGCTTCCCCCTCCCCCTTCCCCTCCCGCTGCAGTGCCATCACTTCTTTCGCCCATATCAACCTCCACCTTCCTGTGTCCCCCCTCTGCAGGAGCAGGCAGAAAACGGCTTCTCCACGGCAGGCTCAGCGGTCATTGATGATGACAGCACGGGGGGCTTCACCTCGTCCACCGGGGCAGTCAGGAGGGAGGCGCCACTGCGAACCTTGGAGGACCACAGGCCAATCACTGTGCACTTTGGACAGGTGGGCAGAAATGAGGTGGGGAGGAGTCAAAAGAGTTTATAAGGAATTTCACAATGTCTGAATGTACTGGCTGAACAAGGCTTGGATGATAAAACAATCAGAGATCATTCTGTACTATTTCTAACGAGGTTTATTGGAACTGCAGTTCCCTATCACAGTTGGACTACAACTTCAGCCCTGTCTTTTTAGCCTATATTTTTGTTTACAGTTTCACAAAGTGAGTTTATGGATGTTGTGAGTGTAAGTCACACTGAAAATATTTATTTGTGTGTCATGTCTTGAGCTGCTACAATCAGTCAGTTAAACGTACTGAATAAACATACTTTATGTATCACATAAATCACTGCTTCTCCCACGCTGTTGGACAGAAAAAGGACGTCCTGGAGGGGCTGTGAGCCGAGCTGCTGCTAACGTTAGCTCAGCTTGTTTCTCTGATAACTTAAGATCCAGACGTCCGATGACTAAAATCCTTCATCCGGTTCAAATCTAGAGTTAAAAAGCACCAAGATCTAAACAGTGGATGGTAACAATGTGGCTTCAGACTGGATCAACAGTCAATGTATGACAGCTTCTGGCAGACAACCACAACACTGACGCAGGCACAAAGGGGATATGACGCCATCGACAGGCGACCGGTGAAACGCAGCGTTACCTGAATAAAATGACAGATTTCTCTGAGTTTGAACTTTGTTGGAAACATTTGGAAACATTGTTGGATTGTTGCCATTTTTTATATTAGCATTAATTGTTTTGAGTCATTTTTTAAGGAAAAAATTCCAAATTCTCTGATTTCAACTTTTCCAATGTGAATATTTTTTTTAAAAAATTTTCTGACAGTTTATGGAACCAACAATTAATTGATTAACCCAGAAAATGATGGACAATCTAATCAGTAATGACAATAATTTGCAGTCCTAATGTCTGTGTGTTCTAAATTAATTATGACAAAGTAAATGAAAAAGTAGTGAGACTTCAGAAGCAACTTCTGGAAGTCAAGTACTCAGAGTGTATAAGTACCTTAATATCTTCCATGAGCTATGTGTTAATAAGCGGGCCAGATTATAACCAGTTCCAGTTGTTTTTAGAATACCAGTGTGCATCGGTGCCTTTCACTTCTCCATGGCCCTCTCTCAACTTTCTCTCATCCCCTCCGTGAGGCGCCCCACAGTTTGAAAATCCCTGTATTTGACAGTTGTGGACAGTCATCAGTCAGTATTTATAGTTCTGATTTTTGCGTCAGTGTGATGATGTACCATGATTTGTCAAGTTTAACTGGATTTGTTAAGAAAAGAAGTAATGAACTGAATTTCACATCCACTTGGACTCAAGGATGAACTGATTGGAATTTAGTGGTCAAAGGTTAAAGTCACTGTGACCTCACAAAACATATTTCTGGCCATAACTTGAGAATTGATGACCGTTGTTCACAGTTGGTCGGACACTGAATTGGTGACACTGATCAGTGTGACCTCAAATTAGGTTTTTAGCCATAACTTAAGAAGAATGGAGAATGATGATTATTGATACCCCTGCCATTATCATTTCTTTGTTGATTTTAGGGTTTTTTTAGAGACTAGTTTTCCAGTCTTGACACATGGAAATAATCGATCGCCTATGTAAATTTAGGTCTGATTTTTGTATGAAACTCGACTATTGGTGGGATAAACTGTATTTACTGAGGTTTACTACATGCAAAGCGGAACTGACCTGCAGTGATCTTTTCAGCAATGAGTCTATTTCTTTCCAGAGCTGCGACCGAGAAAGATTTTACATGCACAAAACCCACTGATGATCAAATTTCTTGCTGCTGTGGTTCATAAATACATGAATGCACAGTGATGTTAATTTTTCCTGCAATGAATACTTTAACTTTCTAGAAAATTAATTTTCTGTCAAGTTAAATACATTCTGTAACTAATGTGTTCAATTTGCCCGAAACTGCAACTTTTAGGACCATTTGTAAACAAGCGCTGTCTTGAAAATGACTCAAATGAGTGCGAACCCTGCTACAGCTGATAGCCTCACATCTAAAAATGGCAGGAGAAAGCACTACATTTAGTATAGCTATAGAATTATAGTATAGTATAGAATCCATCTGTATACAGTAATCAAGTACAATCCTTCATCAATCATTTTATTTACTTGTGTATTCATTGAAATTATACATATGTACCATCAATATAGTAATAACTTCCATTTAATCCCTTCAAATTCTTCACTACACATATCATATGAGTCTGGACAGACATGCATGTAAACTGCTACTTGACTGGTTGGTGGAGGGGAACAAGCTCAGGGCGGTAATTCTAGTTGTTATTTTTTCACTTCCACAGGCTCGGCCACCAATCCTGTTGAAGAGGCCAAGCAGCAATGTGAGTCTGGAAAGCAGCGTTGACCAGTAAGCCTACCTCCTTTATATACAGCCTACCTCCATTACATACAGTAATCCCACTGTCCATGATGCAATACATTAAATTTATTTAATGTACGACCTTTGGGGTAGAGTTTGTAGAAAAGAGAAAGAAATTCAGTAACAGTTCACCCCCAAATCAAAAATACATATCTTTTTGGAAAGAAGGCAGACATTTATACGGCCGGTATCTCGTAAACTCAGCAACACAACTGTCTGGATGGATAAACAACACTACAGGGAAGAGGAAAAGTAATAATGCAGCTGTTTCACAGTAAAAGCCACTCTTTGTTCTTACCAGCTTTATACCGTTTATTTAACTATTACATTGTCTGTGATATTTTGAGCACTCTTTGTATTGTTTTATCTAATAGAATACAATGAATACAGCTCTATTAAAGTAAGATAATACAAAATATGAACATATGATACAGTGATACTGTACTATTACCAGTACAAAACATAGAAAACGTTTTTCTATGTTGTGTACCAGCAAGGAAATAATAAAATAAATTCATATGTAATAATACTTATTTCTTAGAACTTAGTTCTATAAAGGGAACTATATTTTATAAATTTGACGTCCATGTCATTTTAAAGATTATAAATGGATGGGTGCCCGGTTAGCTCAGTTGGTAGAGTTGGCGTCCCATGTACGAGTACTTGCTGTAGTCGTTCCTGGGTTTGAATCCAACCTGTGGCCCTTTGCTGCATGTCATCCCCTCTCTCTCTGCCCCCCGTTCCTGTCTATCTTCACTTGTCGCTATCAATAAAAAAAAAAAAGGTAATAAAAGCCCCCAAAAAAGATTCTAAATGGATTATTACTTCTCTGGTACATTTTGTATGAATAGGGGCTGTTGCTCACTTACTGCAAAATCCATCTTTGTTCCTGAAGATGAAGAAGAACAAAAGTTAACATTTTACTAGCTGTAACTGTATATTCTATGGAGAATATTATTTTGTGGCAGCTTGTTTTTTTACTGAGAAAACCTTCAGTTCCCAATTATAGTCACACAGGATTTATCTCAGCAGTTCAACACATTTTGTTCATTGCTTTGTTTGTTTGTGACAGTGTGATTTAATTTCCTTTTCAACTAACTGCACTGCTTCCTTAATGCTCATTCAAAATCAAATAATATAGTTACTCTAAGTACAGTAACATTAATCCTAATACACTGTATGAAAATATAAATACTAATCCTTAACTTTCCTTTTCTTCAGTTTTCTGTTCCTCTTTAATGGATTTTATTAACCTATGGCTAATGAGCTGTGAATTTCCTGTTGTCTTCCTTCTCCTCACCGTAGCTCTATCCGTCCTACTCGTCACTACACCGTCTTTCTTTCTGAGGATTCGTCCGGAGACGAGCTCCAGTACGACGATGACTCCATCTCTGGGTTTCCTGACAGCTTTCTCTTCTCCGTCCCTTTTGAGTGGTCGCCTCTGTACGCATCTCTCTGATTGGCTTTGCACTATTGATTAATTAATAAGCTTTTCTCAACTTATCAGTTTTCTCTTGAAATGTGCATGTGCGTGTACATGTGCTTTAGCGCTTCACAGGGAGGACATTATGGTGTTTGGATAGGAAAGTGTTGGGATTAGGTTTTGGTTGGTGGTCTAATTTACAGAAGGCACTCATGGATCAGGTATAGCTTGAGAGGTGATAGTGTGTGTGTATGTGTGTATGTGTGTGTGATAGAGGTCTCTTTTTCAGGCAAAAAACCAACCCGACCCAGTCTGTCAATTTTGTTTGGTGGTGACATTACAATTATAGATATTATCGCATACCCAGTAAAAAACATTCAGGTAAGTTCACTGCGTTGAATTTCCATTGTATGGTAAATCGTGAATATCCTCAGGAGTGGCTGTGCAGCTCACTAACGTACAGTCCGATATTGATTTCCTGATTTATTTTGAATTGCCACAAGGGGGAGCTGTTCCAGTCATTCTAAAATCTTGCCTGTCAAAATGCCCACTGTATCCTCCACAAAAACAAGTTCAACTAGATACTATTATTCCTTAACTAAAGAACAATAGAGAGATGAGGTTCCTATCTGTGATGCAATAAAAATATGTAAGGTAAAGTGATACCATGTTTTAGTGCCATTTTAAGAGCTTTAATATCATGATTCAGCTATCCCTTCAACATCTGTAGTTGTGTTAGGCTTTTGCGAGCAGTGTTGCAAATCAGTAAGCAGGATTAGCCAAAAACATTTTCTGATCATGTTATATTAACTTCACAACTTTATATATATATAGCTATAACCCCATCGTGATATAAGGTATACGGGCACTAAAACACATTGGGTACTATACAATACTGCAGATAGTCTTTTTTCATATCAATGGAGAGTGTCTCTGTGGCAATTCTTTAAGCTGACTGTAGTGAAAACAATGAGCGGGCCGCTAAAGTACAATTGAAGTTGTAAAGGAAGTTTGCGAATTTGATCCAATAAATTCCCTAGGAGGAGTTCATTCAAACGCAATGCGAAGAATCACAGAAAATGACCAAATAATTCAAAATGGCCGACTTCAGTGCCACGCCACGGACACGCCCTTCAACGTACATGCACAAATAACACAACTTTTGATCAGCAATATTTTGAAGTTGATCCAATAAAGTCCCTAGGAGGAGTTCGTTCAAATACAAAGCGAAAAAAACGCTGAAAATGACCATAGAATTCACAATTGTCTCCATGGCAACGTGGTTCTTAAGATTCATGTCATCGTCATCATCCTAAGGGACTTCTGACAGAATTTCAGCTGGATCTGGTCAAACCACTGGAAGATATACATAGAAGTATAAAAATGACATTTCCTTTCACCACTAGGTGGCACTATAATTATTATTGAATATGATCACATAGGGCAGTATTATTATCAGACAAGTCAAGTTTGGAGCCGATTGGACAATGTACACTCGAGTTATAGCAACTTTGTGTGTTCTGGCGGTACATCAAAGTTTTATGCCACAGACACGCCCTTTAACAAAAACTCACCAGAATCATGAAATATCATCAACAACATGTTTTGCATTTCCTGAATACATTTCAGCTAGATCTGATCATCCTGCTAGGAGTAGAACATGGAGGTGAAAAAAATGACATTTCCTTTCACCACTAGGTGGCGCTCTCACTATTGCTGAATGTTATCACATAGACGTGTTCAGGGTGGGACTCTTATCAAACGTGAAGTTTCATTGAAATCAGATCATGTTCGCACAGCCAGGGCTCGGGCCCTAATAAGAATAATCCCACAGGATAAGGGTATGGTGTATGCAGTTAAACAACCAAAGAGCTAATAGAACAAGAAAACACTGAAGGGCTATATACGTATGATTGTTGACAACATTAAATAAATCCACAATACAGACAGAGAATTCTATCAAAATATCAGGAAAACTTATCTCTGATCAATATTCACAGGAAATAATCTGCTCAAAATTCATCCAAATCTGGTTTTACACAAACTTCCTGCAGTTATTGCGTTCACTGTTTGGGTTCATTGTACAGTTCATCAGTTGTTCTCGAATGTTATTTTTATTATTTAATATAATATGAAATATCCATAAAATATCTCACTTAGTCAGTTTACTTAATGGTAGAAAGAAGAAGGGGAATCACAGACCTAATCCCATGAAAAGACCAAAACCAACAATGCCAAAAAACGAGTGTGTGACACTCAAGCCAATTTGTTCCTACTAAAGATGTAAACAGGTCACAAATATATACTTTCAGTAGTACAAATCAAATATAGTTTCTTAAATAGGTGGGCACTGTGGTTTGTATCATTGTAGACTATTTTCATCCATCCAATTTTCATTTCAATGGATTTGTCCAAGAAAAATAGATACAATTGCCAGCTTTATCTTTTTAACTAACTGAATAAAGAGTGCAGGGATGACAACAGCATGTTAATCTTGGAAGAATAAAAATGTAGGTGCGTCTTTATTTGGTGTTAAAGTCAGTGATTTACGGGTTGGGTGCAGTGTTTTGACACATGAAAGACCTCTAATGTGTAAGAAGGATAAGTAACCATCAGTCAAACCCTGTCCCTGTAGGCCACAGCCGTACCGCTCCCTGAAGGAGGTTGAGTTGATAGAAGGGGATGATCCTGGTTTCGGGGCAGAGAGTCACACTGCCCCTCCCAGCCCAGTTACTGAGAAGTTCTCCAATATCAACCTGCTGGGAGACATCTTCGGCTGCCAGGACGAGCCTGATAGCCAACCCATGACCTTAGCTAAAAGTCTGGAGGACCTGAGGACCCCCAAAGACTCTGAGGAGCTACAAGCGAAGTTCAACTACCAGGTATGGGTCCAAATGTTGTACTGCCAAAAGACTGCCAAAAGGTTCAACAAAAAAAAGTTGCGGTGATTGGTAATTGGTTGAATTACCATTAATTATTGCAATCGCAATTTCCTGGAGCTGAATATGGTAACCAACTGGTGACTTTATTTGGCTGAAAGTCGAAGTTAGTCGGAGACCCAGGAGGCAGGAGGAGGGAGGTGCAGATGATTAATACAAATAGGTAATTCCACCGAGCTCTGTACCCCTGACAAAGTAATTTGCAAAAAGAACAAAAATGTCGGTAATATTGCATATTACACAGAACCTCCCTAAATTCTGGGGAAATTCTGTGCATTTTATCATGATGCATTAGCTATGTTGAGCAATATTAAAGTCACTATGTTGGGAAAACACATTGATTCAACCGTATCACTTGCATGAATTGGTCAGTTGTGTAAGCTATAAGCACATAGGTCCTTATTATTTCTTGTGCTTGCAGCGGATGGACCTGAGTGTTAGTGAACACTCGCGGACGCTTCCAGGCCTCAAGCTGTCCAACCCCTACAATAAGCTGTGGAGTATGGGGCAGGATGAAACAGCCTTGCCCGTTTGTGTGCCTCCTACCTGCGATAGACCTCCACCTGTCCAACTTCCTGTGCAGACGGACACCCAGTCTCCGAACCGCGAACTCTCTGGCCTGGGCCCCGACCCTTTGGACCCTTCCACCCCCGGCAACATCACCATTCCACGCCCCCACGGAAGGAAGACACCTGAGCTTGGCGGTGTCCTGGCACCCCCTGTGGCCCAATCACGCTCTAAACCAGGAGGAGCTAGTGAAGGAGGGACTACATCAGGGGGGCAAGAGTTTAGGCAAGCCCTGAGCATGAGCACAGACGAAGACCTGCTGAAGCCCACCAAGGCCACTGAGGACAACATAGATCTGATAAGCCTTCTAGACCCCCTTAACAGCTCAGCACCAACTAGTTCCACTTCACTGAGTGATGGGGTAGATCTTGGTGTGTCATCATCTTCCTGCAAACCAACACTACCACCCAGGTCTTACCCACAAGGGTTGCCTCCTTTCCCACTACATCCTCACATATCACTGAACCCTTTTGCCCAGTCTCTGCAGCACACCTCCCCTCAAATGCATTACTCACCGACTGTAAGTGGGAATCCCTTCAGCGCAGTCTATGGGCCTCCCCCAGGTTCTTACTTACACACTCCACCCCAGCCACAATCCTTTTCTACGTTACCGGGGCTCTACAGACAGCCTTCACCCAGCAGTTCAACTCTGCCACCCAGCTACGGACTGCTCCAGCCAGCCTTCCCCCCCTCCGTCACCTCCCTGCCTCACTCCTCCGCCAGTAATCACGCTCTTTCCAGCCTGGCAGACTCGACTTCTGTCCCTAGCTCAGCTGTGAACTTACTGGCAAAGCCACTTCGTGCTGAGGGAGACAGCCAGACGACTCAGGATCCTTTTGGGGATCTGCTGACTATGGCCAAGCCAGCTACACCCCAAAAAAAGAAGGTGGAGGACCTTCGGAGGAGGTGGGAAACATTTGATTAAAACCTGTGAATGTACTGAGGTGTCCCTCTGTCACTACCCACACTTCCCTCACTAACATATCCGGACCTTCTGTTGCAGTTAATGCCGCATTGCTCTAATACACTCTACTCTGCTTCTGCAACTAACATTCATAGAAGAAATGTATATAATATTTTCATTTGATCACAACCCCATGTTCTATTGTGTTGACAGTCAGAAATGTTTGAGCTACTGCCATTGGATGTATTTCCATTCCATTATTACCTCTCTATATAGTTGTTTTTATTGTTATTATGGAAGTCTGCCTGCTCAGTGCAGGATTAAAATTTTGTTCCCCGCACAAGAGGGATTAACAGGAAACTATGCATGCACCTACTGCACATTAAGCAAAAGACAACACAGGATCATCGACATATAAAGATGGATGACATGAGATGGACGACATGAGAGCTCTCCAAAATGAAGCCAAAACATCCCCAACCACTGATGTATGTTCAAGTGTTCCTTTTTTCTAATATGTTTGGTTTTAATCAGTTATTTCAAGCTATAATATCGCGGTGCCAACCCCAATCACTACTGCGCAGACTTGCAAAAGATGGCATCTAGATATTTGGGCTTCATTTCTGTAAAGAAGGAGGAAGTGCAGATGCAACGTCCATCTTTTATATGTCGATAGACTGGATCGTTGGCATAGTCTTACTGTGTCAGATGCCATTGTTGACAGACTACTTTAAACAAAGACACAATGAATGCTCTATGGTCACAGTTTGTTTGGCTGGGCTGTAAACCAATACACCAGTTGCATTTCTGACAGGGTAGCTGCTCAAGGTGTATTACTGCCCCCAGGGGTTAATTAAGGTGTAATTTGACTTCCCATAGAGTGCTGCAACAACAAGTTCCCTCTCCTCAAAGTCAATGGGTTTTTTGTATTGATTTTGGTTTGAAGCCTGAAATAAGGTCATTTAAGAGATTTTGAGATTTTCAAGTTTTGTTGTACAACAAAAAATCCATCAGTAAATACCCCAGCTGTGAATTTTGAAGCGGTCTTAAAAAGAAGTGGTTGAATGAGACTACTGAGGTTGTCGGTGACATTAAAACAAGGAGACTTATCTTCTCATTAGTCTGCCATTACAGCCTAGTTGTGTTTATACTCGCACTCTGTAAACTATACAACTGAAACTTTACATTTTAGCAACACGTTAGAAATGTTAGCTTTTTATTCTAGCAATCATATTTACCCTTCAAAAATCAAGTAGTGTTCATTTGTGAAGATTATCTTGCTGAACAAAATAACCTTATGACCTTATAAACCTTTGTTGCAACAGAGTTTATGTTCTGCAGTAATCCAAAATCCAATGAATAAAAATCCCATTGGCTTTTACTTTTGGAACCTGCACTACAAAAACACATCACCACTGCAGCACTCTATAACTACCAGTAGAAATGTAATCTAAACTTCAAATAAATAGCTTTTATTACCAAAACATAAACAAATCTTTACTCTGGTGAGATTATATATCATTTGCTGCGACAGAAGGTCCTGATCCAGTTGGTAGGAACACTCATACACCCTACAACACGTCCCCCACCCATCACCATCAGCTCTGCTGCCGACCACTGACAAACAGGAGCGTGTGTCCGGTGGACAAATGGAGCTTGTGTGGACTGCTGCCAGCACACCACTCTTGAACCACCCGTTCGCTGTCCAAGGATCGTCTGAATCTGGATATTTCGTTTCGTTTTCCCGCCACGCTCCCCCGGAAAACACACAGAAAGCAGGCCTTGCTTCAAGACGTTCAGATGCCAACAGCCCATCACTAACAATGTTTTGCACAGCAGTCCCTCATTCCCTCTGTCTTCAATGCCACCACGTTAGCGTGGTGCTCAGTGTAGATTTGTGACTTAAACAGCACGCAGTATTTCCTGAGAGGATATATGTCACACCCACAACAGCATATGTCTTAATGATGTCAACTTGTACGATTAGCTGGTATTATTAGCAGTAGCTAGTCTGCTGTAGTTGATTGACATCCTAATGGAATTATGGTAGCTACAAAGTGTGGTGAATCTCATTAGCTCACTGTTGATGTTTTGGTAGCTTCATGCACAGTGATTTTGTTTCTTTGGCCTTCATGGTGTGAATCCTATCTCTGGCCTCTCTCTGACCTGTGAAAATGTGTCGCCTCCTACTGTTTTTAAAAAAAAAGAAACTTTTTTAAGAAAATCTGCAAGCCTACAATAGACTGTAATGTCCCTAAAATGATTTTAAACATTTGTCGAATTAAATATACGGGGATACATGAAACATATTATTGTATATCTGTTGTTTTAAAGGCTCTTTTCGCCAGTTTTGCTGCTGATATATGCACTAATGATTTTCTTCTGTTGGTTTTTAGTGGAGTATTTCTTTGATGACAGTGATCCGCTGTTGAGTTCCAGGCTGCTTACACTTTGTGATGTCAAGTGTGCATAGAGAGCAGACATAATGGTTCTCACTTATTTTTGCCACCGGTTTCTATAGCAGCTGTTCTCCAACAACACAGATTGTGTGGGTGTCACCTGTACTGCTTCACAGATGATCTTGTGCGTTCATGCGTGGTGAAAGCCAACAGAGTCCTAATCGCTTTAATGTGTGTGTGTGTGTGTGTGTGTGTGTGTGTGTGTGTGTGTGTGTGTGTGTGTGTGTGTGTGTGTGTGTGTGTGTGTGTGTGTGTGTGTGTGTGTGTAAAGAGTAAGTAAAGATTACATTATATTTGCTCTAAGACTGATTAAAGAGTGGTGACTAGTATCCTCCTGCTCTTGGCTAACAATACAATTATTTCATGATAACATGTCAGCTTCAATTGATTAAAATTCCACAACTGATATGTGATACGGACATGTTCATTACAATGTTACCCCCCCCCCAGTGACCATCTGTCTGTTGGCCCAGATCCAGAAATCTTGTTCACTGCTTCGTATTCACATGCCATTTAATTTATGACCCCCACACATTGATTCCTGATTCATTTAACTTGTAAAGCCCCATCCTTTCCTCTAGTACCACTATCAGATATTTCCACTTGCTAAACAATTGACCCTTCCTATGTCCCGCCCCTTTTTGTTCTCTGCTCCAATAGCATTTTGGAAAGCCTCAGTCAGAACCGTGGTCATCTTCCTCCTGTCCTGTACTTAGATATGCTATGTGCTATGTTAAAGAGGCAATCACATTTTGAAGATGGTTAAAATATAAAAGTGACATATATAGTCATATCTTAAGTTTTCTAATGAAACATTTTGATACAGAGCAAAATGCTAGCTTACTACCAAGCTAATCTACATCAGTTGTTAGCTACGTAGTTACATCTGAAAGCTACGTTTAGCCAAGAAAAGGATCTTATTAGCTAGCTAATTTACATCAGTTGTTAGTTAACTTAAGATGTGACTATATGATGTTTTTATCTTTTAACCATCTTTACAATGTGGTTGTCTTTTCAACCTAGATTAGCTTAGCATGTAGCATATCTAAGTACAGGAAAGGGGGAAGTTGAGGAAGGGGCGGGACCTAGGCTTGGGGACTTTGGTCCATGACATTGTACATAAAAAGAAAGGTCTTTAGGGACCATGACTTTGGGGTTCTCAGAGGATGAAAGAGTGTTTTGTGACTCTGACCGTTTCTTTAGCACCACCGTCACACCAAAATGTCCACTTGTACAGAAGAAATATTAAAATCAATAACAAAATCTACAACAGTGTGTTCCAGTTTGTCTGGGTTTCTTAGATAAATGCAGTTTGTTCTAACTTCCACTTGTTAGCTTGGAGACATTGTCAAGTGAAGCCAACCCTGTACAGGTATGATTGCTGAGGAGGGGACTGGTGTTTGACTGTTGGTGGTCTGACCGTGCGCTGTGTAGAGCAGTGGTTCTCAACCTGGGTTGGGTGTATATTAATCCTGATAGAATAAAACTATGTTTTACATCTGTCCATTATTTACTGGCCCCTAATTTTGAATTAATTTGTCCATAAAAAGCCTTGAAATGTGTCATCATATGTGTGACAGGGCTTTCCTCTAGCATAATGCATGCTGGGATAGGCTCTGAGCAGCATTAGTGGTTTACATAATGGATGGATAATCAGACATTGTATGACATTTCAGAAGCCATTTCACTTTATTGCATGTTTATAATACATTATGAATAAAATATCTTTGATTTTGTACATCACTAAAGGAAACATTGACACACTATGCAGCCAACACCTAAATTCTTACTAAAAGATTACATCTTTCTTTAAAAAAAAAAACTAATACTGTACATCACATTTTTCCCCTTATAGTGTGTGTCATATTTTTCCTTCTCACATTTACACTTTAGGGTCTTTTTATTCCTTTTATTGTTTGTTTTGTTGCAATATTTCAACTTTACATCCTAAACACACTGTACACACTGAGAGCGTCATACGTACGGAAGCTGTTTGTATTCATGTCCCAGTCTTGGATTTCCCAGGGTTTAATGTATTCACCACCGACTGTTAACAAGGGGGAAGTTGCTACTGACAAGGTCGAGACGCTCCCTTTGAGCATGTGAGGCGCCAACAGGAAAACCCCAAATCCAACATAAGCAGAAGAAACATAAGTCTACAAACTGTACAGGCAAAAGTCGACCTGTGGAATGAACAGACTGCAGTCCTATCAAGAACAATTAGACTGTCATCAACTAAACAAGCTTAAATGGATTTAAACTGAAAAAAAGAACTGTCTTTTAAAAAATATCTGTTAGATGTTGTGTGTTTTTTATGGATTTTTCCCATTTTGCTCACCAGTTTGTTCTGGTGAGTCCCCAGTACAGCCGTCCTCACCTTTCTCTGAAGCTCCACTGCCATCCGACAGTTGGTGATTTCAAAACAGAAATTCTTTTCAAGCACACACAGAAGTTTTCAGGTAACACATATTCACCATTAACTAGCTGCTTATTAGCATGCATATTAGTAGCATAAGGCCTTCTTTTAGTCTCTCCAGAAAGTTGCAATCGCAACAATAAACGCAGATTCAACTGAACCCTGTGAATTCTGCGTGACGTTACAATTTTCACTGAAACCTTTACGCAAGTTTAACAGTTCCCCAAAGTCAGCTAAAGGTTGAGTCACTACTAGCAATCTTATTCTCACCCACAGCCAGTTGTGTTTGACTTTAAATGAATTAGACAAAAAAGTTTCAACTATTTTAGCAATTTTCACTTTTCATTGCAAAAAAAATGGCTATGGTTGCAGTTAAATCCGGCTTTTAAGGCTGCAATAATCCCAAAGGATGGAGGGACTGTATTTGGCATGGCCATATTCTATAACTACAAGGCCATTAACATTATAAGGTGGTGGTACCACAAGAATACTCATCCTTCCTTAAAGCTGCAGAAGGCAGCTATTATAAAAATAACTTTTTTTCATTCAGGTCCAATGGATTCTTGCACATGTCATTAGGAGCACTAGGAGGAGCTAGAGGACATATTGTGAGAAAGACTTTATCTAGAGTTATATGAACACTATTAACTACTTAGTAGTTTTACAAACACGTAATAATTTCCATACTGAGCAGAACTTATTAAGTTTATGTCAATTTTTTTTTAAAAACTCTTAATAATGGCCTAATAGTTGTAGAATATGCTCATGCAGAATAAGGCATTAATAGGTTTTTTATAATAACTAATAAAAAGCCAATATGCTACTAATATGCATGTTAATAAGAAACTAGTTAATAGTGAATATGTGTACCTTAATATGAAGTGTTAGCAATTTTTTTCAGAGTGCACCAAAGTGGGTGAGAAGTGCAGTAGGGAGTATGGATTACAGTGCAACTTTGGGGGTAAAGGATTATGGGAATCTATGTTTTTGGGGGCAATCCCAGCCATGTTCTGTATCTCTATTCAGAAGCTTACTGAGACAATTTAAAGGGAAATTCTGGTGTTTGTTTCTGTGTCTCTGCACAGAAGCACTGGTTGCCCTCCCTGGGGGTATAACAGAGTACATACACCATGCACAGAGGGCAGTAGGTGGAGGACATGTCCTTGTGCTGTCCGGTAAGTTTTTGTGAGAGACAAATTGTTCTGTCATTGACCCTGGTTACACCTGGTAATGTGATTCAGTCAATCCAAAGTGGACACTTCAAGTACGTCAGTTTTTACCTGACATTAAAATGCGTCTCCGCATTCATCTCGAGTGACCACTTCAGATCGAATCTCACCTCCCTGCTCTATATGCAAATAAACACTAGCATCATTTCTGTTTTCAAAGACTAAATTAGTTGTCAAGTATCCTGCAAATTAAAATGAGTTTGCTCTTTTATACTGATGCTTTTCCCCAAATGGAAATCAGACAGCACGTTTCATGAGTACTTCAACCACGAGAATCCATTTTGTCTGTTGTTGTGGCTTCTTCTTCTTCTTTGTATGTACTTCAGCTTACGCAGAAGATTTCAGTTGAGGAGGCGGTCCTTCAGTGTGGTACAGGACACAGTGCTAAAAGAATGCAGCCCAGACCACCTCTGAATGTGGTCTGAGCAATCAGATCTCAATGAATCCTCAATGTATCATGGGTGCATTTACACCTGTAGTTAGAGCTGTCCACTTGTGATCAGATCACCCAGGACACACATTAATACCGTAGACTGTATCATTAGAAATGTCTGTAGTCTCTGTGACGTCCCCCATAGGTCTCTGAAGAGCAGTTGTGAAGCTCAGTGTGGTCGGCTCTGGCCGTCGCCATCTTGGCAGTCCTGACTCTGCCGGCTCCCGGCTAATCCAAAAATGGGCAAAGAGGTGGAGCTGAGGCGGGCTGAATAAAGCCCGGACCTTAATATTTTACTTTAAGCCTTGATATAATTCAAACAGGTTAGTTATAACAGTACAGTTATCATGAATGGGGAAATTGTCTATAGAGGCCAAAAGTGTTTTCTGTACCAGGCTGTAAACAGGTTTATTTTAGCTGTAAAGGGCATTTTAATATGGGGCCTTATGGAGCCAGCCTCAAGTGGTTTTTGAGAAACTGCAGATTTTGACACTTCGGTATTCACTTGCAGCCACAGAAGTTACTGCTGGGTTTCCACTCAGATGTGGATGTTTGTGTGTGCAAATTAAACCTGTGCATGAAAATGCACTTTATTAAAAAACACACTCTTAATTATTCCTATATTTAAGCTGTAATGTATTTTAAGTGGAATTATCAAAATCTCCAGCACAGATCAACATTACAAGTAAATAGAAAAATAAATTGTGCTGGTTTTCCAGTCACTCTAACACAGGCATAGTTTTCTTGGAGCCAGCATCTAGTGGCCTTTGCTCAACTGTGCTGGGTGCTGTTTGGGTCCCTGACATCTAATGATGCTTTCCTACAAATGCAACCCAGTTTCCAGCAGCACCACAGGCACACTCTAATCCTCTGACTATGGAAACACCAGCAGCCAGTTTTTGTGTGCTTGTATCACTTGGCTGTGCAGAGGTTCTCAAAATAAAGCCCTTAAATTGTCCTCTGTGCACTATTTAGGACTATAGAAACAGGTTAAGGCCCTGCCTTAGACAAACTACAGTGTATAGAGCAATGGATTGTACTTCCTTGTTTCCCCAACCTGTAAGTCAGTTTCTGAGGGGCAGATGTCCTTTATCAAAAACTCAGCATCACATGATTAACACATTGCAGTAGCTGGTCTCCACCAGGAGGGGGCTGTATGCTACAACACACATCCTTCAGTTCAGCCTAGGTATTTAGAGTATCTAAAAGTTTCACAGTGAGTCGTGTGCATCTGCCTGCAGTGCTCAGATCCCCTCAAACACCTGCTGTGTCTCAGATGAGTCTCTCCTCCGGCGGGACTTTGAGCATGCTGTCCATCTCCAGCCGAGCCCCGGCTAGCTCCTGTGAGCTGGGGCTGTACGCGCCCTCCGACTGACGCTTCTTCCTCGCCGTGAGCACCACGAAGGTCAAGCCAATGATCATTATCAGCAGGCAAAAGCAGAGCAGCGGGATGGCCACCACCAGCCAGGGGACTCCCTGTTTATGTGCTTGTTTCTGCAGAGACACAGAGGGCAGAGGTTGGACAAAAATGTCACAAAGGCTTTGTATAGTCTGTTGTAAAATGTCATGCTTCAGCTATCTGAGAATTTAGTTTATTGCATTTTAATTATATGTTGCTAAGCAACAATGCACAACAATCTCCTTATTTCATGACAATGTCAACAGTCCAAATCACATGAAATCTGATCTTTTCAATTCAGATATGGGCCACTTTCATATGTGGTCCAAATCAGATTCAGGTCTGATTCTTTGCAATGTGACCTCAGTCATATCAGGATTCATGTAACTTTTACAGCACTCTAGATCTTAATTTGTCATGTGACTCACTTCAGGACTGTGATCTGTTAACACTGGATCTAATCTAATGAGCCACATTCCAAAAATAATGTGCAGAGCCAAACAAACAAAAATCTGATCCAAGCAATAAATTAGAATTAAGCAATAAGGCTTGCAGTGTGAACACAAGCTTATACTGAAGGAGAAAAATTTAACAAACATACGTTAGTGTCACAGATAGGACCGCTGTAACCAGTCGGGCATTCGCACACGAACATGTTGAAGCGATCCAAACAGGAGCCACCGTTTCGGCATGGGTTAGACTCACACTCATTGATCTCCATTTCACACCTGCAAGACAGGAAATGCATTAAGTCAGATTTGGAAAGGACAGAAACATACAGACAGAGAAATCTCAAAAAGTCTTTATGACTTTATTAATATTTTAAACAGCTCACAATAGTTTCATTTGTCCAGGCTTGGAGATATCTGCATCAGAGAGTTCTGCTTCCACCGCAATACAGTAGAGGGGAATGGAATAGGGTTTGTGCTGCTCAAAGCTCTGAAAAAATGTGTGTCCCTGTTACTCCACAAGGAAACGGACACCACACAGATATCTCAAAACCTGGACAAATACAACAAGTTATGCATAGAATTTATATTCCTGGAGGGACTTAAACAAAGTACAAACGTCAGCAGGAGGAGTGTCTATTACACCACCAAACAAAACACAAAACCAAAGTTGTAATTTCAGTGAACTGACCATTTAATTACTTTGCCTCTCTATTCTAATACACAAGGTGTGTGAATTAAACACCAGTGTGTAAAATTTAACTAACAGAACAACACTTGGCTTCCTAGCATGTAGAAGAAACCAGGTTGCCACAAAAAATGGTAAAAGGCTGTATCTAGAGCTCTTGACATGGATGTCTTAAGGAGAACTGAATACAGCGTTGGAGGGGGGCTCTGTTTATTCCTATGGAAGTTGCTCAGTGGCACATGTGCCAAAAAAAGTTCAACCCAATCTACCCGATCTTCCACATACGGTATGTTTTCACAAGCACACTAGAGACTTCTGCTGACCAAGCTACTAACTTCCAGCTTAGCTTTCCACTAACTTGAATGGAAATAAAATTATTTAATAAAGCGCCTCTTCTTGACTTTCCAAATGTTATCGATCCGAACTGATCAAATTCTGATTGGTGATGCTTCGGGTTGTTATCTATCGTCTTACAGAAAAGTGTCTTTGGGCCAGTGTGCATCACATCAAAGATGCCCTTTCCTTCATTACATGGTTTGGCCACTATGTCAAATTGTCTTCAAGGCCCAGTGCTCTTCCTGGGGGCTTGTGGCGACCTCGATAGAAGAGTACCCACTCCCTCTGTAGATAAAAACACCAGACCTTTAAGACTGAAAGAGTCAAATCTATCGTAAAAGTGAGCTCACCTGCTGCCTGTAAAACCTGGCATGCATGTGCAGTTAGCTCCCCACAGCCCATCATTGCAGATACCTTCATTTGCACACTGGACATCTTCGCCACACTGTATTGGAGGATAGTCCCATCTGGTGGAAAAGGTGTTAAACACTGATTTAATGAATGATGAATGAAATGCCAGAATGTTGTGTTGCTTTGTGCAGACACTGTATGCTAAAGCCACAGAAAGTGAGTACTCACTGGCAGAGGGGGCCTCTATAGTCCTTGGAGCATATGCAGGTGTACATGTTGGGTCCATCCTGGCAGGTGCCTCCATGTTCACAAACGTGATGCTCACACTCGTCGAGATCCTCATCACAGAGCTCACCAGCATATCCAGAGTGGCAACGGCACTCAAAACCAGCTAAGTAGTCCTTACAGCTTCCGTGGACGCAGGGCTGAGACGCGCAGTCATCAGTGTCTGTTTCACACTGCTCTCCCTCCCAACCCGAGTCACAGACACAGCCGAATTTATTAAAGAGGTCTTCACAGGTGGCTCCATTTAGACAAGGATCTGAATCACAAACAGGGGCACTGGAACAACCCAAACGAATCTTTGCTTTGCCATCCAAATGGAACTGCGATGGCTGTGGGGCTTTATTGTCATCCACAAAAGGAAGGTAGACTCCTCCGACTCTCAGTGCACCCAAGCAACCAGTAAAGCTCTCTGCAATAGCCAGCGTGGCGCCCTTCTCATTAAGAAAATTAAGGCTTCCTGTGCGCTCTGGCACGCTGCTGGCGTCTGTGATTCCATCCACGGTGATGACCCAGGGAGAGGCTTTGCGTTCCTTCTCAACCATTGAAATGTTCACACGGTGCCAGCTCCCATCAGCCACTCGACGAACTCCTGTAAAGGTCAGCGTCTCAACACTGTTGCCAATGTGAATCTCCACCCGGACTGAAGAGTCCAGAAGGCCAACCATCAGTAGATCAGAACCCCAGGAGGCTCTGAGGAGCATGGCGTTCTCTGAACGAGTCCGCAGCTCCATGTATATGTCAGAGACCGGTTCAGCCAGGGAGCCTCCAGCACTGTAGTGCACAGGGTTGTTCTCAAACGTGGCATTGTACACACCTATGGGTCAACACGAAGAGATTAATTTACATTGGTTTGCTGCAGAACTACCAATATTATATTATTTGCATGCTGTTTGTATAGTAACACCATCTTCAAACAATTAGATCAAAGTATTTCCAAGGGCGCTAGTATTGCCAAAAGAATATGACACATTTCTGACTAGCCACTAATAAAAGCATCCAGATGTTCTTACATTCATATCCATCAGGAAGGTCCACACAATGACCGCCATTGACACAAGGATCACTAACGCACCACACACGTGTTTCACAGGTCTTTCCAGTGTATTCCTCCGGACAAGAACATGTAAAATCGTTGAATGTGATGGTGCATTCTCCTCCATTTTGACAAGGCGTCATCTGTAGAGGGAAACATTGAGATTTTATATAATCCAGACTCAAATAACTCAGCCAACATTCTTCAGAGTTTTAAAACTGTAACTATTGTATTGTAGGACAGGTGTCAAAAACTCAAGGGCCAATTCTGTGTCCCATTTCTGTGCCTTCAGCATTGGGCAAAGAGTTCACCTTCATATAACTGTTGGGAACAAAGGAACTACTTCCTACCTTGCAGGTATCATCACTGACGCAGCCCTCCTTTACATTTTCAGCATCACCTGGCAAATACACTTCCTCCTCATCTGAGCGGTTCCAGGAATCCACATCTAGATGCACCAAGTCTAAACGCAGGTCCTGCAGGCAACCTTTGTAATGCCCCCCCCACACATCAGAGTCCAAGTACCCTGGAAGTCCTCCTACAAAGGCCTGGTCCCCGCTGTTAACAGTAACCTCAGGGATCTCTCCTATCCCATAACGAAGGCCTGCGTGCTCAAAGATCACCTGCCTTTGTTGGACCTCCACCTGCAGGAGCTGCTTCTCGCCAGTGGTCACAAATATTGGAGCTGTCAGCGGGGAGCTGTTAGGCAGAGAGCTGACAAAAACCCTCCCCATCCCCAGGTAGACTGAGAAGTAGACCTCGCCCCCCTCTTCGTCTGTGGGCCTCCTCAGCTGGAACAGCAGCCCGTCTGGCTTTAAAGACCTCAGGAAGAAGGACACGTTGAAGTTGCTCCCGTGGTTCTTACCTACATCGTAGGCACTGAAACTCACTGTGTCCTCATGGCTATATGTCCACGAGGGGAATTCTGTCAGGGAGGATTGGAAGTTTGGATTAGAAAATTTTCTGCAGGTGGCAATCAAATGGGAAATAAATGTTCTTATTGTCTGTGTAATGTGCACTTAATTATTCATTATTTTTGAAGTAGTAAACAGAGGTAAGTCAGTACTATCACTCACAAAGAGCCAAATGTCAAAGTAGAACAATAGACCTTTTTTACAGCAGCTATTTTGACATGACATAGTAGGTTAAACACAGGTGTTACCCAATGATACTAATAACAAACAGTCAGGATGCTGCTATTGTGCATGTTGGCTAGCATGGCTCTGCTACACTGAATGGAACATAGCCTTAATTAGTAGAAGAAGTAGAAGAACTACTGTTTATCTTACAAGTACATTGGTTAATATATTTGTGCAGTGGTGGAATGTAACTAAGTACTGTAAGTACAGTTTTAAGGTACTTGTACTTTGCTTATATGTTTCAAAGGGAAAACACAACACAACATTTATCTGATGGCTGTAGTGTCTTTTCAGAGGAAATGATTTGCACACCCACACAAGTGTTTTCCTCTGACTGATTAGACCTATAGTCCGGGTGGGGCTATGTTCAACACGTTAGGTCTATTTATTAGGCCTTATTCTAAGCCTACTTTAGTGTATCAGTAATAACAAATCAATAGTTTATAAAATATCTAATAATGACAAGGTCCACTATGTAAAATATACTTTAAAGGTTATATATATGAACTTTAAAACTTTAATATAGCAGCTAACAGCTATTCTCTATGTAAAAATATAGTGGAGCCATGGTGTCGCACTCCCCCTGTGGTTTGTTTACATAGCCGGTCTGCTCCGTGTGCAGCTGAGTAGAGCAACTGAAACGTTTTTATCATCTACATTGGAGATTATTTGTCTCCAAGGATTAATGTTAGCTTCAACCAAACCAGAGTTGGTGACTGTTGGAAAGACAAACCATCCAGTGGCAAGTGAATTTTGCATATATAACCTTAAAGTTATATATGTAAATTACACAGATGATGACTGTTTTGACAAGATTTGTCATCAGGTTTATTAAAACTTGCTGGAAGTGCTTACCTTCAGAGCAGCTCTCATGATGGAAGGGACGGTAGCAGTCACACTGATAGCTGATCCACTGGTCCACACAGCGTCCATGTCCGTTGCAGGGGTCAGGCGTACACCATTCAGTCTTACTGCATCCCAGCTCATGGCCTTGGTCCTCTGGAAGTGTTTGGGGTAGGATAGGCTTAGAGTCGATCATCAGGTCTTCCATACATCCAATGAAGTCTGCTCCACTAACAGAGTACTCTAAAAGCTCCTCCGGTGCTCCACCTACATAAATATCAGTAAAGGCTTCGGAGGGCTGGAAAGGTGGTTCGTCAGCACCACCATCTATAACTTTGCATCCGTCCTTGTCACAGCCAGGTCCTTTCACAATCAAAACCAGACCTTCATTATCTACAAACACATGAGCATCTCGCCAGTGTCCGTCACTAACCAAACCAGAAAATGTCACATCCATTTCAGACTCCTCAGAAAAGACTTTTGCATGAAGACCACCATTGACGAGCTCCAGGAGGAGGTGATTGTCCACATCCCCTCTGTAGAAGAGCAACATATTGGGTAAAGTTGTCCGGAACCGTAGCTGTACCCCAAACCCACGATGAACACGGTGCTCAACCTCCCTACGGATCCTTTCTTCGAGAACAACCTGGATGTGAACGAATCCAGGAGTGGAGAAGGAGAACGTTGTTCTTGTGGAACACTGCTCATCGTAGAAGCCGTGAGGGCACAAGCACGTGTGACCGTGTTCTCCACCCTCTAGCCATGGGTGGCAGGTGGCTCCATTCTGGCACTCGTGGTCCACACAGCCGTAGAGTTTCACATCACAGTGGTCACCCCCCCAAGGAAGGTCACCTGGTTCTGCCTCAGGACAGTGGCAGGTGTAGGACGCCCTGCCGTCTTCACACCAGCCACCATTCTGACAGGGCTGGCTCTCACATTCATCAATGTTCACCTCGCACAGCTCACCTGGAAAGAGACAACATGGTTAATAAACTGGTGTATACTAAAGGTTTCCAGAGCTGGACTGGAAAAGAAAGGGAAGAATGGTGTTGCTGTTTGTTTTTTTCTCTATTTTTCTTGCTGTCAACAAATCACATGAAAAGACCAAAACTCATGTGTTAATCCATCTCTCACTACTTTCTGACTACCCTACTCTCAAACTCTAGCCTCAAAATATATGGTTCAAAGATGATCACCGTAGTGTATACGCTCAAACAGCAGGAAATCATACACTTGTTAGGAGCAATTTTCAGCAGTGGATTAATACACTCATTGTCTAGAGAATATATATTTCTTTTTTGTGTACTTTAAAGGTCCAGTATGTTGGATTTAGTGACATCTAGCAGTTTAGTTGCAGATTGCCACTGACTGAATAGACTTTTTTCACAGCAGCCATTTTAACATGAAATACCTGGGTAAACGCAGGTGTTACCAATGATACTAATTAAGGGTCCATTCCATTTTGTGTAGCACAGGCTTTCAAGGGACATGCACAATAGCATCACCATGGCTGCGTTTCATTAGTTGTTCAACATGCCCTCGTTCACTTGCCCTCGGCACTTGCCCTCGGGGGAATCCCCGCCGCCATCATAAGTGTCGTTCCAATTGTCTGGAAAACTGAAGTGAACTTGGTGAGATGGACCCTCGGAGGGCTGAGGGAGCGAGTGAACAACGATAGTCACTCCGAGGTGGATATCACCCACAATGCATTGCAGTTTATGTCATTGCCGCTATAACGCCGACGGCTGCCAATGAGTTGACTCCAAGGGCAAGTGCGTTTCATTTAAATCCCCCGCCCACTTTCCCTCTGCGCTCCAAGTGGCCTCCGTGCGACGTATGCTGTTACGTCATACCAAGGGCTGAGGGGAAGTGGAACTACTAATGAAACACAGCCCCTGACTCTGTTTGACCTGAACAGAATGGAACCTTACTTTGTCCATTTGTTAAAGGTGCAAGACTCACCTAGAAATCCAACAGAGCATGTACAGGTGTAGCCATTGATCTTATCCTCACAAGTGCCTCCATTCTGGCAGGGTTCAGACTCACACTCATTAATGTTGACGGAACAGTTCTCTCCTGTAATGTGAAATAAATTCAATAATTGTTAGAAGATCTAAAAAGGTGTGAGAACTGAGATTTTTGCTGACTGGTTTCTTTAGTCTTACTGACCCGCAAACCCGGGCTGACACTGGCAGATATAGCCAGCTGCGTCTGCATAGCTGAGCTCCCAGTCCAGATCCCAGTGAGATGGATCTGAACGCTCAAAACACTCCCCGTCGTTCTCGCAGGGCTCCTCGGCACACTCATCTATATCAACCTCACAGTTTGCTCCCTCGTAGCCTGGAAAAAACAAGAGACACGTTCCACACATGTTGGATTGAATGTTTTGGTGTTGAGTGAATGAATGCAGATGGAACTCTACACTGTTATGTGTATTAGTTGTAAGTCAGTTGATTTCTCCTCTGTTAGCAGCTTGTGTCTCACTGGAAATTACACATGCTGTGTGAGTATCTAATTTACGCTTCCTAAATGCCACCCCTTTTAGCTCTGTGCTGCAATAATAGTTTAGCAAGCCTGGGTCAACTTCTTCCTTTCTTGTACTTAGATATGCTATGTGCTAGGCTAATCTATGTTGAAAATACTACATTTTGAAGATTTTTTAAAGTCTTGTACACAGTGCCTTTCTAGTCTTCTGAAGCGCTACACCACATTAACCCATTCAACTCTCAACTAACTCATTATTACTGTTTCACACACATTCAATTTGGTGTTCAATATCTTGCTCAAGGATACTTCGACATGCAGGAGGGATTGAAAAGCCAACCTTCCGACTAGCAAACGACCCGCTCGACCTGTGAGCCACAGGCGCCCCCGTTAGCTGACTAGCTAGCTAGTGTTTTGCTACAGCATTGTTAATTACAGTAAAAAATGTTTTGAGCTGATCAGGGAGGGAAAATATCACAAGCTAATAATTATTACTATTGCTAATTACGCTAGTTAGGTAGTGTTTTGTTAACATTAGCTAAGCTAAGATGTATATGTTACTTTTATTTATATCTTTTTACCATCTTCTTTGGTAACATAGATAAGTCTAGCACATAGCATATCGTAGTACAGGAAAAGAGGGAGTTGACTGAGGTTCCAAAAGGAGCGGGACTTAGGAAAGGTCAGTTGGTTGTGTAAAAACCTACAGCTAAAAGTGCTCCAGGCTGAGAGGGACATTGGCTCAGCTCACAACCTTTGCATGGCTTTGTGTTTTTACAGAAATGTTCAGTGTGTAGCATGTAGTTCAGTACCTGGCCAGCAGAGGCAGGTGTATCCTCTGACTCCCTCTAAACACGTGGCACCATGCTGACAGGGATCAGAAGCACACTCAGGGATGTCCACTTCACAGTGGTCACCCTCAAATCCTGTATCACTGCAGTCACATTCATAGCTGCAAAAGACACAAATGAGATTGTATACAGCAAGATATCACAATTCCAACAGTGAGCAACTGAACAGCAACCAACACAAGGTTTATTCAAAGCACTGGGGACTGACATGCCCACAGCTTAGAATTTTGCATGGCTGAAGACCAGGGTTGGGAGGGTTCCTTTACAAAAAAATTACTAATTACCTATTATAAAATTTAGTCAGTAACCTAATTACGTATCACAATATTAAAGCAACTTGATTACTTTCTGTTACTTTTGTATTACCTCAACACTAAATATTTAAATAAAGACAAGAGAAAGGACATTTCAATAAGAACTAAATATTTACATCAAAATGTGTCCTCTGCTCAGTGTATTTTTAAAAGAAAAACTCAGCCAGAGGGGTCTAAAAGTCAAATGTCTTGGGGCCAATGCTGGCATTGTCATCTCATAGGAGGGTCACTTCAATGATCAAGTGCTACAAGAAAGTGTAATATTCTGAAAATATTTTATATTATCATTTTGTATCATCTTTGTTTTCACAGCCAAACAACAAATGAAGGCCTGAGACCTGATCAATCGTTTGCACACATTTGCAGGGACCTTTGACCTTTGGCATTATTTTACGCCAAATTAAATAAATTGTTAAAAATATAATTGTGTTTTTATTTTAATTAAATATGAAGGGGGTTATTTAAATTGATATGAAATAACTGTAATTATGTTATATTTTTGGCATCATCAAAATAAATAACAAAATAACGGTGAAATTTCCACCCAGTGAAAGCATTTTCACTAGAGACCATGATAACGAATTGGCAGCTGTAAGATTAGCTATGGTTTCACTGAGACCAGAGTGCTGTTGTGAAACTCTGGGTGTTGTAATGTGTGCGCACTGCACTGCATAAATGTATTATAAAATTGTAGTCCCGGTAATAATAAAATTTTTTTACTAACAGCAATCTGCTTACGTCATTATTTCAGTAATGGATTACAGCTACCTTTATCTTGATTATGTAACTCTGTTACACGTAATCCTTCACTCCCCAAGCCTGTCAAAAATGAAGTACCAATAATGAATGCTGACTCCAAAAAGCTTTCCAGTCATTCCCAATGTATGCAATTCCAACACTGTTAATGGACCCCATGGAGGGGATTGCTCGAGGATTGCCCCATACCTGTTAACCATGTCATGACAAACGGCTCCATTCTGACAGGGCTCACTGGCGCACTCATCAACGTCGACCTCGCAGTCGATGCCATCGAACCCGGGCAAACACTCACAGGAGTACATGGCGATCAGATCGTGGCAGGTGGCTCGGTTGCGGCAGGGGCCAGACTCACACTCATCTATTTCAATTTCACAGTTGACTCCTGGTGGAGGAGGGCAGTTAGACTGGGTGAGACATATAGAAGCAGTGATGGTGATAGTCATAATGAAATAAATCTTATCTTGTTGTAGTCAAATGAGCAGATTTATTGTAATTAAGCACACCAACCACACTGAACCACCCACACATCTATCTCAGCGTCTATTCTGGTCTGCAGATACCTGCCATGATAAAAGCCTTTCTCTAAACAAACTGATAGAGCGACAGGAGAATGCAGCAGTGCTGATCTGACCCCATCACTCTCAGATAACACCAAGCTCCTCTGACACAGAGCAGACTCATGGGGAAAGAAAGGCACACAAGAAAAGAAAGATGGGAGTGTTTTCTGTCACCCTGCACAGAGACTTTATCTGAGGTTGCAGATAAGACGCCTGACTGAAAAACATCTTACTATGCACTTAAAATACTCCTCGTGCCCAGTTTATCAGGAACAAACAAAACACTTGGGAATCAACAAATGACAGCAAGGAACAAGTAGTAGAAGAACCTCTAGAGGAACAAATAAATGTTGTCAGGGAGCAGAGAGTCCTCATCTGGCTGCTGATGTGTTCTTTAAGGAGATGATTAATGATGCCAACACACATGCAGGAGGCTGAAGCAATATTAGGTAATTACTGTATTTTCTCTTGATTTATTAGCACCAGCTAATAAACACTGTAGATTGTGTTTTTCAGGTTTCATTATACTGTACAGCTTACATGTTTGGAACATTCTAAAAAAAAAAATCTAATCCTTTCTAGTCTTCTGACCACTCAAAGCACTTTTACACTATGTGCCACATTCACTCAGTGATGGCAAAGCCCATCGAACAGAGACTAGTGCATTCATTCATATTCACACACCAATGCACAGCATCAGGAGCAATTTGGGGTTCAGTATCTTGCTCAAGGATACTGCGACATGAGCCAGGGATCGAACCAACAACCTTCTGATTAGTGGAAGACCCGCTCTTCCTCTGAGCCACAGCTGCCCGTACTTTTTTTTTTTAAATTACCGTATTTAGGAATATGCACCATGTAAGCATAACATCAACTGTAAATAATAATGTATTATCCAACTGACCCTTCCTAAGTCCTGCCCCATTTTGCTCTGTGCTCCAAAGGTTGATTGGTTATTGGAGCAGAGAGAAAAAAAGGGGTGGGATTTAGTAAGGGTCAACTGGGGGTAAAAGCTGTCTGTCTGTGTGTGTTAGGGTTAGGCAAGTAGTGGTTATGGTTTAGGGATAGGGTCTCCAGGAAATGAATGCAAGTCTTTTTAATTTTCCCAAAAGTGACATGAATGAGTGACTGTAGTTGTGTATGTGACTTCTGGATGTACCTCCAAAGCCCTCCAGACACTCGCACTCGTAGTGGTCCTTTTCATTGATGCAAGTGGCGTTGTTCTCGCAGGGTCGTGAAGCACACTCGTTGATGTCGATCTCACAGTTGTATCCCTGGAAACCAGGCACACAGAAGCAATGGAACTCTGCCACTCCATCTATACAGATAGCTCCATTCTGACAAGGCTCAGACAAACATTCATTCACGTCTTCCTCGCAGGTCTTCCCCTCAAACCCTTGTGCACAGAGACACTCAAAGCCCTCCAGTTGTAAAACACAAGTCCCACCGTTCCTGCAGGGGTCATCGATGCAGTCGGTCACATGCGTCCTGCAGTCCCCTCCTCCATACCCTGGAGGACACCTGCAGAAGTATCCATTCAGCTGGTCCACGCAGAGAGAGCGGGGTTCGGAGCACGGGTTGCTCTGACACTCGTCGACCTCCTCCGTGCAGTTGTCACCTGTCAGTCCGTCAGGGCAGATGCAGTGGTATTCTGTGGTTCCAGGGGTGCTGGTGCAGTTCTCACACGGAGCAAAGGAGCAGGCGTCGTAGAGTTCATCACAGTTTTTGCCCATGTATCGGACCCCGTCTCTGGCACAGATACAGGCGTAATCATCCATGGTGTCCACACAGGAAGCTTCATTCTGGCAGGGCGCAGACAAACATTTATCTGATGTAGCTGTGCAGAGGATTCCTGAAAAACAAAGGAAATGTTGCTGAGAAATAATTAATGAACCATAAGATTATGAGCACTGACAAGTGAAGTGAATAACACTGATTATCTGGTTATCATGGCAGTGGGTGGGATATATCAGGCAGCAAGGATTTGAGCGAGTTTGACAAGGGCCATCTTGTGATGCCTAGACGACTGGGCCAGAGCACCTCCAAAACTGCAGCTCTTGTGGGGTGTTCCCGGTCTGCAGTGGTCAGTACCTATCAAAAGTGGTCTAAATAGGGACATTTGTGTTTTTTGCGAATTTCGTGGCCACCGTAGTTTCTTCAACACACTTTACAGACCATTCTCATAAAGATATAGAAATCCCAGGTCGTCAAATACAGACGTGAGCTGTTTTCGGTTGGTTGTAATCTCCAACTTCACCGCTAGATGCCACTAAATCCTACACCGGTCCTTTAAGGCCGTAACCTGTGATATGAAGGGTCACAAGTTGATTTCAAGTAGTAGATTTCAAAGGATGAGTGTGTAGGATTTAGTGGCATCTAGTGGTTGGTGTTGGAGATTGAAACTAACTGAATCTCACTCACCTTCTAACCTTATCTACAATGAGTGTTTGGTTTGTGCCTTCTGGGTTTCTGTAGAAACATGGTAGTTCAACATGATGGACAACCAGTGGCGTTGTAGATTTTTAAACGGATCATTCTAAGGTAATAAAAACACAACAATTCTTATATTCAGGTGATTATACACTAATAAAAACATGTTGCACGTTTTTCATCAAGGTAAAACAACATGCAGCATGAGTTCTAATGATGTTTTACTTTGAAAGGTATCAGGACCACTGAACGATATATTTAGAACTGCAATCTGTCCAAATAACTCAAGTAACCTGAATTACAAGTCACAGGTGGTTGGACTGTTCTGGGATCAGAGTGCACACATAATGACACTTGGTTCATGTCAGGTCAGTCACACAACTAACAGCCAATATACAAGTGGATGAGCTGAAATAATCAAGTGCCACCAAAATAGGTCACATGCTTTTAAACCTGTTAAACTTATTAATTCTGACATTCCCTGTAATCTGCTCTGACTTCATTTGAAGAGATGGACTATATGGGAGTCTCCTAGCACTCATGTGTTCAACCTTACCTATACTGTACGACTAAACCCTCCCACACATGTTTCACTATCTGCTTTGAAGTATAAATTCTTGACTCGGGCTGTTTTAGCCTTTCTTGCAACTCGAAATGAGTCGATAATAAAACAATTCAATTCAATTCAATTCAATTTTATTTGTAGAGCGCCAATTCATAACAGAAGTTATCTCAGGACACTTTTCAAATAGAGCAGGTCTAGACCATACTCTTTATAAAATTAATTACAGAGACCCAACAGTACCACCATGAGCAAGCACTTGGCGACGGCGGCAAGGAAAAACTTCCTTTTAAGAGGCAGAAACCTCAGACAGAGCTCTAGGTGGGTGGTAGTCTGCATTGACCAGCTGGGGTGAGAGAGAGAGAGAGAGAGAGAGAGAGAGAGAGAGAGAACAGAGGTAACAACAAAACAATGAAACTATTTCGAATTAATATTATTTTTTTGGCAATCACAGAGCTGAGCAAACCTGAAGAAGCTGCAAGCGAAACGCGTTGCTCCCTCTTAAATAAAATCACAGTAAAGTTATTCCACTGTGTGGTGGTTCCCATACTTTTCTGACTGAGGCTGTACAAGCTTTGCACTGTGTCTCAACTTTCTAGTCATTCCCAATTTATGCATTTCAAATACTGTTTAGGGACCCTAATAAGGAGAAATGCCCTAAGCAAAAATAACACATTTATGTTTTTTTTCCAAAACTGCATGAGATTAGCATAAAATGGGCATGTCTGCAAAAAAGACACTAGTAGTGGGTACCCATAGAACCCATTTTCATTCAGATATCTTGAGGTCAGAGGTCAAGGCATCTCTTTGGAAATGGAAATGCCAGTTCTTCCATCGCTAAAATTTTGCCTAATTTTGGAGCATTTATAATATGGTCTGGACAGGAGTTAGGTTGCCAAAATGTTTAAGTTCAGGTGCAGTTTTCACCCAAAACAGAACTTTAGAGTGAAGGTTAACCTTTTAGGTATCTATGCCCATTGCCTCACAATCTGTCCAAGGCCTCTAGGGCCTCTAGTCTTATTTCACAAAGATGTTTGAGCAAAAGTTTCACAGTTAATGAATACTGGGCCAGCCCAACAAGCTGTTCCTTTTATTGGATAAATAATTGTGTTTCTTGTGTCAATTAGCTTGTAGCCAGTGCAAATAATGACTGTATTGTGCATTATCTTCCATGAATAGACGCTCTCTCAGTTTGTGGGGCTGTTCTATATGTGATTTCCCAAAGTGGATGTGAACATTTCAAGTGGGGGGTGGGGTAGTTTAGTGAGGATTTACAATACATACGCTGTCTCCCCTCACCAGCCAATGCCATGAGGTCTCTGTGGAATCAGTCCACATTCCTTTTATTGGGCCAATCCCAACTCCCTGTCCAAAATACCCCCATCCACCACTACCAGCCTCCCAGCCCCCGCCACTTTGATCAGTGTCCCGTTTCCAAATTCTCGCTGAAGTGGAAGATATTACCAGTGAAGGGAATTATGGAGGCGGAGAAGGGGGATGCAGAGGTAGATATTTAATGAAATATATTAAATGAGATACATTGACAAAGATAGTCATTCTTATGATTTGTTGCAACAGTTAGCCTTCATTGGGCTTTCAGGAACAAGAGGGAGGCCAAATCAGATTTTTATACACATTTTGACATATTTTCCTCTTTGACCCTTTCAGAAGGCTGTAAATCTCTTTGACAGTGCAGATCTTCCTATAATCACAGGCAGAGGAGTTCAGAATGTGAGTGAGAAGACAGTAATACAAACACTAATCATGACCCTATTACAAAGCTGATAAGTTAGTTCAATTGCTTTAAACGGCTTAAGTTTAACAATTTAAGCATGAAAGATATTTGAGTAGAAGTAACTAAAGTATTTATTGTTAAGATAACTTTGGTAAATTAAGTGAATTGTACCAATTCCATTCAGTTAATTGATGTTACACTCATATACAGCATTTCTCCAAACGTAAATTATTATTATTATTCTTCATACCACCAAGTTGAGTTTACTCAGTTTTCTTCCACTAAAGCAAATTATTACATCACCTGTCAAAACAGCTGACATACGATAAAAACAATTTAGAATTAATTGATTATCTAAAAGTAGCCAATTTTTTTATTTTTTTTTATCTTAACACTTCATTAAGAATGATTGGAATGTCTGTGTGGGCTTATGATCATTAATAAACTGAAATTAAAACAAACATTGAAAAATGCACTGCAAACAACTAAGTTGCTTCAGCAGTATATTTTTGAGTTGAGTTTAATTCATGTGAATTAGTGACTTTTGGAAGATTCATTTATGTTAACTTACTTCTTTTATTAAGTTGTGTTATCAGGTTTTACAATTTTAAGGGGTGTAGGGAAGACCACCAAATCTAAGACTAAGCATAGCCAATTCTAACTTAAGTCAATTCAGAATGACGAGAGGCACCTACATCGTCATGTCTGGAAGCAGAGGGCCACTGGCCAAGTGACAGTATTTGGCAAGCTTGGAGTGAAAATAGGCTGTAATTTCGGCTAAAGTTAAAGCAATTTGGGTTATTTCACACGAGAGATTTAATGTTTGTCTGTTCCCCACTGGAGTAGGGGTTCTGTTGGAAAAAGATATTTCTGTCCACCACTCAGTATTTAGCAACATTTAAACCAGCACTGAAAAACAGTTGTACAGCTGCTGTTTGCTCATGTTGCCAGCACTATCAATCTGATCTAACCACACCCCCACAATGTTCCGATGAAGCAGATGGGCTGGGTTTCAGTTTGATGGTTTTGGTCAGAGAGGAACAGGTTGTGACTACTTAAAGTATAGGTCTGGTGATATTCTATATTTTTCCTCCTGTCAACAAATGCCATGACAAACCAACAATGATTGTATACTATGTATTGTGTGTATCAAAGCCTGACGTATCTTATTTTTCTGTTGTCCAAAAACTTAAATGTTTTGCAACTCAACAGTGTTGCACTGGATGACATGTCCTGCTACCCCAAATACTCACTATGGAACAAATGTGGATTAATCAACTGCTGAAAATAGTCCCCAAAAAATGCTCGATTTCCTCCTGTTTGAGTAATAAAAACTACAGTTACCAGCAGTTTTAGGAAATCTAAAAAAGGAACTATATATTTGTAAGCTGTTTTTATAGATGTATGTCTGCAGTAGGAACCAATGGGCTTGAATGAGAGCCACAGACAGGAGAAGTCAGATATTATTGGAGGACTAACACATTGTTGGTTTGGATCTTTCCATGGGATTTATGGCCTGTCTGAGAAAACTGGAGACTCTACTCAAATACTAAAGTATACCAAGTATGCAATCAAAGTGCATGTATAGTTGTCCGATGTTTTGGCAGTCTCTCCTTAGCCGTTTTATTTCTGACCCCAATAGCTGTATGCATCTGAAGCCCACAAGACCTTATTTAGCCTGTCACAAAGGATTACAATAGTTACCCCCCTGGCTATGGACCTATGAACAACATGGAGTCATTCTTAATGACACGCAAAAAGCTTCGCCATTACACTAGTAGTCATAGTAAATGTAATCATCTAAATCCAAAGGCCAGAAAGTATGAAATCAAAGCTGGTCTCTTTATTTACTGGGAACTGTTTCTATAGAACGGGTCTCAGGCATACAGACAGGAGGCAGCTGGCACTCTGGTGTGGTCAGAGCAACCAGGAGCTGAAGTGGACTTCAAGAGAAGCACACCATTATCATACTCAACAGCACTGTGTCTGCTGTGGAAAGGTTTCTGGGATCCACAATATCCCAGGACCTAAAGTGGGAGTCCAACATTGACACAATCAGAAGGCTCAGCAGAGGACTACTGTGCCAGCTCAGGAAGTTCAACCTGCCTGAGCTGCTGATCCAGTT